CGGCAGCCAAGAGGGAAAACCAAAGATCAGATAGTGGACAAGATGGAAAGTACTTTCCCATTTTTGTCACAAAGACTTTCACTTAATTTTTAAAATTCAACAATGAGTTCCTTGCGTATTTCTTACACCTTTCCTAATATTAAACATGACAGTTCTTGTGACTCATTTTCATACTGTTAATGAATAAATTATGGTAGTCATGCATAGCATTAAGATATTGCTTTGCCCAAAACAAATAAATAGTAATGCATGTGTTTTTAAAGATATTTCTAGCATTTTGCATGCATATTGATAACCATCTTACAGTAAATTTTCATTCATTTCAACAAATATTTATTAAATCTTTGCTATATGCCAAACAGTGTTATAAGCTCAGGGAATGTGGGGATACCACTGGGAATAGAAAAGACCAAAAAAACAAAGAAGCCTCTTGCTATAATGGACCTTACTTTCTAGCATAGGAGAGAGGGTGAGATAAAACAGTAAACTTAACTAGCTATGTATATGTAAGAAGGTGATAAGTTTCATGAAATAAGGACGATCAGCTTTAATATCTAGTGTTTGAGTTACATTTTTTTTTTATTATTCATATGTGCATACAATGCTGGGGTCATTTCTTGAGTTGCATTTTTAAGTAAAATAGTCTAGGTGGACGGCCTTATTCAGAAGGTAATATTTGAGCAAAGACTGAACAGAGGTGAAGGAGGCAGCTATGAAATTACATGGGAGAAAAATTACTCTAGACAGAGGGACATGCACGTGGGTAGTCCCTAAGCAGAGTATGATTGACTTGTTGACCAAGGAGACCTGAGTGTAGGGCAAAATAAATGAGGGAAACAGTGGTAATGTCAGATTATGTAGGAACTTGTAGGTCATACATAGGTGGTCATGTATGTCATTTATGTTATTAAATTTAGCTATAATGAGAGAAAAAAACTAATGAGAAAAAAATTAATTATTTGCTTAATTTCTAATATATTCATCCTGTAGGTTTTCACAACATCTTCCATAGGTCATTTCAGTGTGGGTCAGTAAAGGGAATACAGTAAAGAAGCTAAAACACAACAACAAAACCCAGCCACAGTCCCTGTGAGGTTTATCTTGGTCTAGTGTAAATCATTGGGTTTGTGTGTCAGTCTTGGTGCCTGATGCTTTACCTATACTAGCTCATATAATTCTAAGTAAGATAGACAGTGTTACTCACTTGGAATACAGTTGATGAAAATGAGACTAAGAACACCTGAATAACTCCTTTTCGACAGAATGGGATCAGTCTTTAGTCTTGTCTTCTCACCATACCTTTGGCTCCTAGATCTGGTTGCATTGTCAGGGGAGCTTTTTATAGCTGTAGATTCCTTAAGCTTACTCCTGGGCATTGAGGGTTAGTGTATTTGACATGGAGCCCAGGGATCTTAACTATCAATAAACACTCCAGAGCTATACTTATAGGACTATGATACTCGTAGTAATTGTGGACACTTTTGTAATGTTCCTGTTTCTAAAGAAAATGATGTTACCCATCAAAAAAGAAATCCCTTCAAAAAGATTTTAACCATTTAATATCATGTTTGTTTCAAGGTTTTGAGCTGTTCTTCAGGTAAAGATATCCCTATTTATTCCTAGTTTGCATAGAATTGAATATTAAATTTAATAAACCTTTCATACTTACTGATCAGTGCATTTGTTTTTTCCTGTTACTTTTTGTTTTTTTTTTTTTTGGTGGTGCTGGGTTTTGAACTCAGGGCCTACCCCTTGACCACTCCACCAGCCCTTTTTTGTGATGGGTGTTTTCGAGATAGGGTCTTACAAACTGTTTGCCTAGACTGGCTTTGAACTGCAATCCTCCTGATCTTTGCCTCCTGAGTAGCTAGGATTACAGGTGTGAGCCACCAGTGCCTGGTTCCCATTACTTTTTTAAGATAGTAGATTATGGTATAAATTTTCAGAGTTGGACCAGCCTTGTATTCCTGATTAAGTACAACTTGCTCCTGACATACTCAGTTTTTTAAAAACATGATTTCAGTTTTTTTTTTTTCAAAGATTTTGTAGTCTACCTTGGACTTTGATACTCCTTCCTTAAACTGTCCTTCTTTTAATACCAGAGTGATACCAGCTTCAGAAGTGAGGCGGAGAATGTTCCTTGTTTCCTACTCTTTGAAGCAGTGCGTAGACTAAAGTTACCTGTTCCCCACTACAATACCATCTGGAACTGCTTTCACAATGGCTTAACATCAGAAGAACCCTCAGCTAGCCAGCTTTCCTGCCTTCCCAGGGCCAGGGCTTTTCTATTCATTCCACAAAATTTATGATCAATACTCTCATTTTAAATCTGTACACATACTTATGTCTCCTTTTCACTTTGGCATTATTGTGCTTACGCTCCCTCCTTCCCTCCCAGGGCCCTGTGCTTGCGAGGCAAGCACTGTACCACTTGAGGCACACCTCTCAAGTGTGTGCTTAGTTTCAGATAGAATCTTGTGCTTTTTCTCAGACTGACCTTGACCTTTGATCTCTATGCAGGCTGCATGGCTAGGGTTACAGGTGTATGCTATCACACTCAAGCTTGTTTGTTGAAATAGGATCTCCTTAACTTTTTGCCCATGCTGACCTCGAACTGCAATCCTCTTAATCTTTGTTTCCTGAGTAGCTGGGATTATAGATGTGAGCCACCATGCCATGCCTAGTCCTTTAAAATGTTAAACTGTTACAAAAACACTTCTAGATGGTCTTTCAAGTGAGTTACCAAACATTTGTGGAACATGGGTGAAGGTTATACAGGAAACATGGCCAAGACATTTTGAGCTAGGCTTTGAGAGCTGAACGTGGCCCAACGTGGTAAGATACAAGCTAAAGAGAAGTGAATGCCAGTGCCCACCTGTGATATAGAGCTGCTCGTGGACTGGCCCTCATACCCTGTGGTTGCTGAAGGGTTTGGCTGGCTTTTCTCTTCGTTTGCGTTGGATGCTCCCTTCTGTGTTGAAGACCAGGAGGCCACAGTGGAAGTGGGGAGGCCTGGAGTGGTTTGAGAACAGTCTGCAGTAGACCCTTGGCATCCATGGGTCTTTGGTTCCAAAGGAGACTGCTGTTTAGGAACAACCATACGTGATCTGGATGCAGAGAGTTTAAAAACAAGTGACGGTGACTCAGGACTAACTGAGTGCTTCCACATGTCAGTTGAGCTGCACAGTGCACATAGGGGATTCATTTTTTTTTTTTTGACCACACGTGACCAAAGCCACCTGTAATAAATCCATGAATAAGGTTGGCTTACTATGTAACTATAAATCTTGCTGTGTAGGCACACCATTCCTCATGAACCAGAGCAGTGTGCTGTGACAGTCTTAAACTTCAGCATCTCCTGGCCTTTTGAGGAAGTAGAAGCACTCCACCAGCCCTGTTTGTTTTGGTTATTTATGAGATAAGGTCTCACTTTGCTCCCAGGCTAGCCTGAAGCATGATCCTCCTAGTTCTGCTTCCCTGCGTAGTTGGGATGACAGGTACATGCCACCATGCCCAGCCATTGGTTGAGATAGTAGTCTTGCTAACTTTTTGCTGGAACTGGCCTAGAACTGCAGTCCTTTCCATTTCCACCTTCCAAGTTGCTAGGATTATAGGCTGTGAGCCACCAGGCCTGGCCTCATACTTTTGTCTTTTGTTCTTTGCTTGCTCATTATCTGCCTCAGAGCTGAAAACTTTAGGCCATTATACTCCTGTTTTAGTTGAAACCTAACATTTCCACTAAATATCACTACTATTGTTTCTGTTTTACTGTTCAATTTTTTAACTTTTTTTGTCTTCCCTGATGGGCTTTGTTCACCTTTCTCAGAGAATATTTTCCTCTGTGTCTGAAATGTTTATGTTCTGTGCATGGATTTACTTTAAAAAGTGCTACCAGCTGACTTGACAACAGTTTCATTGGCACCTAATCCCTTTCCACTGTAGACATTCTAGCCACCCCCTGGTATTTTTTGCTAGTGGCAGTTGTTTATTTTGTTTTGTGTCATTTTTGTTTTTAAATTGACATGCAATGAAATATCTAATAGTTACCGGGTTGACAATTGAGAAACTGAGCTGTGTACTATCTTCTAGGCTTATTGGCATAATCTTGTGCAGGACAGTTCAGTTTTTAAAGTGGGGAATACTGAAAATTTGTTTTGTCCTCATGTTTGGGGATGATAATATTTAAAAATTTCAGACTAGTATCTCTGTACAGATTCTTACATAGGTTATCTGTCCATTCACTATTTTGTATTCTCATCGGTTCCTTAGAAGAATTCCTCAGTATGTCGTGTGAGCCTTCATGAGGAGAAGAGATTATCAGAGCACTTAGAAAAGATTGCTATTTGATGCTATCTTGTTTTATAGGGCATCACGAGGAGAGGAAAAACAGAACTATTTGAACGCTGTATTTGAAAATAACTGTTAGAACTACAGTAGGCTCTGAGATAGGTATAATCTTTGACTAGAAGGTAGAATTGTGTTTTCAAGTTGCTCGTTTTTAGTAAGAGGTTAGATCCTTAGGTTAAAAAAGAATCTTGTGGACTGGAGGTATAGCACAGTGGTAGAGCACTAACAAGCCTGAGGCCCTGGGTACCAACTCCAGCATTGCAGAAACCAAAACCAAACGAATCTTACAATTTTAAATTGAAAGCTACGTAAAATATTCTGCAATGATCCACACAGTACTTGTGTTTTCCTCATGAAAAGTGAGAACCTAAAACAAATGAGCAAACTAAGAGCTGTGCAGTGTAGAACAAAGGTGAAGAAGTATCCATTAACGAGGTGCTAGGAATCAGTGAGCTATTTGGCTGTACATTGGCCTGTGGTTTTAACTGCTGGGCCCTTTAAAAATGTCCTTGCTATCTACATCATCTTATGTTTGAAGTTCTGTTTACGGTACATATAGGAGTCCTGCTTGGAGTTTTGGAAAACAGTGAGTGTGTATTGGTGAATGAGTTAAGTGTACTGAAATGTCTAACGTACCTGTCCTCCTGTTTTAGGAAACTGAAAATGCCCTTCCAGCTATGCTAGGTCTATAATGGGAAGTGTCACGGTTCGCTATTTCTGTTACGGGTGCCTTTTCACATCTGCAACCTGGACAGTCTTGCTTTTTGTTTATTTCAACTTGAGTGAAGTGACTCAACCACTTAAACATGTGCCCGTCAAGGGGTCTGGGCCCTATGGACCATTCCCCAAAAAATTTTATCCACGTTTTACTCGAGGTCCAAGTCGAGTATTAGAGTCACAGTTGAAAGCAAAGAGAATTGAGGATGTGATAGATAATCACATTGAAGATACAGAGAAAGGCCACCTGAAGTTCTCTTCTGAATTGGGTAAGTCCTATTTGATTTTTACTCTCAGCCACATCAAGGGACTTAGCATTGAAAGTTTGTTCTTTAAATCAAGTATTGCTCAGGAAGCTAGAATTGTGCCATTTTCCTAGTTTGTGAACTAGCTACGGTTCTATGATTTTTAAAGATAGAGTTGAGAGTTATATTCTGATTTTTCCAACTCTGACTTCAGAGAGAAACTAGGTCTAGAGAATAGAAGAAAAAGGGCTAGAAAGAAAATGGAGCCTGGTGAAATGGCTCAGTGGTAGAGCATCTTGGTAGGGCCTTGCAAGTGTGAAGGCCTGAGTTCAAACCCCAGTGCTGCAAATAAATAAATAAATAAAATTGGAACCTTATAGGAGAAGATTTTTAATTGCTAGGATTATTTAACAAGGAAGAGAAATGACTGAAAGATGACTTGACTGTATTTAACTTATCTTAAAAAGGCAGATTTAATTAAAACAGATCAAATACTAGGTTTAAAAATGAGTTTGAGTTACTCATACCTAATGAAATTTTCACTTATGAGAAGTAAGACTCGAAATAAAATCTTAGTATAAAATAGAAAGTGCCGCCCCCATTATGTTCTGTTGAATTTGGAAATAAGAATCTACTGTGTATGCCTTTGAGTACTATATAGTGCTTAAGGGATAAGTAAGCCAGTTTGGTTATCTTCAAAATGTGAAAAAAAGAACTTTGATCTTTTCATAGAAACATCACATAATAGGTTATTTAGAAATAAAAACGTACAGTAAGTGATTTTGAGAGACTGAACCATAGAGTAGAAATGAAATGTTAAAACAGACATTTCATTTGGTCACAGTTTCAGAGAAATTAATTTTAGGACTTAATGTGTTTCTAATAAGTCACTTTTTGTAATATGTACCTAACAGTCCTTTTAAATACACCTTTTAAAAGCATTTTAAAAGCATTAATGCAAAACTTTCTAGCTCTCTTATACACGTTTATTTGGTTTAACTTTCATAAGGAAATAACATTGAGTTTACCATTTCGAACAAGCTGTGTATTTGCTTTTGAGAGAAGTAGGGAGAGAATTGTAGACATTGAAAGTGACAGACTCAGATTGCCTGAGTGAAAAACTGAATTCCTTGTAGAAAAATCCTAAAGAATTTACAAAACCGTAGTATTAGAACAAAATGAACTGGCAATTGCATGGTGCTAGATGGGCATGCCCGACCATTTGTGTTTCTGTCCACCAACAGTGAATGGTTCCAAAACAGTGTTGAGAACAATTGCATTTATAATAGCATCAAAACAGTAAAATACTTACAAAAAAATTTAGCCTGCCAAAATTTGTACCCTAAGTAGTGCAAAACAGTTCTGGAAGAAATTAAGGTAGATCTAACTTTAGGTGGAAAGACATCCCAGGTTGGTGAATGAACCCCTGAATGCTAATTCATTTCTGTCAGAATCCCAATGGACTTTATTGAAAAGTTTATCCTAAAAATATGGAATTGCAGAGGATGCTGATTAGCCAAAACATTCTTGAAAAAGAGCAAAGTTGGAGGACTCAGGCATTTTTAAAACTTCCTGCAAAGCTACGGTACAGTGATCAAACAGTTCTTTTTGTCCTAAGGATAGACATATAGATCCATATAGATCAATAGAACAGAGCTGAGAGTTCAAAAGTAAATCCTATGACATTTGTGGTTAATTGGTTTTAAAAAAGGGCACCAAGACCATTTATTGGGGGAAAGAATATTCTTCTTTTAAAAAATGGGCAAAAACTTGTACTTGAATGTTCCTAACTGCTATTTTAGACAATATTAACAGCAGAAAAAAGGCAGAAACAAGCCAACCTCCATCAACTGATGAGGTGACTGAAATGTTATGCAGGTACAAAAAGGAATGGAGTCAGGATCCATGTTTCAACATGGTGAACCTTACACATTATCTAAGTGAATGGACTACTGCAGAGTCCATTCAGTGAATGGCCAGAGTAGGCAAATCCACAGGGATAGAAAGCATGTGAGCAGTGACTGCTGTAGTGGGTGCAGTTTCTTTTTGAATGGTGAAAATACTCTGCATCTAGATAGTTGTGATGGTGATTACAGCATTGGGTGTAAGCTAAATGTCACTGATGATACTAAATCCTCTATGTAAGGAAAATCTAAGGCTGGGTGTGGTGGCACATGCTTGTAATCCCAGCTACTTGGGAGCAGATCCTGGGAGGATCATGGTTCAAGGCTGGCCCAGGCAAAAAGTTAGTGAGACCCCAGCCTTAGTCAATAAGCTGGGTTTGCACCCATGACTCCATCCATGCGGGAAGCCATGGGGAGTAGCATTGTGGTCCTAGGACGGCCCTGATGGGAGACCCTACCTGAAAAACCACTGAAAAGCAAAGTGGCCTGCAGACGTGGCTGAAGTGGTAGAGCGCCTGCCTACAAGACCCCAGTACTGCAGAAGGAGGGAGGGTAAGTCAGCATAGTAATAACTAAAAGTGTGCTGATTTCTAAAGTTACCGATAAACAATTATAGAAAAGAACCTATGAAAAAGTACATTTTAGAAAGATTATCAATAATAAATTGAAAATTATAAACATTTTCTCATTTAATCTTCAGTTAATTACAGAATTTATTGAAATAACTCCTGACATGCTAATTAGTTGAGGTTTGACTATGATTATATTTGCGCAGAGAAGGGAGGAGAGGCTGCTGAAGTGATCTTTCAGTATGGAAGAGTTTTGCATCTAAAGCTTTTATTAGAAATGGGGTTTTGTTGGTACTCACTGTGAAGTTGTCCTCTGGTAGCTGCTGAATCCAGTAGTATTTCTGGAGAATCTCTTTGGCCAAGTCACTGTCGTGATGCTGTGTACAAACATTCTCATTTTGCTTCTTTGATGTTTTGAACATGGCCAAGCCTCTTCTCGTGGAGTTTCCATCCTTGTGTAAACTGCTGGAAGGAATTTGTTGTTGTATATTTCCAAAAGGATGCTGTCCAGCTTAAGTCCTAGAGAGAAGGCCTGCAAAGAGGTATTGTGTCTGCAAGGACAAGTCAGGTGTTCTGTGGCCATATAAATCAGAGAGATACTTGATTCCAGGTCCTGTCCACTCACACTCAGAACGTTCCTTGTGCTAAAGGAGCAGTTGTCCTGCCATTAAAAAAAAAAAAAAAAAAAAGATTTGACTTTTAGAATTCTCTATTTCCTAGTTTCTTTGACAGTGAAATCTTTTTTTTTTTTTTTTTTGTCTTTATTTGTTGAGGCAAGGTCTCACTGTGTAGCTCTACCTCCCAGGTGCTGGGATTATAGATATGTACCATCATGCCCAGCTTTTTTTCCTTTTAATGTCTTCTAACATCCAGTGTGATTAGTTTTTCTTGAATGGTATGGGAAATGCTGCTTTACAAAGGAATCATTCTTTGAGGAGAGGCCGAAGGTCTGATTTGGGAACAAGACAGCAAAAGTTACCCTTCTATGCAAAGGTGAGACTTCTGACAGAATATTAGAACAAGCATGTTAAATTGCAATGATGATGTTTATATCTGTACAGGAATTACTTGCCAGTGAAGCTGATTAAAGTCTGAAATTAGAGACTGCAGAAGCCATTTTTGTGGAAAGTTTTAACTGTTGTCTTTTTTAGATAAAGGGTTCATATGAAAACTTGCTAAGATTGGGGCCTGTTGTGGTCCATTTTTTTGTTTGTTTGTTTGGCAGTACTGGGGTTTGAACTCAGGGCTTCACACTTGCTAGGCAGGTGCTCTACTGATTGAGCCATGTTCTCATCCCTCCACTGGGTTTAATAATCTATTGCTTATAGGGAAAATTATTAAACATTTTTCCCTGGTCATAGGTAACTTTCTCTCATGAATAAAATACAGTATTAAGATTATGGCTTGTGAGCAGGTGTTGTTTGTGGTACACTTGCTCTATACAAAACTTAGAAGAATTGACCTTTACCTCAGTTTACTTACTTGAAATTGGAGTCAACCTAGATTTGAGGTACATGGCTATTATCTGATTATAATTGGGTAACATCATAACAGTAACTGTTGTAATCCTTTCCAGGCTGTATGTCCTGACTGTAACTTCCCTCTTTTGCAGGTATGATTTTTGATGAACGTGATCAGGAGTTGAGAGACTTGGGCTATCAGAAACATGCCTTCAATATGCTTATTAGTAACCGCCTGGGCTACCATAGAGATGTTCCAGACACCAGGAATGCCGCGTATGTTTCTCGCAACTTTTTCCTAGCATGTTTTAACAACATAGCGCTCTCCATGGCAGTACAAGGAGCCAAGAGGATGGTGTTCATAGTTTGCAGTTAGGATGCATCATGCTAGAAGACTTGCTTGATTTCTTACTTGTATTTGCCTTGAAGCGCCATGATTTGAGATTGTACTGGCACACTTCTAGAGCTTGCTGTATCTCTTGAAATTTCAAATCGCATCGCAAAGAGGAGGGAATTAAGTATTCTAAGTTTTAATTATTTATTGGATTCATGGCAAAAAAGAATTAAAGTTGGCAAAGATTTATTTTATTCATATTCTTTGGTCTTTTATTATTTTTTCTTTGAAAGGCTTTTCATTTGTGTAGTCTTGTCATTCCCCTAACAAGCCTTCGTTGAACACCTTCTACTTGCTACATGCTATACAGACCCTGGAAATAAACAGGATAAGACTTAGTGCTGCATTCACAGGGCTCCAAATCTAGCAGTAGGTGTGAAGAAGGAAACTAGTCACTGCCATAGCACATGAATAATAGCTGGCTAGAAACTGGCCAAATATAGATCCAAACCCGGAGTGACCGGGCTTCACAAAGAGCAAGGCCTTTGCACGAACTGGGAGCAGCATGTAGAGCTCTGTGCAGCATAAACATGTGAGGCTGCTTGAAGGAACTGACCCTGTTCCACTTCGATTGCATGGAGAGAATTGCAGGAGGCTAGAGCCCGTGGGATCAGGCGCTGGATGCTTTAACACCTGGGGAAATTGAGTTCAAGACTTAAGTTTATTCTTCAGTAGTTTTTTTGTTGTTGCTTAGAGCAACCTAACCCTTTTTATCAAGTAGTTGCTTACATGGAAGTTCTTCTGTTATCATGAGAGATGATAGCTTACTCAAATCTTTTTAGTTATTGGGCAAAATTTTTCAAATACAAAGTTTTATTTTTCTATATCCTTCTGAAAGCTCATTGAGGAGCAGCCAGACATCAGCCTTTGAGTGCTGCATTAAACACTTGCAGTGACTTCAGAAAGACCCTACACTGTTATGCCCCTTCTCTGTAAAAAACAAACCTGAAGTTTAAAAAATGTGGGCTCCAAAGTAACAAGGTAGCAGGTATTGGAGAGAGAAATTACTAACAAAATGTTAAACACTCAAAGGCTAAACCACTGTTTTCCTACATGCTCTCAAAATCATCACAATGTAAGGAAGAGGCTGAATCAGAGGCAGTAAAGGCTAGTGAAGTAATGATCCAAGAAGTTGAGCCCCTTGAAAGCCGGTTTTGCTGTCTGTGTCTTGACAGATGTAAAGAAAAGTCTTACCCAGCTGACCTGCCAGTTGCTAGTGTTGTCATTTGTTTCTACAATGAAGCCTTTTCTGCCTTGCTCCGGACAGTGCACAGTGTTGTAGACCGCACACCAGCACACCTTCTTCAAGAGATCATCCTTGTGGATGATGACAGTGACTTCGGTAAGTATGCTGTGACCAGCAGTAGTGCAGTGAGGCTATGTCAACTGTTGTTGACAGACATTGGCAGTGCTGACATCTGAGATGCAGTAGGTTCACCTGCACGCTGTTGTAGCTAAGCTGAAGTGCCTGTCCATTGACTATAGGATGGTTAGAAGAAACGCCTTATCATGGTAATCTGCCCTTGAGATTTTTCCCTTGAATTACTTAAAAAAAATTACTTTGAAGTAATTGTGGATTTGTAGAAAGTCATGAAGAGGTTCTCTTTACTCTGTGTCCAGTTTGCCCCATTGGTTAGTCTTGCACAATTACAGTTCAATGTACGAAGCAGGAATTCTACATTGGTAACATGCCATTTTATGCCATGGGCAGATTCCTATAACCGCCATACAGTCCCATGGTGTACACTACTTCATCACCCCAGTGATCCTGCCTCATGCTACCTCTTTATAGTTAGTGCCCCCTTCCTCACACCATCATCCCCAATCCTTGTCAGCCACTAATCTGATTTTGCCATTTCACAAGTGTTCTATAAATGGAGTCATTCACTGTGTGCCCTTTTGGGATTGGTGTTTCTCGTTGGGCTTAGTGCCATGGCCCACATTTATCCAGTAAGTCTGCTATACCACTTGTCCCTCGATTAAAGTGGATTGCATTGTGGTGGTTCTCAGATGATCTCTGAGCCCCAGTACTTCTATGATTCCCTACACGTTGTCTACACCTTTCTTTAATTCCCTGTAGATTCTTTCAAAGAATGGCTTCACATACACAAATAGGCTCTTTATTCACACTACTCATTCATCTCAGGCTCCATGTGAGACAGGTGGGAACTCATTTTACAGAGAGAAGATACGAGAATTTAGTGAGTTTTCTCAAGATTCCCCAACTGTGAAGTAATTGAAAGGAGACCGCCACTCTGCCAGCTCCCGGCCTTTTGCTCCTCTCAGTACAGTACCTGCAGAAGTGCAGTGGTGAGGTGCAGCACGGTGGTAGTTTGCTGTGTACTTGACAACTTCTTGAGTATCTCTGACAGCTACAAGAGAGACTGGTATGCCAGGATACTTAAGTACTCAAAGTGAGGATATGAATGTGACACCCACAAGGGCACAATTCTCAGACCTTGATAAATACTGATAAAAACTTGGAAAGGTTAGTGAAGATCAAAACTTGCTTTTATTCTTCAATATTCCACACATACACACATAAAACAAACAAACAAAAAATCCCAAAACCCTTTTAAAACTGAGCAATTAAAAAACTAAATGAGTCTGGACCAATTTGAAGATCTGTTAAATACTAAATTCTAGCATTTCTGGTTTGGGGGATTTTTTTGAGACACGGCCTCACTGTGCTGCCCATGCTAGCCTCTAGAAGTCCTGTGCTGTAGCTGGCCTCCTGCTTCCTGAGCTGCAGCGGGGGGCGTAGGGCAGTGCTGCTGCACTGACTGGATTTTTTTCTTTTTTAATCAACTTGTAGTTTGGTTTTCATTTTGTGACTATTTTATCTAAAAGAAAAAAAATAATTTACAGTGGTTTGTGTACTAAGTATGGAAAGAATTACTGCTTATTATCTTATACAATCTTTGACATTATTATAAAATTTAAAAGTAAATTACCTAGAATTCATTAAAAATATTTAGTGCCCTTGGAAAAAAAGGCATTGAGTGAATAAAAGGTGATTTTTACTGCTGCTATTACATAATGCATGGGAAGAACCTGAAAGTTATTTCTTAACTATTCCAAAAAGATGGAGGTATGCAGAAGACACTTCCATCTCATTTTCTCTGTTTGCAATGTGGACTATTTACATTCCCTCACTCACGATCCTGATTTTAGACATTCTCTCTGCAAAGCACTGTGCTAGATGCTGTGGAAATCAAGTCTGGCTAAGGCAGCCATTCCTCTTGGCCAGTATTCCAACTCCTACTTTTCATTTCCTTTTTCTTCCTACAGAGTAAGGTACAATATTCTTTTAAAATAAAGCAGAATATTCTATAATGTTTGCCTAATTTGTCATTGCGAGTTTTAACACATACCAAATGTAACTTTGAGAATAGTTACCAGTTGCCCTTGCGTATCATGCAGTTTGAGTAATTATGGAACTCTTTGTTTTTAGATGATTTAAAAGGAGAATTAGATGAGTATGTCCAAAAACACCTCCCTGGAAGAATTAAAGTTATAAGAAATACAAAGCGTGAGGGATTGATTCGAGGGAGAATGATCGGAGCAGCCCATGCGACAGGTACAGCTGTCCTTTGGATTTTCTTTGTGGTGTCGGATGCTGAGGGTGGATCCCCACAGCCTCTCACTGATCGTTTAAACACACTGATTGTTTAAACTGTGTTTAAACGAGCAGTGCCAACCGAAGAGGTGAGGGTTGTTGCAGTCGGAAAGACCTTTTCCTGCGCTGACTCTGCTGCCCCAAAGCAGAGCACAAGGACTGAACTATAGAACCCTTATGGTCTGTTCTTTCGGGGCCCTCCTTGGTAGTTTTTGCCCTTAAGTAGATTTTATATCTTACTTATATAAGCAGAAAAGTCCAAACCAAAATAAAACTAAACATACTTTTTTTCTTAGTACAGAACTTAAAATACATGAACCCAAACTGCTTCACTTAATTTTGCTAATAATTCTCAGTGTGGATTCATATCTTACCTCTGGAGATGATGGTTCAGGATTTTAGGTAGTAAACAAGATTGACTTCCATAACTATGAATGGTGTCTTTGAAAAATATTCCCTCTTAATCCTTCTGATTCTTCAAAGAGAAGGTCTCTTGTTATTACTAGTAGATTTAAACTTTCCATCATACCCTAAACCGTAACTTCCCCCTCTAAAAAGAGAGAGCAGGTGTCAGACTTGGTCTTCTGCAGAAAACACATCTGGTTAGTCTTTAGTTACATTATATTGGCTCCATTGTATTTCTTTCTATGCTTAACTAAAAAGAAATATGTATAGGGTTTGTGTTCCTGATTTTCTCTTATGATCCTGATAAAATTTTTCCTTTTAAAATGAATTTGGGGTGGTGAAGTGGCTCAAGTGGTAAAAGCAACTGCCTAGTAAGCAGCAACAGTGAGACCTTGAGTTTAAACCCCAGTGCTGCCAAAAAATAAAATAAAAATAAATGCACTTTAAAAAGTAGGTATGTAATAGTGCAGGCATGTAGTTTTGCAATATTGTAATGTATTGCCTGGACATAGCAAAAAAAATTGTGAAAGTAATTTGAGAAGTCTTGAACTTGGTGGGGACCTTCCCTTGTACACTGCTCCTACTACTCCTTGTGCACTGCTGTGCCAGTGGGGTTTATGTGGTGAGCACTGTGCCCTGCTGCTGCCCTCCTCAAAAGCCACTGCCAGACCATTTGCTGGATTGAGTTGGGACTTCATTTGTAAAATCTTCTTTCTCTTAAACCCAAAGCAATTAACAAAAAGTGAGATGCAGCTCCTCTGCATCTAGTTTTAATATTATATACTGAAGTCAGGGCTGCTTCTACCTTCAGTTGGCATGCTGAATTATTGAAGGCCAGGAAATATAGAACTCTTGGAGGTGGGGGGAGGGTCTTTCCAGAATTACGCCATTTGAACATTTGTCCTCTACAATGCATATTTGCTATTTAGCTTTATGCAGATGAAAGTAGGTCTCATTTCTTTTTTGTATGATCTGGCCAGGTTTTTGTTCAAATGTGGATTAGAAACTGTCAGAAGCCCACCAGTTTGGGGAAAGTCATTATGGCAGGTTCACTGTGATCAGGTATACTCTTACTTCATTAGTTAAGTGGGTGTTACTTGGAAAAAGTAACACTTTCAGAATTAAGAAATCTATAAAGACATTTGTCCTCAAAGAAACCTTGATTGAATTGATCCCATTTCACTGAATACGCTGAGCATTTTGTCTTTCTGCATTAAATGTTAGCTGGAGAGCTGCATACTTGTTAAGGCTGTGTACAGACACTGAGCTACAAGACTGATTCTCTGACATCATTGAACACTTGTCTGAGGTATTTCTTCTTTCATTAATTGAAATTGGAGGGCTAGCCAAATGGCTCAAGTGGTAGACCACCTGCCTAGCAAATGTGAGATCTTGAGTTCAAACCTCTGTACATATAAAAAAAAAAAAGACAACAGATACATCTTGTGCTTTAAGTCATTCATGTAAAGTCTACATCGATTACATACTTAGAATAGTAATGCTTCCTTACAAGATTTAAGTTTCTCAACTGCTCAGAAAAATCATGTAGTTAACAAATTTAGAATTACCAAATGCAGCAATCCTCATTCTTGCTCACATTTATCAAGAGGAATTAAAACTGCAGGATAAAATTTTGACAGTGTGTTTTGCTAAGTAGAAGAAAGGTGTCAATGTGCTACCTGATGAGAGCTGCTAAAGCCAAAAAGAAAATGGAGGGAAGACCAGGAATGCAAAGCTGTACTGTGCAGAATCCCAGGGAGAGGGAGATGCAGAAGGATGGCGCCTTAGCTAAGATGGGGTTGCAGTCTGGGTTCTGGCTGGGTTGGGGAGCCCCCTCTCATTTGTGAGAAAATTGCTCTGGTGTAGCAGTGACCAGTGTCGTCAGTGAAAATGCAGTTAGTTTTCCTATGCTCTGTTTACCGAGACACAAGATGTAGTCTAGTGTGGACTCAGTTTAGAAATACTTGGTTAAAATAATTGTAATAAAAATACTCTCACACAGCAGTCCACTGTCATTCTACCAAAGCATTTTGTATCTGAAGAGCTGGTTTGTAACTGTGAGACCTTGAGTCTTCTTGCTGAATTGTTTTGTCTGTAAGCCTTGACAGGCTATTTGTATGTGTCTCAGTGACAGTGCTCACACCAGGCAGAATTCTTGGCCAAAAGATTTCTCTGGCCCCAGCTGGCAAAGTAAAGAGTAAGGGTGCCTTGCTTGGAGTGGGCAGGCGGTCACTACATTGCTTGTCTGTAGCCCCGGCTCTGGTGGCAGTGCCTCAGCTGGCATAAGTGAAGCAGCTCTTTAGCCTCTATCCTTTGCTTCTCAGGGGAAGTCCTGGTATTTCTGGACAGCCACTGCGAAGTGAACGTGATGTGGCTGCAGCCCTTGCTGGCCGCCATCCGTGAGGACCCACACACTGTGGTGTGCCCAGTGATTGACATCATTAGCGCTGACACACTTGCCTACAGTGCGTCTCCTGTCGTGCGGGGCGGCTTCAACTGGGGGTTGCACTTCAAATGGGATCTTGTCCCCCTTTCCGAGCTTGGAGGGGTGGATGGAGCTACCACGCCAATAAGGTAAGACTGCTGCTTTATGTTGGGAAGGCCCCACCAGGCTTTCCTTAGGGTAGAATGAGTAGTAAAGGTGATTCCTTCTTTGTAAAGACCTAATCCGTCCATTAAAATTCTCGAGTGTCTGTTGAATTTTGTGCACTCTGCCAAGTCCTAAGGAAAGAGTTATGAATTAGAAATGGTCAGTGCCGTCAAGTCTCTAGGGCTCGGGAGTGGCAGACAGATGATCTCATCACGTCCTGGGATCCCTGTCCATGGGGCACTGTGGAGTGCCTGTGTGCTGTGGTTTTTGTGACACGACTTGCATGGTTCACTGTGTTGCTCGTTAACTTCCCTTCAGTTCTTTGTGGCAGGGTGAGTTTTCCTTATCTGGCATGCTTGAGACCAGAGTGGTTTTGGTTTGGGATTTTTATTGGATTTTTTGGTATTTACATATGCATAATGAGATATCTTGGGGAGGGGACCCAAGTCTAAATACAAAAATTTGTGCTTCATGTGCACCTTATACACACAGCATGAAGGTAATTTTATGCCATGTGCCTGCGATCTGTGACCTATCTCATGAGGTCAGGTATGGAATTTTCTACTTGTGGCATCACATAGATGTTCAGAGTTTCAGATTTTGGAGCCATATTTGATTTTTGGATTAGAAATGCTCAGCCTAAAGTATGACTAATGCTGTGAAAACATGAGCGATAGTCCTTTTTTTTAGTTAGGGTTTTGAAGATGGATTCTTCCTAGCACCAGTACGAAGCACAGAATGTGGATTATTTTTAAGTTCTCATCTCTGTTCTGTAATCTGTAACACTGTAATTTGCTCTTATGTTTTTTTCTCCTTATTTTTGTTTTCCTTTAATTTCTTATGTAGATTTCAGAGAGGCTTGTTTGTATTTTTACTTTTAAAAGTTCTTGGACCTAATGTTTTAAAAACTTGTGAAAAATAACATACATAAAAATACATAGATAAAAATACACATGACTACACACAATAAGGGGTTATAATGTGAACATCTGATTTTTTAATTCTGCTCCCAGCTGCCATCCCATTATTAGAAATTATACATTCTTATACACTGTCCTTTAAGTGACTACCCTAGGAAATACAAGTGTACTCCTAATTTGTCACTTGTTACTATTTATAATAATAAAAATTGCCACTTTCCTCAAACATTGCAAGGGACTCAAATCTTCATCCTCATTATCTTCAAGTTATATGCTGTTGTCAATATATGTATATATAAACCTCTACAAAACATTTTTTATGTAACCTGTATTCACCTTGGTTTGCCACTTATTTCTCCTGTGTGTCAGTACTCCTTCCTCATCTGCACTTCCACCTGGGATTACTCTCATTGTTTCCTCCAGTTGAACCTCCCAGTGATTACTTTTGTCTTTGCTGTTCTGAAAATGCACTTGTCTCACCATTATTTTATTCTTGCTCTCTCTTTTTTGGGTGGAACTGGGGTTTAAACTCAGGCTTCATGCTTGCAAAGCAGGTGTTCTACCAACTGAGCTATTCCTTCAGTCCATCACCATTCTCTTAAGAGTGTTTTTTCTCCATGTCCTGATCTAGGCTGGCTGACATCAGCCTTTGGTGGTTTCTGCTGTTACAGACAAGAAGCCAGAGTCAGTCTTACTTTTGCTTCCTTTGCAAATAATCTTTTTTCATTGACTGCTTAACTTTTTGTCTGCAGTTTTTCTTTTCATGGACTAGAGTTTGAACTCAGGGCCTTGTGCTTGCTCTATCACTTGAGGCACACTCTCAGCCTGCTGTCTTCAATTTTCAGAAGTGTTTTTCAGATAATGCATAAACACGGGTGGTGGTTGTTGGGGTTTTTATTTTTTTTCTGATAATACCTAGTTCTCTGTTAAACTATCTTGTCTTTTATTCTCAATGGTATTAAGCAGTTACTTTGAAGTCTCTGCCTGATAACTTCTTAACTAAAATTCCTGCACATCTGTTTCTATTATAGGTTGTTTCTCTTCATGTGGTTTTATCTTCAGTGTTTCCTGGTTATTTATTTTCTCTTTTATTTTTGCTTAGTGCCAGACATTATGCAGTCTACGCTCAGTACTTTCTCTTCCGTAGGCTTGGGCCATTAGAATCCATAATCCCCTCGTTCCAGTTTCAGAAAGTGAGGTGCCTGGAAGCTGACTCAAGTCCCTGTGTACAGCAGCTTCTCTGCCTCTAACACGGCATGTCTCAACCTTGACACTACTGACACATCAGGCCAGACGGGTGGGGGCTCCTGTGTGTTTTAGGATAGTTAGAACCCCTCGCTTCAACCCAGGTACCAGTAGCAGCCCCTGTTCCCCTCCCTCCACCATCCCCACTGAGTCTTGGTAGCTAAAAACGCTCCAGATGTCATGAAATACCTGCTGGGACACAGTCATCCCCTTAAAGTTCACTGCTGACACATTAGATCCACCCAGAGTGTATGAAGCTGTGAAGTCTCTCCATAGCAGGCATGGAGTCCAGTTTTTGTCCCAGTGGCTTTACCAGACCATAACAAGGAATTACATGATTAATTTTAGGTGAATTTCTACTAAACATGGTTATAGTAAGAAAAGTGCTTTTGATTCTTAGAAAAGTAGCCTTGATATGCCAAATACCTAACATGTCATTGGCTAGCTCACACCTGATGTTAGATAAAGTGTTTCATAATATTGTTATGTTCCAAAGTTACCTAGAATTTTTTAAAAACAAAACAAAGGCAGAGAACTGACTATATTGAATTAGTACAGGAGCTACTTTCCTTTTCTAGGTCACCTACAATGGCTGGAGGGTTGTTTGCCATGGACAGACAGTATTTCAGTGAGCTTGGGCAGTATGACAGTGGCATGGATATCTGGGGAGGAGAAAATTTGGAGATATCATTTCGGGTAATTTTATTTTTGTGTGTTTTCAGTTATTAAACCTTGTGTGTGATGAATCTAATTGCCATCCACCATCTCATTTGCCTGTAAACGTTCCTTGCTCATACTTATTGGTGGTGTCCTCAGAGCACGTCACTTTACTATCGTCTGTGACATGGATCACATCTACTCAGTGAGAGTGTGTAAGAATATGTGTATTTTATAAGCATTTTTAAAGTATGGTCAACATAACATCAGGACATTTTAATATGTGTCTAATCTAGACTTCATTCGTTTTATTGATACTACTAGATACATATAGTAGGGTAATCAGATTTCCTTGTTACAGTGACGCCACAGTATTTAAGTAATTTTATTTATTTATTTTTTTCCCCTTGGGAAAATAAGACATTTATTTTATTTTATTTTATTCATATGTGCATACAATGTTTGGGTCATTTCTCCTCCCCTCCTTACCCCCCTGCCCCCTCCCTTGCCCCCCCAACCCCTCGCTACCAGGAAGAAACTATTTTGCCCTCATCTATAATTTTGTTGAAGAGAGAGTATAAGCAGTAATAGGAAGGAACAAGGGTTTTTGCTAGTTGAGATAAGGATAACTATACAGGGAGTTGACTCTCATTGCTTTTCTGTACATATGTGTTACCTTCTCAGTTAATTCTTCTCAAACTAACCTTTTCTCTAGTTCCTGGTCCCTTTCTCCTATTGGGCTCAGTTGCTTTAAAGTATCTGCATTAGTTTCTCTGCGTTGAGGGCAACAAATGCTATCTAGTTTTTGGATGTTTTAAGTAACTTTAGAAATGAATATTTCATGGTTTTATAATGTAGTCCATGTTTAGTTCATTTCAGAAAGATAATTTTTAAATATCCCCTCTGACTCTTCCACTTGAGTGTTTGTGTCTGATAAGACATCCTGTAAAGTTTCACAATGGTTATTAGTGAGGTTCATGCCTAACTCTGCAGCATTGTGAGTTGACACATCTTTGCTCCTGGCCAGATCTGGATGTGCGGCGGGAAGCTCTTCATTATCCCTTGCTCTAGAGTAGGACACATTTTCCGAAAACGGCGACCTTATGGATCTCCCGAAGGCCAGGACACCATGACACACAACTCTCTGAGGCTGGCACATGTCTGGTTGGATGAATACAAGGTGAGGTTCGGTGTCCTTTGCAGAGGACGAATGATAGGGTGGCCACTCCTTTGCTGATGGCTGGGGTGATTTTTTTCATTCTTGTTTCTTTTTGCTTTGCTGATCTTCACTTTAGGGCTGGTCTTTAGGTGTCTCTATACCCACAATTTCACTCAATTTTGGTTCTAACCTGACTCTTAATTTTCTTTGCTTTTTTTTTTTTTTTTTTTTGGGTGGTCTTGGGGGTTTGAATTCAGGTCCTCACAGTTGCTTAGGCAGGTGTGCTAGCACTCAAACCATACCCTAGCCCTTTTGTGCTTTTGTTATTTTTTCAAATAGGGTTTCACATTTTACCAGTGCTGGTCTTGAATCAGGATCCTTCTGTTTATGCCTCCCACATAGCTGGAGCCACAGGCATGCCTTACAACACCTGGCTTGTTGGTTGAGATGGGATCTTTGTGCATGGGTTGGCCTTAAAGCGTGATCTTCCCGATCTCCACCTCCTGAAGAGCTGAAATTACAGATGGGAGCCACCATACCTAGCCAGCCCTGGTTCTTTCTCTATGTGGCTATTCTGTAAGAAAGAGAATGCAGCCAGCTTCAGAAGCTGTCTGCCACTTGAGCCACACCTCCAGTCCATTTTGCTCTGGTTATCTTGGAGATAAGATCTCCGCAAACTGTTTGCCCTGGCTTGAACCAATCCTCCCCATGTCAGCTTCTCAAGTTTCTAAAATTATAAGTGTGAGACTTTGGTACCCAACCAGCTTTCCATATTTTCTTTGTGATATCTTTATTAGTATAATTCACATACCAATTTTGGAACATTTTATTGCACCAAAAAAAAAAAACCAGACCATAGCCTTTAACTGTTAACCTCCATTGTCCACGCCTTAGATAACCAATAATCTATTTCCTGACTGTAATTAAATTGCGTTTTCTAGTCTGTAACCCTAGCTACTCAGGAGGCAGAGATCAGGAGGTATGGTTCGAAGTTAGCCCTGGCAAATGGTTCACAAGACTCTACTCAAAAATACCCATCACAAAACAGGGCTGTTGGGGTAGCTCAAGTGGTAGAGTGCCTGCTTAGCAAGTGTGAGGCCCTGAGTTCAGACTCCACTGCCACCAAAAAAATAAATAAATACATACATACAATGAGTTATTTTAATGAATTAATATGTTTACATTTCTTTGGGAGGCACCAGTGGGAGGGGGAAAAGAAGAATGTGATGGGGTAAATATGATCAAAGTGTGAAATTATATATATATTTGAAAGTAGCATAATGAAACCCACTAAAAACTATTAAAGGGAGGGAGTGAAGAAAGAGTAAAACAGGGTGAATTTGATCAAACTACATTATATGCATGTATGTGAATATCAAAATTAACATTTTTGTACAATTAAATTTTTAATATGGCAAATATTCTTAGATATACCCCACACAAACAGAACCTCTTGGAGTCGTCAGCAGTTTAAAGAACGTAAAGTCCTATGACCAAAGAGTTTAAGAGTCACTAATCTCAAGTATAGTCTATTTTATTGTTGGTAAAATAGACTTTATAGATTTTGTCATTTCTGAAATCAGAGTGTATCTTACAATTCAATGTATGTCTCATTATTGTTGTCAGCTAATGACAGATTTAATTGTGTGAAAAGTTTCCATTGTTTTCTGGCAACATCAAGAAAACTGGAATGAGACCAGGTACCATGGCTCACGCTATAATCTTAGCTACTCAGGAGGCAGAGATCAGGAGGATTATGGTTCGAAGCCAGCCCAAGGAAACAGTTTGCAACACCCTATGTTGAAAATACCTAACACACACAGAAAAAGGGCTGGCTCAAGATGTAGGCCCTGAATTCAAACCTCAGCAACACACACACACAAAACTGGAATGGAAAAATACTTTTGTTCATAACTCATTGTTTTTAAACCTCATACAGGATTGCTTAATATTGATTTTTAACAAAGAAATTCCATCCTCATGTCTTTGTACATTTAGGAGCAGTATTTTTCTTTACGGCCTGATCTGAAGACCAGAAGCTATGGAAACATCAGTGAACGTGTTGAGTTGAGGAAGAAGTTGGGCTGTCAGTCATTCAAATGGTATTTGGATAACATTTACCCAGAGATGCAGATACCTGGGCCCAATGCCAAGCCTCAGCAGCCCATTTTCATCAACAGAGGGCCCAAGCGCCCCAGAGTCCTTCGGCGTGGAAGGGTGAGGCAGCCATCTTACTGATTGATTGAGGAGGGTGTGATATGAAAAGTTTTGAGATGATACTATAAATGACATACCAGACTTCATAAAGCCTAGCTCTAACTATATGTACTTTCAGGACCTTCCTCTACTTGAGCATAAGTGTTTAGAAATTGTAGTATCTTGGGATGGAGTATGGCTTGAGTGCTAGAGCAGCTGCCTGGCCGTGCAAGGCATTGACTTGTTCAGACCTCGGTGTTGCCAAAAATTTAGTATCTTGCTGTTAATGTAAGATCCTTAGCCGGGCGCTGGTGGCTCACACTTCTAGTCCCACCTGCTCAGGTGGCAGAGATCAGGAGGATCACCGTTAGAAGCTAGCCGGGGCAAGTAGTTTGAGAGACCTATCTCAGAAATAGTCGATAAAAAGAGAGCTGGTGGAGTGACTCAAGGTGTAGGCCCTGAATTCAAGCCACAGTACTGCAAAAAAAAAAAAAAAAAAAAAAAAACACAAAAAAAATCCTTTACCTGTTGGTCTTTTTCTTTTTAACCTATTGGTCTTCATAAAAGCATGACTTTTATGAAGTTGTGTGAGACAAGTTATGTGGCAGCTTCCAAGAGCATAGACGCATGTGACTAAAAGCAACGTAAGCAAATATAAAATGATTCCCCAAAGGAAAACAAGTGAAATGGAACTGCTCTCTACTGCATAGTCATAGCTCTGGGAGCCCAGTGTAGCAGGTTAGGGTCAGAGTGATGGCACCAGGTGGGGTTTCCCACCCAAGGTGCTGAGCAGTCTTCTGAGCTCACACAGAAGCACACCTATGGACCCATTTGTGTAATCAACCTAAGTTCCAGGGCTCGGTACCTAACAACATTACAGCGCTCTGAGCATTCAGGGTCGGTGCTGTCATTGTTGCCCAGTTTCTCTTTCTATGTTACTAAGAAGGCACACGTCCAGTTTTTATAATGCCATCTGTTTTCAGGGACTAGAATTGATTCTGGCTATTTCCCTCTTGTTCTGTTCTATAAAACAAAAAAATCAGGATGTTTGTTAAGTAAAAAGAGCATGTGTGTCCATATGGCTGGAAACCTCCCACTATATTTCTATCTCACCATTGGAATAGGTGTTTAGCTCCAGTTCAGCATTGTATCACATTTAATTATGTTGTCTTTTTAATACCTTTTCTTATTCCCTTGACTTTAAGTTCTTCAGGGTGGGGATATTTTAATGTCCTCTACCCCCTGTAGGAGATCATGATCCTGTATATTTAGCTAGAATTTGTTCTCGACGCTGTTTGTGAATGTTAAAATGGCTAATTATTTTGTGATGTCTCCAGGCTCCCCTGGACAAAGGTGCAGTTCCTGTGGAGTAATGCTTCCATGTATCTTCCAGAGCCTTGTCCTCAGCAGTCAGACCTCCTTGATCTTGGTCTCTGCACGCTGAGTTGTCATGTGCTTTCTCCTTTTTTGCAGCTTTATCACTTCCAGACCAACAAATGTCTGGTGGCTCAGGGCCGCCCCAGCCAGAAGGGAGGTCTAGTGGTGCTTAAGGCCTGTGACTATGGGGACCCAGCTCAGGTGAGTAACCCCTCCCAGCACGTAGCCGCTTGAGGAAGGCAGCCTGAGGACATGATATGTTAATGTGCTTACTCCTTAAGTTACACATTTTAAGTTGGGGATGACCTTGGAGGTCATTGTAGACAATTACTTCCTTTTTCATCTGTTTGTCCTGCTTTGGTTTATTTGTCTTGGTAGCATGGTCAGTTGTTGAGAACATGATGTGTGCTTTCTGCTGTTACATGGATTTAACTGATTTCACCAACTCTAGGAGCTTGTTAGAAGTGGCAGGTGAAGTGTGCCTTCTTCCAAACAAGAACCTTTAATTATAGTAAATGGATCAATGTATCTTTTTCTCTCAAATCAAATTTTCCTGACCAATTTTTGTGGTGCATCAAAAGAAACAACAGAATCTGAGTTCATTTAATTCACATAGTTTCACTTACTGTTTGTCTTTTTAGTATTAAAATAGCCCTAAATATAAGTTAATAACTTATTTCAGTTTGCCACTTGAATTTCAGACTGATTTGTATCTGACAAAGTCACCTAACAGCCTCCAGGCACCAGTGACTCACACCTGTGATCCTAGCTGCTCAGGAGGCAGAGATCAGGAGGATTGAGGTTTGAAGCCAGCCTGGGCAAATAGTCCATGAGCCCCTATCTCAAAAAAGCCCTTCACAAAAAGAGCTGGTAGAGTGGCTCAAGGTGAAGACCCTGATTTAAAGCCCCAGTACTGCAAAAACAAACAAAAAACCCAAAAACCTAACAGCAATCTAATCTCACAGTTGCTGTCTCCAGACTAAAGTGCTCACAACATGGCATTCCTGTTTCCATTTGCATTTTGGTGGTGTGTTGCTGTCACACAACAATAAACCTTTGACTTTTTGGTCAACAGTGCATTCTTTGAAATTTCCTAAAGCATGTTTTACTTCTGAGAGTGCTGCATACTATGGAAGGTGATACGGATGTTAGGAAATTGTTTTAAAAAGCATTTTTTAACCACTTCTGGATAGGGAAAGTGCATGATTGCCTGGCCCTGTTACTACAGGTCTGTGGGCAGTCAGTGCCTTGTGGTGGAAGTACATGGCAGAGCAAAACCACTCACCTCACAGGCCCAGGGAGTGGAAAGGAAGAGGAAGGGGCCAGGGAGTGGCTCCTTCAGTGATCTGAAGACCTCCCATGAGACCCACCACCTCCCAGTAGTGCCAGCCTGAGGACCAAGCCTTTAAGGCACGAACTTTGGGGGACTCCAGATGTAATCACAGCAGGTGCCACACTTCCTCCTGTGTTTATTCTGCTTCCACTAAGTCTCATACATTGGCCTGTTTGTTTTCTGATCATAAATAAGTCCATTTTTTCTTCCACAGATACATGAAGTATCCAATCCTGAATTTCACCATCTAAAGCAAAAGATTTTTTTTTTTCCTCCAGATCTGGATTTATAATGAAGAACATGAATTGGTTTTAAATAATCTCCTTTGTCTAGACATGTCAGAAACTCGCTCGTCAGACCCGCCACGGCTCATGAAGTGCCACGGGTCAGGAGGATCCCAGCAGTGGACGTTTGGGGTGAGGAACTCCCAGCTCATTTGGTGATGTGGGGAGGGTGGGAGGAGGCTTAGAAGATGACTCAGATTCTGCTCTGGGGAAGGTCTTCAGAGATGGCAGTGTCCCTTAACTCATCTTCATTTTAATCAATCATGAACACTCCACAGCTCTTTGGCACTGTGGTGTCTCCTTTACCATATCCTGCCACTATGTTTTTATTTTTTAATTTGGTACTGGGGTTTGAACTCAGGGCCTCACACTTGCTAGGCAGGCACTCTACCCCTTGAGTCACTCTGCCAACTCTTTTATGTGTTGAGATTTTTCGAGATAAGATCTCAAACTATTTCATAGGCTGGCTTTACCATAATCCTCCTCCATCTCTGTCTTCCAAGTAGCTAGGATTACAGGTGTGAGCTACCGGCGCCCAGCTTGTTTTTGAAATAAAAGCAAATAACTTTTTTTTTTTTTTTTTTTTAATTCAGAAAAACAACCGGCTGTACCAGGTTTCTGTTGGACAGTGCCTGAGAGTGGTGGATCCGTGGGGTCAGAAGGGCTCTGTTGCCATGGCAATCTGCGACGGCTCCTCCTCCCAGCAGTGGCGTCTGGAAAGTTAAGGTGGACCCCAGCTAGGTGGTGACTCACCAGGCTTTCTTCGCCCACTACAAAGCAAGGTGCTCCGTAAAGAATGCCCCTGAGCTGACCCCATGACTGGGTGGAGCAGTCATGGATAAGTTGCCAGCATGGGGGAGGGTGTTTCATAGGACAGTTTTGAGCTGATGTTACAGATGTGTTGCTTATAGAGGGAAAACAGAATAATTTTAATCCTATAGAGTTAGGCTTCTGCAGAGCAAAGCCTGAGCAGTGGCCATTACTACGCCTCCTCATTCCCGAGGGAGCAGGACTCACCACGCTTTCCCTTCCTGGGAGACTGCATGGCCACGGTTAGTATGTTCTCAATAGATAACTTCAATGACTGGTTGAATGCACATTACTTTTAACGTCAGAAGGCATCATTTATGATATTTAAGAGGCAGTTAACTATTATAAATTATTTTGATGATTTAGCATACAATCTACATGTAAATAAAGGATCTGTTTGATGATTTAAATAGGATTTTTTCGGTCTGCTTTTTATTTCCCCTTGCCGTGGGCTGGCCTCTTGCCTGGGGAGGAGGTGTTGAGGTGAACTCCTCGTGGGTTCAGGTGATGGGCCAGGCAGCGGTGCTCCCTTAGGAGGCAGCCCCCTCCTCATGTGAGCTGTGGGAACTTGTGCACTTATGTCACTTTGCTGGGAAACTCCCAAGTAGTGGCTACATGGCAGTTGGGTATAGAAGTTGGGATCTTAGAAGAGTTAGCTCAGTTAGAGACTTGGTAAATAGCTGCATATATTGTTCAGTGTCAGAATATAAGGTGAAGTCCACCCCTCCCAAAACTACATTTCAGAAGAGATGCAGTATTGCAGGAGCTCACTTTGTTTTTTGGGGGAGGTGGTATTGGGGATTTAACTCAGGGCCTCATGTTTGCTAAGCAAGTGTGATACCACTTGAGCCACCATCCTGGTTCTTTTGCCGTTAGCTTGTTTTCCAGATAGGATCTCACACTTTTGCCGAGGTGTCTTTGGATCATGATCCACCAACTCTCCCTCCTGAGTAGCTGGGACCACAGGTATGTGCCACCATGCCTGGCCCAAGTGATTTTATCTTGAACCACAAAGCAGTTTAAGCACCATATTAGATTAGAAGTGACTTGTATCCTGTTTCATGTTATTTGACTTGATGGGTCAGTCAGATGATCCCTCTAGTGAACAGAAGGCAGCAGTGTGGTAGATTGAAACCCCAACAATCTGTCACATCAAAGGTAATGCAAATGAATATAAATGCTTCAAATGCAGAGATTGTTAGATGGTAAGAATGCAGGACCAACTATAGGCTACCTATAAAAACTCACTATAACCATGAAGACACGTGTTAAAAATAAATGGGAAAACATGTCTTTCAGTTAGATTTTAATGTACATATCTGGAATAGTTCTGTTAATGTGGATAGAGTAGAGCAGAGACTATTGCCAGGGATGGTAACGAGTGTTTTCATGGTGGTAAGAGGCTTAATCATTGGGCAGAAATAATCCTGACTATAACCACTACCACAGCCTCAGAACACATGCCACAAAATTCATAAAACTTGAAGCAGATGGTCTACGTTAGGGATTTCAATATGGCTCTCAATAACCGACACATAGAAAAAGCAATGGGATGCAGATGCCTTGAACAGTCAATGGCAGCCAACATGACCCAGCTGACATTTCTGGACAGTACTCAACAACAGAACACAGGTCTTTTCAAGTACACAATGGGCTACTTACCAACATAGACTGTCACCCAGGATGTTAAAGAAGACTAATAAACATACACAAATTCAATCATGCAGATCAGAGATGAGTAACAGAAAAAGTGCCACTTCCACTTGGAGGTCAGAGAAGAAATCCAAAGGCTATTTTGAAGTGGCTGCAAATGAAAGCATATCAAAGCTTCTGGCCCAGGGCTCATTTAGTACTTGGAAATTTTTCAGCACTGAGCATCTGTATTAGAAAAGAACAAAGGGGTCAATGAATCCTACCTCCCTAAACAAAAAGAAGAGTGCATGCAGTAGAGGCTCGAGGAGCAGAAAGAAATGAAGTAGAAAATAGCTGGATAAAAGAAAAAAAAAAGCAATTCCTGCCGTGAGACCCCTGACGTGAGGAGTGAGCATGGCTATCGCTGACAGCTTGCAGATGCCATGAGGACATAGAGCTGGGCGGCTCTTTCTTGTTGAGAATGGAAAGTCTTCAACACTGAAGGGTGATGCAGTTTCTTACAAAATCAGACATGCTGTATCCCTGGTATTCACCCACAGGAGCTGAAAACTTCTGTCCACACAAAGGCCTGTATGTGACTCTCTAGCTTTTACTGCCAGTGCTGAAAAAGATGTGGAAAAAGTTTGACAGAATCTAACACAATTTATGATTAAAAACTGTACAAAAACTGTGGAGACTCGTCTTCAGAAAATGGAAAGCTTTTCCAAACTCACTTAAAAGGGGAAAGCCGTTGAAGAGAACTCATGTCACCAAGCCCCCTTCAGCATAAGAGCTGGAAGCAGCACCCTATTAGTCTACAAAGGAGCTCGTGACGCCTCCCTCAAGAGGTTGTAAGGACAGGGTTGCAGGTGGCCAGGTGACTCACGGAGATTTCTGCAGCACTTGGCATTTTACCTCTTGCTTTCTGCGTCTCCTGGTTTTTAGGTCACAACTGTGACCACACTTAATGATTTCCAGCCAGATATGACTTCTCACAACACATAAACTTACACAGTGAAGTTCCATTGCATTTACTTCACCACACACCGTGCATTACCAACCACTCACATCATCTTTGACCACCACTTCTTTTTGATAATAGTTTTAATCTACATTGTTATAAAATACATAGCATAGAAAAATTTCTTAAAAGAACTGGAAAATTCCTCAACCCAATAAAGGCCTACATGGAATACTATAGGATGCCTGTTCTGACCTCTCACAACTTTTTCCAACCTTATAGTGGTACAAAAGCAGATCCATCAGCTTTTTTGCTCTTAATTTTCAGTACACTATTCGATGCATTACTTGAGATGCTCAATATGTTACTATAAACTAGATTTTTGTTCAGTGATTTTTGCCCAAAGAGGCTAAAGAAGTGTTCTATGCACGTCTGACAGGAGAGGCTAAGCTGCAGTGCTGGGTAAGCCTGGTGTATTAGACAAGCGGGCATCTTCAACTTAGATTTTCAACCTGCTGGACATACGTGTGACCCCATCCTAGGTCGCAGAGCACCTGAAGACATAGCAAGGGACCTCAGGACCTCAAAAGGTCAATGTAATAATGTCTGCCTACAAATTGACAACAAACAGTTTGAAATTTAAGTCAGTAATAGTGTGAGCACAATTTACAGTAACATTAAAACATGGATGGAGCTTAGGTCACATGTGTAACAAAGTGTGTATACACCAAGATAGTAAAGTTTTGAGAGGAAAATGTGTCTTCATGACGTCAAGGCAGGCAAACACTTCCTGAGCAGCTCATTCGGAGAGCTAGCCACAAAGTCTTAAAACAACTCAGCTTCCATCAAAATCAAGCTGCTTTATCAAGACACTATTGAGCAGATGAAAAAAAGGCACCAAACTCACAAAAATCCTATTTTAAAGGACAAAGTACTTGAACATCAAAGAAGTGCATAAATGACATGCGAATGTTCTCGATGTCATACCTACTGGAAAAATTAAAACCATGACCAGCTAGAGAACGCAGGCTGCATGGGACCCAAGGAAGAGGAGACAGCCCAGGTCTCACAGGGGTCTCCTGCTGACATCTATGGAAACCAGAGCAAGAAGCCACAGAGCACTGGACTGTGGCTGCCAAGGACTTGGACTCTGTAGATCACAGACATTCCGAGGCACTTTCAGGAATGACACTTCAGCAGGATGCACGGCCCTCTCTTGTGGTCGGCAGGCCAAGTCCTGGTGTCCACGCCCAGGTCTGCGGAGCGCCTGCAGAACCTCGTGATGAGAACTGCACTTAGTCGTTCACTATTCACCCAGCTGCCTTAGGGACGTGGCACAGAGTTCTTCAGCTCTGCCAGGTGAGGGCAGCTCCTGAGGAATGGGTGCTGGTCCACAAAACAAGGGCCAGAGAGCATTTTAAAGAGGCAGTGGTTGGTCCTATCAGCTGTTTGAACAGAGATCTTAGAGCGGCACCTACTTAGAGCAGAATTACTTCACCTGTAATTCTGAGGGGCCAGCTTCATCTTCATTTCTGAGTATGTGGCAAAAGAATTACAGGCAACTGGTAGAGGTGACTGCTTGATGTCTGCATGGGGGAGATGAGGTTTGGTTATTGCTCCTACTTTCATGCCCAGGACTTACTGCAAGTTGGAGCCTGGGTAGCCATGCAAGTTGCCACCCACCACAGTTGAGCCTATCCTGTGTCCTGTGCCTGCTGGAGCAGATCCTGTACCTTGTGCCTTTTCCTTCCACAGGCTTCAAGCCTCCCCGATTTCCTCTCCCAAGCCCCTACTCCCTATGAGAATCTGTTTAAGTGGCTGGATCTGATGGCTACCATTATTATCTTTCTCGCCTTTTCTGGCCTTCATAAAGCAACGAGGAGCTGGCTTTCACTCCAACAGCTAAGTGTCAAGGCCCAGCGGGAGCCAAGGCCTTTCTTCGCTTGTTCACCAGTCAGTGACCAAGCTCAGTGGCAGGAGAGAAAGATGGCATAGCAGAGTTCTAACAATGCACTAGATTGCCAGCATTCCCACCTTTCACCTGCAGATACTCCAGCAGGAGTTGTTTTACCAGAGTATTTAAGAAGTTTTTTCAGATGACTGACAGGTCCTTTAAGAATTTCTACAAGATAATGCAATTCAGGAGCTCACTGTTTCAGTGTTCCCAGGAGGGACGAGTGAAAATCTGTCTTAGGCAACGAAGGAACCTCTGTTTTTTTACTTATTCTTGAGACAGGGGTTCCCTATGTGGCCAAGACTGACTTCAAACTTGCAATCCTCCTGCCTCAGCCTCTGAGTGCTGAGATTACAGGTTGAGCCAGCACACCTAGCTCTTAGAAGCTTGTTTACATTAAAAACATCAACTGTATTTAGTCTGATAGAAATGTGTATAAATCTGGAAAGCAGCTTGAGGGGGGAGGGAAAAAAGCCAGTGCAGTGGCGCCCCTTGTAGTCCCAGCTTCTTGGGAGGCTGAGAACCAGGAGGATTGTATGAGCCCAGGAGTTCATGGTCAGCCTGGGCCACAGTGAGATCCTGACTCCAAAAGGTGTTCACCATCTTTTGGACCAAATTTACCATTTGAACAAAAACAAGGTTTGAAAAGAAACAGGCCCAAGAATAATTTTTAATCTGGCCTTGGTAAATACAGTTAAAGTAACAAGTTTCTGTGTTTAGTCTACAGAAGACGGGATGGGGGATTTACATGGCTAGTGGAATGAGCTTGAACCTATGACTCAACCCATTTGAAAAGAGCTGAGCTGATGTTAAGAAATACGGTATGTTGCATTCTGAGACAGGATCAGATGAGCAGTGAGCTTCTCTGAACGCAAGAGATCAACAACAGGACACAAGGCCAGAATTATACATGTAAAATATTTTATTTGTAAATGGTGATCTTCTAAATCTGTGTCCACAAATTCCAAAACCCATAACACTCTGTATACTTCAAAAAATTCAATTTTTGTCAACATTAGATACTATTATACAGAACAGAAACAACAGAAACCCGGCAGGACAAATACTGGTAGGATGTCAGAATATTGTACAAGAGAAGAAAAATATTCAAGAAACCATTTCATACAGCTATTTATCAAGAGAAAAATATATACAATTGATTTATTCTGTAAGATAAAAATACATCATGCCATATACATTACAAGTTCTGAACTGTGTCACTGAGTGTACCAACAGCTTACAGCCCCTTGAATTGTGCACAGAACTTCATTTATACTGAGCCCGCCAAGTGTCAGTACCAGAATTTTAAGTACAAAATAAAAACCTAACCTGCTTCAAAATGCTGAGTAAGTTTCTACAAGCAAACACAAAACAGTGTTTTTTATTAAAGAAATGTAAACAAACAGTTCATACAAACACATTTTAAAATTACATCTTCGAAAAACCCTATTGCCAAAGTCCTGCAGCTGTGAGCATAATCACCCCCTCTTTTATTTATTTTTTTTTTCTTTTTCAATTTTTTGTGTTAAATAGAAGTCTGAGGAGTTAGGGTTAGTTCCTGCTACATGATTCTATTATGTGGACATGATTCTCTGTGGTCTGCAACAAAGTTCTAATCAAAACTACTTTGCTGAAGAAAAAATTCAGCCCCCATTTGGGTGTATTTTTAAGCAGTTATTCACAGTTATCACAAATTGTAAGCACAAAAAACCTGACTGAAGAAGTAGGGATGCAACAATATAATATGAAAAATTAGTTTAACTTACCAAAACAGCTATAAAAGTTGTAGTCATAAGCATACACTGTTCTGTCAGAAGTTAGGTGTATAAAACAATTAAGTCTAATGGACATGGTTTCCAAAAACCCTGACACTCAAGGGTGAACTTTTGGTTATTACATAATTACAATGGCATCTTTAATAACACAAAATTATATTGTAACATCCCTATGATGTTTATAAGCACCCGAGCTGCTGCAGAGCCTGGTAGCATTTGGTCAATAACTATTTTTATACTGTATTTTTCTCAAAATATTTACATATTTGTACAAAGTAACAGGTTTGTTAGTTCTGCAGGTAACAGCAGCAGCTTGGCTTTCTTCTAACTTTTATTTAAAAATAGCTTCATTCACTTATTCAATAATAAATACAAAAAGTTTCTCTTATTTTACAGAAATCAAAAACTACAATGACTGACTCATGGAATCAAGTATTTAAATGTGTTTAGTGCAAGTTATCGTCCCTTAGCTCTGTCCCTAAGGAAGTCCTCTCAGTACATTCCTTCATCAGTGGTGGCCTGCCCCTCAGCAAGGCGCGGCCAGCGCTCCGGACACCCCTTTCGCTGGTGATTTCACTTACATTCATAGGAAGGCTCCCCACCCTGGGGCAGGACAGCCGTCGGCTCTTTGCCCTAGTAAAAGTTTCTCCTTAGTGAGACTAACTAACAAAACGAAACAAACTGAAAAAAAACCAAAGCAAAACAAAACAAAACCCACCAAAAAGGAAACAAAGAGGAGGAAAAGAAAGAAAAGTAACAGAAGAAAAGCAAAAGTGCTGGACCGTTCTGCGACTCTGCTCACCCCAGCACAGGAGACCTGCTTGGTCGGCTTCTCCCGCACTCCCTTAACCAAAAGGCTGAGGAACCAGAGCTCCCAGAAGCTGTTTTCAAAAAGTCATAAACAGAAAACAAAAGTATCTTTCTGTCTGCAAAATTCCAATGGCATGTAGAATCGCCTCTTCCTAGGGACGAGCCACCGCTGAGACAGCAGGAATGCATTCAGTTCATCCACTTCCGGCAGTTGACCGCTCCGCAGTGGCACGGAATCTTGTGCTGGTCGTCTTCGAAGTCAAACTTATAGTCGTAGCAGAGCTGCCCACGGCAAAGACACAGCGTGAGAGGGGACATCGGGGGAGGCAAGCAGACAGATACAGGTTCAAGGAAGACCTGATGCACTGAGTTCCCCAGGACGCTGGGAGAACCCCAAGAGGAAGTAAAGAAACAGAAGTGCCATGCTCTAACAGGAAATGGTCAGACTTGAGAAAGGGGAGCCTGGATGGACAGGGTTACACTTCTTTGTCTTCCTGCAGTGCTGTTGCTGTTCGTGTACAAGGGACTATGTGGACACCATTTTGGGCCATACCCCTATCCTGCTCCCGATTTGGGCTTTGATGACTTTGCCCTTGCCAGCTAACACTGTTCTTTCTTTTTCATCTTTCCTCACTTAAGAGTATTTTAAGGCTGTCTCCATTCTCAGGTGACATCTCTGACCACTCAGCTACCAAGGTAGCTGGGAATGGGCATCACTTCAACAGAACACATCTGCCTCTCTGTCCCCCAGGGTCTTTGTAACGCGCACATCCTTGAACACTATTTGGGAAGACTTTCTACACAGAAAGGAATGAACTGTGTTTACTGAGCAGCAGTTGCTCTTGGTAAGTAGACTCGCTCTTTTATTAGGTGTTTATCAAGTTCTTTCAGCTCTGTAAGGAAACTATTCCTCCATTTTATAGGAAGCAAGACAGCAGCTCGGAAGGGCCAGTGGACTTATTCTGGAAGGCTCAGATGGGAAGGGGCTGCGGGGCTCCAGCGTCACGTCGGCAGGCGTTCCCGCACACTGTCCTGTCACTCAGGTTACTGAGATATGCAGTGACCCTTGTTCTTGATTTAAAAAGCAGATGCCCAAAAGATGACCAAATACAGAGGTATGATCCCAGAGCTGTGCTCATGTCGGGGCCATGGACTCCCACACAGTAAAGACGCTTAGGCTGGCCACTCCCCAAACTGGCTGGGTTCCTTGTAGAAACCCACAGGGCTCCATGAGAGCTTACCAACAAACGCCAGTTCTAGACCTACAGCACTAGAACTAGGTGCCGAGCACAGGTGTCCATGACAGAGCTGGGGGGGAAATGATCTCAACAGGACCAATGTTACCTTATGAGACTGCTAGGCATTCTGGAGACAAAAATCACAAAACACTTAAACTGTGTGGAAACCTGCTGGTTGAAAAGCTACCAGCCTGTACTGATGTCATTGTGCATGTGGCTGCCCACGCTGTGCCTAGAGCTCTTCCACAGGACCAGTGAACCTCGTCCCCAAGATCACCAGGATCTAGAATGGCAGGCGTCATCTTGGAAGAGGGACACAACAAGCTGCCCAGGTCAGGAGACAAAGAAGGCTATAAGACAGGTAAAGGTGCCACATGCCCATGTCAGAACAGCCATGTGGAGGAAGGTGGCACTTGAATGCCTCAAGAGTGATATGACAGGTGGCAAAATGGGTCCTGTCACAAGGAATTTTCTAGCAATACAGAAATGGCAACAACCACACAGGTCACCTGTGCGCAGGAGAGAATGGGGAGCCCCACCCCTCACCTCTTCTCCTTTCTGGATCCTCCTATTGGAGCTGATGATAATCTTGTGTCCTCTCTCAAAAGTCACCACTTCAGCCACACAGTTAGGGGCGCATGAATGGTTTATATATCTGCAGAACATGTCAGAAAACTACTGATCATAAAACAACTAGGAGTCACAGGGAAAATGTCTTGCAATTACACTTCTACTCATCTGTTAACAAACAAGTACAGAGGAAAACTTTAATAAAAATTCTTCTTGAAACTCGTTTTCTCTAAGCCGGGTAGATAGCTCACATCTGTAATCCCAGCACTCAGGAGGCAGAGGAAGGAAAATGGAGAGTTTGAGCTAGCCTGGGCTACATGGTGAGCTCCAGGTCTGCCTCAGAGAACCTGCCTTAGGGAAAAAAAAATACAGGAATGGTAGCTCATGCCTACTTGAGGCAAAGGTAGGAAAACTAAGGTCTGAGGGCATGGCTCAAGTGGTGGAGTGCCTGCCTAGGAAGTGTGAGGTCCTGAATTCAAATCCCAGTGCTACCAAAAAACAGAGAAAGAAACTCTTTGGTTTTCTCTGAATCTTTGGCCACTGCCTGGGCTCAGTGAGGGTGTTTCTCCCAGCCTCCATCATTTCCACTGGCGCCGCCACCCTGAGCAGAATCCTCAGGCCCCTTCCGCCTCACCTTGCAGGCCCTCCTGTGAGAGTGGCATCAATCACGTGGTCATTGTCCATACGGAACATGTACACACCCCGGTTCTAGAAAGAAGGCAGGCAGTTATCAGTGGCTCAAAACTCCCTCTACCTCCTACCGCAGCAGGGGACTGTCCCTGTGGGTGTCTGCCACCCGCAGCAGACACATTTCCATGGGATCAATGGCAAGCATAGGCCAGCTGGCTGTTAGCAAAGCCAAGTGCAGTCATCTACGGTTACACCTGACACCAACTGAAAATGGTGAAACTCCAGGAAAGGGACAGGAGAACAGTACAAAACACCTCGCCGTGGCTTTTGTTCAAGGCTGAACACAGCATGGCAGATGTGACCTTGCCCTTCAGGTGTCTGGAAAGCACAGGGACAGAGAGGATGCTGCAGTCAAGTGGTGCAATCACAGAGACAAGACCCCTACCTGGGACTCGTACAGTTTCTCTTTCCTGTCTGCCACTTCGTTCCGGATGACAGTCCCGATGTACTCAATGACCATGGTGTGTTTCTCAATGTCCCTGGCAGCGTACAGGCCCAGGCCCTGCAAGAAAGGAGCGTCTGCTCACGGCAATCTGCTCAACGAAGCCAGCCTCTCTTTTACAGGCCTTTAAAGGCGCTATCCTTGGGTCTTCTCAAAAGCCATACTTAACAGATTCACCTGTCCTCAAATGATCCTTTATTGAATTTATTTATTGAATTACTTTCTGAAATTTAAAAACCCAACAGTCTTGCTATTGAAAACCATGCCATCAATACTTTGTTCCTATATCGTCTCTTTTTAACACCAAGTTATTAGAGGATATCTATGCTATGCTTTGACTGTGTCCCCTAATCTCCAATGCAACCGAGTTGAGAGGTGGAGTCTTGTAAGAGGTGATTAGGTCATAGGACCTCCGCCCCAGACACAAATTAGTGCTGTTATGGTAGGAGTGTGTTAGTTATCCTGGGAGGGGGTTCTGAGAAAAAGATGAGTTGGACCTGCTGCCCTTCTCTCTTGTCCTTCAGCCTCCCACCCCAGGATAACGCCCTCACCAGAGGTGGCCCCTTAATCTTGGCCTTCGCTTCCTCCAGAACAGCACACCAAATAAACTTCTATTGTTGGTAAATTATCAAGTCTGCAGTGTCCCATCATATGAACACAAAGTGGACGGAAACAGTCTACAGATAGCACTTGTTGGCTGGCTTATCCTCCATATAACACTGTGCTGAGCTGCCACCAACAAAGGGACTTAATGGCTTCTGGTACATAGTACTTACTTTTCAGGGGGTCTCATGTTGTCTATCCTCCTATCTCTACCTCCTGCAGAGCTGAGATTAAAGGCCAATTTATATTTTAAATAGCATTCTGGCTTCTGAGCAGGGACTGGATGGGAGGTGCTGACCAGGTCTGCCATAGTACAGACAAGTGAGAGGTGGGTAACATGGGGTGGGAGCCTGAGAGTGGACTGAAGAGAACTCTGAGGAGGGAAGGGAAGTCAACACAGCTTGATGGCAGTTTACATCTGGGGATACTGAGGCCGACTTGACTTAAGCACTGATACTACTCAGGAACATGAGATGTTTGGAGGACAGCTAGGCTTGGAGACTGGAGAAGTCTTACAAAATTATAAAACTTTAAGGAGCTTTATAACAATTCCATTCTGAGCTGCCCAAAGAGACACTGAATAGATACTTGAATTTTAGGCCTCAGCTCAGAAAGTGAGAACTACAGATGTATTTTAAATGCTGCCTACAGACAGTAGGTGCCAGTGGTGCACACCTGCAATCCTAGCTACTTAGGCAGAAATCAGGAGGGTCGTAATTGGAAGCCAGTCCAGACAAATAGTTCATGAGACTCTATCTCAAAAAAAAAAACAAAAAAAATTACAAAAAAGGGCTGGTAGAGTGGTTCAAGAGGTAGAGCACCTACCTAACAAGTGTGAGGCCCCGAGTTCAAACCCCATTCCCCATCCCCTCCACCCCCCGGAAAAAAGCAATGACTTCATGAAAAAGCAGCATCGAAAAGATTAAGGCAGCTTCCAACAGTAGAGTACCTTTTAAAAACACTTTCATTTTTATTTTTCAAAAGTGCTTTCTTGAAAGGGCTTATTGACCTCACCACAAATCCAGCACGACCTGCTTCCATGAGCCCTCGCTGAAATGCAGATCCAGCAGCAGTTCCAAGATGACACTGAATTACTAGTGTCACACACTGGCAGGACTAAACATGACTCTGAAAACTTGATTCTAGCTAGGGTCAGAGCTCAGTGGTGGTAAAGCACTTGCCTAGCATGCATGAGATGTTGGATTCAAACCTAAGCACCGCAAAAAAACCCAAAAAACAAATAGGACTCTCCCTGCAGCCACATTAAGTAACTTTCCACATACTGGACATCAGTGTCTTGAGATCCTGACTACCCTATCGCTCCTCTTCTAGAACACAAAATATTCACCTGGATCCGAGACCGAGCCAGATACACATTGGATTTCCACTCGGTCTTCATTCTTCGGTACTGTGATGACTTGGAGTGCACAAACTGCTTACTGTAGGGTGCATTCAGCTCTCCAGTGACTGTGCTCTGGAAGGACTTGGAGGTGCTGGTGCTGTTCAAGGTGTGAGGCCTGCAGATGATGGCGTGCCAACAGGAAAACAAAAGGAAACTGAAGACACTTCTGAACAGCACATACGCCAGACCAATTCAAAATCTTACTGACAGAAATACATGGAAAGCTGCCTAGCAGAGACACACAGCGCGTGCTCTGAGAGGTAGTCAGGCACATACACAGCCAGAGACAGCAGGGTTTGTAAGCAGCAGACAAATCAAGCACAAAAACCACTAATATGCCTAGAAACCCTGGGCTGTACTATGTGAAGTTAAAACAAAATACCTTAACACAAACCTCTTGACATGGGCACTCATTTTAGGTTCAGAACGGGCACAGCCTGTGGGGTTAACGGCAAGGGGGAGCTCCATGAGAGGATTTCGGCCATATCGGAAAGTGTAATTTTCACATGCCTCAACCCCAGGTAGCTGAAAAAGAGGAAATGTACAAAAAGACCACTTAAAATTTGAAGCTGGCAAAAGGACGGCCCCAGATGACAGTAAATTAGAAACATTTTCCCCAGTAACGAAATGATCTTGTAACTTATACAATAAGCCTGTACTCAGATCTATTTGGGTAGGAGTATGTGAGCTGGGTTAAAAGCAGAACTTGGGAAAACCTGGCAAATGCTCCCTGAAAAAAAAAAACAAAGCAAAAACTAACACACAGAACAGCTACACCAACCGACGCACATGTGATTTTAGGATCTGGTTATGTCAGTATTTGCGAACACACGAGTGTGGTGATTCATGATGACTTCTTTCATCTGGATTAACACCAACCTCTATCTGACTGGAATTTTAAAGCTGAACTTGTTGCTAAACATGTGTATAACATTTAAGCAGCCCTCTGATGACCACCTCACCCTGGAAGAGGGCACGAGAGGGCCAGGAACAGGTTCCCAGCACTCTGAAGTGACTTCAGAGGCCAAGGGGGAAGAGCCTGAGACTGTTGATGGCCTCTCTGAGTGAAATGCCTACTCTCCTTCAGGGAATCACAACATTCCATAGGGGATGTCATGTTCTGAAAGCATCAACAGTCCAGTGTGTGTTAAGCTGACCACAGTGAGTGAGGAAGCAGCCCCAGTGTGGAATCCTGACCAAGGCACTCACCGATTCAGCAATCCGTGCCACTGCGGACACAGTTAAGCCAAACAAGTCTTCTCCCTTCAAATACGCAGGGAAAAGCTGCAGCATCTCAGACTTTTTCCTCACACTTGCCACGGGCTCCAAAATTTTATCCCAAACACCTACATATGAACAAGAAAATAAAGTTTATCATAACTTGCTTTTAGCTAAACAGAAACATGGGACACAGTACAAAACCGAATGAGAATGAAGAATAAGTCACAAAGACTAATTTCTAAATAAAATTTGTTGGGCAGTAATCTAACAAACATGTTACATTAAACCATAAAAATGAAAAAGTTAATTCACTTTCATACTGGCCAAATTAACACACTCAGTTTTAAAAATAGTTCACTTGGTACTATCTGTAGATACATGAATTGTTATTTTCTTTGGAAATATCTTTAGAGCATTTCATTGAAAAATGATTAACATTTACAAAACAGCTTCCCAGGACTTTCTACGTCGATACGATGACAACGTAGATCTTCCCTAGAGTCAGAATTAAGTGCCTGATCCCAGCTATAATATCTTACAGTCCGAGATGCAACAACATACACAACACACTCCACATATGGCTCCTGCCCTCTAGAACCCGACACTGAAGAGGTTCCCCAAGGTCAAGCCACCTTTACTGTCAAATTGTCTACATTTATTTACCAACCCTTACATTCAAACCCCTAACTGACGATACAAGTGTTCTGAAAGAATATAGCAAAGAGCAAGGACGGTAACACAAAACAGCTGAGATCTGTATTGGTAAATTAAAAATCCCCATCTGCTATGCTATATGGAATGAACATAAGGAAGAGTGTAGCAACACTGACAGAAAATGTTCACTAGCCTAACATCAGTGCAACCGGCTCTGCAGAGCATGTCACGGGCAAATGTTACCTTTGGGTGATGAGTCACTTAAGACTAGGTCTTCATGGCCCTGCTCCACAATCCTGATGACAAATGCTGGGCGCCCATCCTTCTCCTCAATGGAACACAGATAGCGGCAGCGCCTGTTGGCATAGCGCGTGCTCCAGTACAAGCGGCTGGCTTCATAGCCCACGGGGAAGAGCGCTTTAGGAGAGTGGAACACTTGCATTTGCTGTGGAAGCAGCTGACCTATTGCGTGGAAGATGAGGCTTCCCACACGGAACGTGTGGTCCCGTTCTCCTCGTTGCACGATGCTAGCGATTTGTCGCACCTCATCCCGCTGCACATAGACCCTCCTAAAGACTGCAAAGTAACTTAGTTCTTGCTCGTGGATCCCCTTTGGTTTATGCATGGGGCAAAGCATAGTTTTGTCCTTAAAAAACATGCATTGTGCTTTAATGGCGCAAGTAAAGTGATAAATGTTGGTGCATCGAAATCTGTGACATCCACTGGTAGCACCAGTCTTATGACAGAAGACACATTTCATTTGCAGTCCTCTTCTCAGTGCTAACTCTACATTTATTAAGGCACCAGCCTGAGTCTCATAGACCTCCGTGGACCACAGAGCACAGTTCAAGTGGACCCACAGATCCAAGTCAAGGTTGAGCAGCCTTGCTGGTCCATCTGTCAGTCCATCACCTTCTTCATGACAAAAGCAACACTTTCGATAGTCCTTGGGCACAGGGTCAGGTTTAAGAGAAGTGCCCAATTTCCTTAGAAATTCATCTATTTCCTCCTCACAAGGCGGTTTAAATGTCCCCTTGGGGATTACAATATGAATGCTCCATTTCTTCCACTTCATACCTCTCCACTTTTTATTTAGTGGTCTACAATCTTCAAACCCGCCGTGAACAGTCCTCAGCCGAGGCTTTAACTTAACTGTTACCTTGAGCTCATCAGGCTTGGCCTCTACTTTGGCTGCTTCAAAGGCAGGAGGGAATGTGATGGGAGGTGATGGGGGTGGGGAAGCTTTTTCCTGGAGCTGTGGGAGACAGTGCACATCCAAAGTGGAGGTGTTGTTGCTGTACTGGTGAAATGCTTTGGAAGGCACCTCTCTCATAGGGGACTGTGGCAGTGAAGGAATGGATTCCTGGGCAGCAAAAAAGAAACCATGATAAAGAAGAGTGATTCACATATACTAAAAGCAATTGCTGTTCCAGTACGAAGTCACACTATATGTTTAACTGGCTGTGTGACTTGAGGGGCTGGAATAGGTCAAAGAGTGAGGTTTCAGGTATAGCGTAAGTCAACATCAAATAACATCAAATAAGGGTGTTTAGGTCATAACTGAGAAGCCAATAAAAGTAGGGTGGCGGAGTGAGGGCCCCTCCCCATGACTGTTGTACAAAGCCACAACCTGGAGAATACTCTGTTCTTAAACTTTCTGGGACATCCTCCTGCCTAACTATAAAAAAAAATCAGAAAAATCAATGCTGTCAGAAGATCTAGATAATTTAATTTGTACAATAGAATGATGTTAAGAGTAAGGCAGTGTCATCTACTGAGAGCTTATCTCCACTCCCTGAAATTCCTGTTCATTGATCACAGGCTCGATCAGCTGGAGTGAATGTGAGAGATGAGGAAGGAGCTCTGTGCCAATGAATAAAGCACACTAAGCCCATGGCTATGACCCAGCTGCTCAAAGAATCGGGCTGAGAGAAGTCCCTCATGCGTGGGACAGTCCATGGTAAACGCATAAACACCAAAAGCACACTTCCCTCCGCTCAGACTCCCCTGTCCTAAAAGGTGTCTGGAAAGAGATGAGCCTCATTACAAAATCTGGAGTGGAATGCAACTGTACACCAGCTTAAGAAATAACCTGGTGAAAACCATGCCTCCGTTCACCTAGGCGGAGACATTTTAATTAAAAGTCTAAATTTAATTGTCAAGTAGTTTAGACTTTATTACGCAAGGGACTGCTGCCTTTTCAAAACTAAATCTTCAGAAAGTTCCTCTGTGAAAGACACAGTAAAAAACTTATCTGGAGGGAGGAATGACTAGCCATATTACTGCACATCAAAACATACAATTAAAAATGCATCATTTGCATCAACTACCTGGTGAAATACACCCAATTTGCCTAAAACCAAGTAAGATATTTGTAATTGGTAAAATGTAAGATTTTGGTATTAATATTCTACTTAATTCTCAACTTTTAAAATGCAATTTAGGACTGCACACTTTTGTCAAATAGCTAATTTTTTTGGGAAGAGCAACAAAGATTAAGACTGTGGTCTCTCAACTGGGTAAGAATCTGCTTAGGATCTTCCACCCAGGAGTGCTATGAGGAGGGACATACCTGTTTTGTTTGCTAGCGTGTACCCAGACCACAGAAATCAAGTATTACATATTGCTTAGTGAGGCTGCACTAACTTTACCTTGCTTTCTGAGTTTTTTGCTTGTGCAGTTGATGAATACAGAACAAAGCAGTTATTACTACAAAAGACAATGTCCTTCTCCATCCTCCTAGCGCACTCTCGGGAATCCTGAAAAGCAAAGAGAAATGCATGGGAGCTCAACAAGCCAGAACTTAATGAAATGGGGCTCACACACTGCTGATCGTCACTCATGTTCAAAATTGAGAGCAGTTGTTTATCTTACTTGTAAGAAGGTGACGGTGCCCAGTAATTACCATTTAATAATTCTGCCACCAAGGAAATATTGTACAAACTATGCTGTTCATATTTCACTTGATTTTAAAAATGTGGTCTTCATCATGAATAACTTAACAATCTGCTGTAGCTTCTGCTCTGAAGCCCAGCACACCTAACATATGCTCACACTGCACCAGGAACTGTCCCACATGCAGCACAAAGGGACCCTTTCCTGACGGAGGACACTTCCTCTGGGATGAGGGTGGGGTCATAGGAAGAATCCTAAGTACCTTGTTCACAAAGGACAGGTCTTTGAAAGACTTCCGCACACCACTTCCAAGAATAACCACTTTGCAGTGACAACACCACTGTGGTCTGAGGGCTGCACCTTCTGCAATACCGTGACTGGAATCCTTATATCCAGAAAGACCTACAGGCAACCAACTTTTGTTAGAAATTGAAACTAACCAAGAACACAAAGTAGTACATGGTGACCAAATATAACACGGCTCATTAACTTATTGATATTGTTCTTTAATTAATAAAAATCCTATCTGCTACGTGATGGTTATAGGGCATCTACGTGACATGGGCACAAATAAAGAAAATGCCCATTCTCAAGCATTTGAGAAAACAATGCTAGTATGAAAGTATCTAACAAGCCATTTCACCAAGATATAGCAATATCCAAAGTTCATAGTGAGGGGAAGAGAGACTCCCACTGTGTAAGGGGTGAGATGATACTCAAATGTTCTACAGGAGATAAAAAGAAATGTGTGTAAGACTTAAATAAGTGTGACTTAAAGCATCAGAGAGAAACAAGGAAAGGGCCAAGGCCAAGGTAAAGTGCAAATGAGGACTCGGATTAGAAGGCACAGGGCTGACTCAGAGAGCATAATTCAGGTAGGGTGTGAAGGAAGAAAGGGGCAGGAAAAACATTAACAGAAGCAGCTAATGCTTAGAGTTCAAAACTCCGACACAGACAACTTTCAAAAAGAGTTCAAAGATGAGAAGTGAGAAACTAGCAGATTCAAGTAGAAGGGTCAGGACAGACACCAGATTATAAGGAAACTGACAGGGACACGTTGAGGAGGTGGGGCCCCAGAACACACGAATGAGATGCTAATGAGATAAGAAGGTAAAGCCATGGTGCGCCTGAGGAAAGCATGCTGGTTGTCAGAGATGAGCTTGGGCCCCTGTGTGGAAAGAGAGGTGCCCTGCACAGGTGTGCACAGGCAAGCAGAGCCACTGACAACCAGGGCAGAGGAGGACAGGAAAACAGTGCATGCCAGGTCACCAGCCTCATCTGCAGCACATGGAGTGAGCAGACAGTAGCACGGGGGGCTCAGGGATGCAAAGAACAGAAGCTGCTTAAGGGCAGGGAAGTTGGTCTTCCAGCAATCCGCACAGAGAGCTGCAGTCAATTCTTCTGGCTTGCCAGCATGATGGTCACATCATAGAACAGGAAACAGAAGACCCAGAGACCACACACCAACACGTCACCTATTAGTTGTTAAATAGGTGACTTTAAAAAGAATAAGAAATTAAATAGAGACTTTTAAAAGAATAAGCTTAACTTGAGTCAAGAACAGATTTGGGGAAACAAAAAGCTCACTAGCTCACCATTGCTTGTTGGAGGAAATGGTACATTAGGCTGCTTCAGCCGGTAAGAGCTTGCTAATCTGGGAGGATTTGCAGATCCTGGTGGAGGCCCACGAAGAAGTAAATGCTGTCGATACTCCAAACCTGGGTTTACTCTGTGGCTATTGACCAAACCCATGGATGGAACATCTGGAGCATTACTAACCTCATAGCTGTTAGGAATTCGCACGTGAAGAAGGTCGGAAAACGCAGCCACAACACTGCTAATGTTCTAAAACAAAATGCAAACACTGTGTTACCCACACAGAGAGCACAGTCAGCCACTGAAGAGAAATACGTACTTAGGATAAATGCTATCTGCATGATACATACAGTGAAGAACATCCAGCAACTTAAGACTTAGAGCCTCAGGAAAAACAACTATTTTAACGGTGGACAAATACACAAAGGCTTTATAAACAGAAATCCAATTTGGGAACATGTTAAATTATCCTAGCTATCTTAATATCTGACAGGACTAACAGACACAACTATGAGAGAGGAGCTAATCCCCATCAGTGTTCCCAAAGTTTGTATCCAGCTCTGGACAAAAGTCTGCCAACAGTCCACAAAAATGCACAAATGTCAGGTTACTGCACTATGAATGTGCTCTTCAATAAAAATGTCTTTATGAAATTCAGGGTTAAATTTTGTTTAAATCCTGAGAAAAATCACAACTGTTCTAAGTAGCTGCTACCTGAAGAACATTTCTATTGCTCCTGTAAAAAACTTCTATTGATAATGTTATGTTCAAGTGGTTAATTTTCTATAGCATTAGCAGTTATGAAAAGGTTTCTCTCTAAAGAGAATTCACCTATTCTTTTTTTCCTTGACTTAGGCTGAGACTGATGTCATGCTTAATGACAGTGCTCAAAGGGAGCCTTGATGTCTAAAGTGGCTCTCACCCTACTCTTCACTATCTTTTATCCTCAGTGACCTTGCAGCCTGTGGTTCGCTATAGCCGCCAGCATAGCTCTAACAATGGCCGCCCTCCACTGCATCAGAAGTCATTTCATCTTTACCTCAGCAGCTGTAGGATGCAGGGTAATTGCTACAGAGATAAGACCCGATCTGGGGCCATTTGGGGAAGAACCAAAAGGTGATGTAAAAAATAAAGTGCCTGGCTCAGTTTTGATGTCATTCCTTCTTGACTCTGAACCTTAAAAAGGAAAAGAAAGGAGTATTAATAGCTTTTCAAGATGAAAATATTTACATTAGTAAATCAGTAGACTGTGGAGATACAGTTAAGACCGTGTTCTTACTTTTCCCAGCGATGCTAGGAAGAATTGGAATAATAGGGGATGGCACCGGCTCTGGAGGCTCCTCTTTGACCAATGACAGATCTGGATACCTGCTCACTTCCACCCCAACCACACTCTCAGGAGAGGACGAGGGAACAAAGCTGTCAGGAGTGTCCCGATCACCACAGTGATCCTGTATCCTGAAAGAGGAGCACACATGTCTCAACGTGCAAACACGTCACAGGAGGTTCTTGCACCAGCCCCTGAACACTACAGCAAGAACACTCTAGGCAACAGCAGTAACATAATAGCAAATGAATCAATTTGGGGCCAAACAAGCAATCTCCCAGAAAAAAAATATAGTAAGTTTAGCTACAGAATTACACAAATTGTTCTGACCATTTTCTTCTGACCAAAGCTTCAGCATCAAAGTTTAAAGATATGCTGAGGAGGGAGATTATAACTTAATACAGGAAGGATAAGTACTAACACCTTTGCAAAACCCCAGGATCCCTGAGATCCAGGGAAGCCTCCTGCTGCTTGGACAGGAAGGAGGTGTCCAAGCACACATGCATGAGACGGACTGGAACAGCCATCCTGTTCTGCTGCATACAATGGCAAGATGAGAGAGTGCATGGTCATCGAGGCCTTGGGAGACGCTTTTTTTTTTTTTAAACTAATAAAGAAAGATGGAAAGAGAAAGAGAGTGGTTTCTCTTGTCTAGTCCAAGGCACAAGTTTACCAGGGACTAGTGAGACCTCTGGCTAAGAGACACAGAACATCCATGTGGATCTGCTTTCTCCCTGCTCATGCTGAAGGACATCTGACAAATGCTTCCAGACAGAGTCATGTGAAATCCAGAGGTGTAACAGACACCTGTGCTAGGTCACCAATCATGCACAGAGCAAGCCACCTTCTGCAGCTGCTAAAAAGAGCCATGCTCCCGACTGGCATGATAGGGATCCCCAGCCATGAGGTACAGGTGAAAGGAGTCCGGGATCCCAAACGTGGATAAATTACTCTTCTTTTTGGTCCAACATTTCCTCATTGGGACTTAAGAGTAAATGGATGTCTCATCAAATAGAAGATGGTTAGGTTTTCCAGAGAAGAGATAAAAATTTGAAGATGTGTGTATGGACTCCCTGGATCTATCTAGTTGGGTAGTGATTCTCCCCAGTCAGAATCTTGAGGCCAAAGAACTGACAGAAGCTGGTTATAAGCTCTCTGGAGCACAGGACCATCTCTTTCCCACTACAGACTTCACTAGTATCTGTGACTACTAGCTTTCATTTTACACATGTTTAAGTATCAACAAACCCAGTAACTCACACTAAAGCTCAAGAAAGACAATGATCTAAGAAACACAGCAGGGGACGTTTTCCATCGCCTCAGTGTTTATCTGATTGTCAACATTTGTTGAACTCCCTAGATTATCTAAGGTTTTTAAAATGCACAAATTAATTATATCTATGGTAACAATATCTTTTTTTTGGAGGGGGGAGGAGGAAAGCTACCACTTGAGCCTCCCCCCCATAATGTCTATTAAGTTTTATGTTCCTGAGTATTAGTCACCAAATTTTACCCCCCCACAATGTTTTCAAATACTATTCCAACACAAATTATGCTCAATACATAAAAAAAAAAAAGTAACTAAAAACTACTTGACAAAAAGTAATTTCCACCTTAATTCCTCCTGGTTATTGTGAGGTGGCGTGGGAAGTGAGGCTGGAACGTCCACTGTCTTTGGGCCTTGAGCAATGGCTCTTGCCAGCAAGTCATCCTGTGGCCTGAATGGCAGCTGAAACGGCTTTGGTCCTAGAGTTTTGGTAACTGCAAAAGCAAACATACAGAGCCATAAACATGCTTGGTCAAAGTTGGCAAGCAGGTGGAAGTTTATAGTTCTGCTGACATGCCACCAGGCACAGCCAGCAAAGGCACACTCCGGACACTATACGCATACCTTCATGGCTCACCAACACTCCAGCTTTTCCAGCAAGTTCTTCAGTTGTTGCAAAACCATTTGCCATCTTCTGACAAGCCATAGGAGGTGGTGTAGGAGGAAGAGAGGCAGGGGGTGTTGGAGGATTACTTAAATTATTCTGCTGCAGGAGACCAAAAAATTTTAAATTATATGCTACTGAGCAAATATGCAATGACCTAGTTCTGTGAATTTTTAGCACATGGAAGCAAGGCTACAGATGTAATCAAGATGTATCTTAGTTCCCAATGCATACCAAGAAAAATACACACACAAGGCCAGGAGGCTTTTAGCAGAACTAGATATATTATTATCTGTTTGTTTATTTGACCCAGCTGGAGTACTTAGCTTTGAAACGAAGACGCCAATTCCCATTATGCCTGATTTGATTTTATGCAACTCTTTTCAAGTTTTATTGTTACATCAAGTAGTGAAAGGCAGTTTTAAAACTGAATCAATAAATTATAAAGTTCTCAAAAATTCCTTTTGCCAATTTCCATTAAAATATACCCTCATTCTATGAAAAACTGTAGAATCTGTAGTCTTAAACTTATAATTGCAATTCACATCTCAGGTATTAGAATCTGGATTGTTCAAGATCTCTAAAGGAAGCAAAAAGAGAAAAACTACTAGCTAAAGGGATCATACATATTAACAAATGCAGTTCCTTTTCTTCCAGCCTTCCATTTGTCACCAATCTGTCATGTATGCTTTAGTCTCTGAAGGAATGTTGGACTCTACCAAAATAATACCTATAAATCAAGTGCAAGGCGAAATTAAAAGTCTTGCAAAGATATGGGATTCATGAAGATGATGTGATTTGAAGAAGAGCTGCATTAAGAGGCGTTCTAACTGAGGAACAGCACACAAGGATAAGAAAGGGAGTACTCAGACAATTATCTAATATTAAAGAGAAGAGAAACCATCAGGAAGACTGATGATACTTGCAAATGTTTTGCAAAATCACTCTTTTTATGTAGATCAGATGTGAACTGAAGCTGTCATAAAACTCTGTTAGGAAAGTAATACCAAAATAAAGTGACACCAAAAAATAAACCTGATTTGGCTTTATTATTTTAATAGCCTAGGAATTAGCGCATAGTTTAAGGTCACCTAAATTATTAGATAAAATACGTTTAAAAGTCTTTTATTTCAATTTTCAAGGTTAAAAAGTCTAACCATGCTTTTTACTCCCACTGTTCACTATGAATTCTGCTTCATTTTAAGAGTTAATAAAGGTTATAAGGAAACATGTATTTCCTCTACCACTGAAAGACATAATGGCTACTTCTCACCTATTTCTTACCTATAGAAAATTTCAACGTACATGTTAGAAACACTTCACCAGGTAAAAATTTAACCTTTTATCTCAACTTAAGTTTCAATGAGACTTGGGAGCTTAGATGTAAGCTAGAGCAAAACCAAGACACCTTCTACCAACTGTGATAAGTCTCCAAACACGAAGCCAGGTAGCACCTTGGAAGAGAAACATACCTTGTAGATCAACTGAGAATAGTAGTCCGAAACCCCTTCAAGGGTAGCACTGCCAAAAGTTCCTAGAAGTCGATTCCCACTATTAAATTGGCCACTGCCGTAAGGAAGAAAGTGCGCAAAGTTCACTCCAATGATCGGTTCCATTAGAGGGAGCAGAGAGAGCTGCTATCAGAAAACACATTTAAGAGTAATGTACATGATTAACAACAAAGGTGAATGCTTCTCAACTTCCTAAGACCTGAAGCAAATGGGGCTTGAGAAAACAAGATAAAAATTTCAAGTATTAAAATGCTGGAGTGAAAGAAACAACAGAAATTGAGATATGCTTCAAAATAAGCTCTGTTTCCACCTGTCCAAAAGAAACGCCATCAGGTGTTTCAGGAGAAAAGATATGCTCCTTATTGTTACACCACCAGTGGCGATTAGAGGCCACCTCCCCACTTCTATCATAACCACAAAGCTAGAACAGGGTTTAAATTAGGAGAGTCCCATGGCTGTATTTCTCTGGATCCAGAATCACAAGAAATGGGGAAACAGTTTCTCCTGGTGCTGAGGCTGCTCCTCTTGAAAGTAAGTCCTGCCATCACCTGTCACTCCATCTCTAGGAATGTAAGTATTAGGCACCAATAGGATAGGAAGTTGTTAGGTTCTTCATCCAGATGTTCTTTATCCCTGAAACCCTCTACTTTAATTAGGAAATTACTGCAACAAAGTTCAGTTTCACAGGACTGAAAAGGCCCTTGGCTCTCTCACTTCCTGGAACTGTTAAAGGGCTGCTCTGAACAGCTCACCTGTTTCAAGTGGGTAAAGGAGTCAGAGCTGGAGTACATCGCCTGTTTTTCCTCCTCATCCTTTTTCCTTTTCTTTGAGCGAGGTGCTGTTTTCTCCCCAGTCCTCTGAGTCCGTTTGCTTCGCTGTTTCTTGGTTTCACTTCCTCCATCTGTTTTTGGCAACTGGCTGTTGCCACATCCAAAACCACCTTGCATTTGAGCCCCCAAAGTTTGCTAATGCAATTGGAAAGGTTAAGAAGTGAGTGAACTATCCACAAGTTTGATTTTAGTTCATGCTAGACCAGTCCATCCTGCGACTCACATTCCTAACACAGTAACAAAAGCTCAGGAGGGAAGGTTATGTGGTGGTATAAAGAGCTCTGCTTTCTGAGTATACACCCTCCCTTTTCAAACATTACTCTCCAATTTGGAAACCCATCGGCTGCAGAGCTTGAGGGAAGAGGAGAACTCCTAAGTTTGAGAATGAAGCATGACCCCTCACAGTGCCCAGCTGGGGTCAGGGAGTCCCCTTATTTCCAGTTTTGGGTACCCCTAGCCAGAAGACTGGGTAGCCTGCATAAGTGGTATGAAGAGTTATTTTTGATTCCCCATAGCAACTAAGAACTGGTGAAATATGAGGTCAGCATGACAATTCACAGGGTCCAGGAACCCTTTATAACCCATGCATCTGAGGTGAGAGAATGGCTAATCCTGGAGAGCAGTAAGAAGCACAATGGTCCCTCGAATTAGCTCACAACCCACATTTGACTAGAGTAATCATGCACTTGACGACAGCCAGTAAATGTTTCTGTGTTCATGGTCAAGAGTTGAGAGTAGGACAGGCTTTAAAAAGGTTTTTACCTAAAAATATAGTGGTTTTTTATGCTCTGTTATTTCTAAACTTAAAAATCAACACTTTGCTATACACGATCATAACTGCTGACCTTACTGTCATCAATTCTGTATTAGATGTTTGAGGGCTTTGAAAATTCTAGCTTCTGGTTATGTAACAAGTAACTTGGAGCATGGATGGCAAAACTGTATGCCAAGGGCAAGAGGGTAAATATTTTAGCTTGGAGCCAGAGAGACGGCCTTAACTACTCAGTACTGACCTTGTATCACAAAAATAGCCAGAAAATCCATAAATGAATGAGCTTGGCTGTCTCTAATAAGACATCTTAAATTCATGGACAAATTTGAATTTCATGTAATCTTCATATGCTGTAAAATATTATTCTTCCTTAGACTTTTTTTCCCAACCATTAAAAAAATGTAAAAAGCATTCTTAGTTTATACAAAGAAGGGAGCAGGAGGCAACACACACAGCCTGCCTGACCCAGGCTAGATAAAGGAAGTCTGAGAGCAGCAGCTACAGCCCCTGGGACTGGCAGAAACTCTGGTCCCACCCTATACCCACTGAAGAAAGATGCTGGGGCTGAGACCCAGTGATCCCTGTTTTAACAAGCCCACCACGTGATCACACAGGCCTCCTGCAGAGCTCTCCCACCTTCATACATATGACCTGCCCAGGGATCCTGTTAAACTATGCACTCTGATTTGGTAGGTCTGTGGTGGAACAAGAGGCTCTGCATGCCTTAGAATCTTTCAGGTGGTGTGGACACTGCTGATCTCAGGGCTGCACTTTGAGTAGCCAAGGCCTACACATTCCATGACCGCTCATTAGAGACGAATGAAGTGCCCACATGCCAAGTATGCATGGGTCGGGCACCTTAGCTGCTTTATAGATATTATTTCTAATCACAATGATGTCAAAAAGCAGATAATACTACATTTCAAAGGATGATTATGGAAGAGCACAAAAGATTAAATCTGCCAAAATAAAAAGTAACATTTTATTGTATCTCTCGTCTCAATTAAAAAAAAAAAATCTATGCCCACAGGCTATTTATTTTTAAATCACAAGGAAGCATAACCATGACATGTTCCCTATGCTATTAAACGTTCTCGTACGGTACAGACTGTAATACGAAGATACTCCAGATGGACTCTTGTGCCTTGCACGGAGCCATGTGAGGGATGTTGAACAGTACCATGGCAAGTGTGACTGTGAGCACAGGCCACCAACACACACTTGAGACTGGCCAAGATGAGGAAGGCATCTGGATGAGGGGATTCCAGAACTGAATTTTGTAGATAAAAGACATTAGCCAGACACAGAAAGGAAGGGAGAGCAGCACAGGCAGGAACAGCAACAGCTGGTCATACGTGGAAGGGTAGAACAAGAAATGTAGAGGTCTGCAGGTTGTTCAAAGGGACATAAAATGCCTTGGAAAAAGTGGCCGGAGATTGGGCCAGGTGGTATGCTTGTCACCAATAAATGTGCTGGAAAAGCACAACCAGTGAAATTAACAAAAAAACACATGAATCGACTGGGCCAACGCTCAATCTCTACTGAATGTGCAAAGATAAGAGAAAAAGAGCATGCCAACCCTTGCAAAAAGATGTGCTTCATTCATAATCTTAAAATTACAAACTTGAACAAATGAATACACCATTCCACCCTAATGTGATAGCACATGCCTATAATCCCAACTACTAAGGATATAGAGATTGGGAGGACGGAAATTCTAGGCCAGCCTGGGTAAAAAGTTACTGAAACTCCATCTCAACCAATGAGCAGGGCCTGTTGGCACCTAAGTGTGATCCTAGCTACTCCGGAGACTATAGGGTAGGAAGATCATGGTCCCAGTGTGATCCCAAGAAAAAATTTGAGACCCTATCCGAAAAATAACTAAAATAAACAAACAAAAGACTGGGAGTGTGGCTCAAGTGGTAGAGCAGCTGCCTAGCAAGAGCGAGGTCCTGAATTCAAACCCTCAGTACTATCCAAAAAAACCCCTCAGAACACAAAAAAACAAAAATGATACAATCCAATCAGAGAAGCTCCCTAGGGAAAGCTTTATAAATGCACTAGTGATGGCTCTGTACCTTCTGAAAGATAAGGAGAGAGAAGCTATCAAGTAGACTAACTCCCTGAACCCAAGAACTCCAGTGTTTGAAACATCTTAAGAAAGCTCATGGAAATGGGCTGGAGGCACGTCTTGTAAAAGTGTCTTTACAATTGAGCTCTGCATACAAATGAAATAGCAAATCAAATGTTGAAAACTTCAAATGGGTAAAACATTGGTAGAAGATTACAAAGATGAAATGCTATCTGCTTGCCAGATGACATTTGTATAAGATTCAGCACGAATATGATACAAGGGTTCCCAGAGTGAGTGACCCTGAGTCCACAAGGACACCGACAGGCATGTAGGGCCTATCTTCTACATTCTAAAGAAGCTAACGGAAATTACATCGTTATTTGCAATAAAGCCCACAGACATTTATTTCCTCTGATTCAGTCAGATCAAAGGTGATAGCCAACCGAAAGGCACGTGTTATACATGACTGTAATACTCTATTATGTCGTTTTCTTAAAAGTAAACAAATTATTAATGGATTATGTATATAAGTAAAAATACAGGTTCCATGGAGATAGAAACAAAATAAAAATATATTTCAGAATAAAACTCTGAAAAAACATCTTTAACACTGTAAAATGCTGTTGAAATTAATGAGTTGTTAGAAGTAACTAACTACAAAAGCAAGTTGTATTTTTTATGATTCACACTTACCAATCCTTCCACTGGGCTCTGCTTCTCAACCAGCTTGCTATCCTTCGTGCAGCTGTCTTCTGAACAGAAACTGCCTTCAGGTCTTTGATTTAAAAGGGAAGAAGACTTTTTATTTTTCAGCAAGTGTTTCAGCAGTTCATTTCCTGAGTCTCCTTTGGCGGCAGGGGCCCCAGCAGAATGGGAAGGACTCTGGGCTGAGGAGACAGGCTCGGCCATAGCACCTTCTTCTACCTTACTACCAATCTGCTCCTCCAGTTTGGATTCCTTTTGACCTGGGCCTGGCTCTGGCTCAGCCTTTTCCAGTTTTAACTCTTCAGTTTTGGCAGGGGTTTCCATGGTGAGCTTATCCGTTTCTGAATTTGCATATGTATGGTGATTTGCAGCTCCTTGTGAGAAATCACTGCTAAGAAGTTTGGTTTCTAATTCTGTACACGGCTGGCCTGTGACCACACTGGGAGTTGGTGGCCCGATTGGCTCCATGGAGTCTGGCTCTCCCTGTGGAGGAAGCTCACTGGGTGTGCTCACTGAAGGAGTGGAGGTAGTTTCTGAGATGCCTGGAGTTGGTGGAGCAGTTATATCTGAATGGGGAGTTGATGGTGCTTTGGTGGATTCTGCATCATCATCTTTTTTCTTCTTTCTTGTTCTTTTCTTTTTTCCTTTTTCTTCTGGGATTATATCAGAATACAACTGAATAAGAGACTGGGTTGATCCTGGATAACTCTGTCCATGTGTTATAGCAGAGTCTTGGCTGCAAGGGAGACTGTTAGCTACTGGAAGAGCTGCTGATGACGCAGGTGTAAAGGCAGGCCTCAATGGGGTCTGCTGGAAGCTGGTACCAGAGAGACTTCCATGCCCCTGTTTAACAGAATGGAAGCTTGAGCCTCCTCCAGGAACAGATGGTGACTCAGGAACAAATGAGGGAGGTCCTACCTGCCTTCGCTCATTGGCTTGCATGAAAGTCTGGGTGGAGGGTGAACTAACAGATCCTTGTTGGACACTCTGCTGCTGTAAAGCTGGCACCATCTGTTGCTGGGGCTGTGGAGACTGCTGAAGGGGTCTAGGGGGCTGCATAAAATCACAAGGTCGATCAGAACTGTAGAATGGAATCTGAGACACAGATGTCCTGCTGCTTAGCTCGGAGCCCAATAAGCCATGCTGCTCCATCTCCAACCTCTGCTGCAAAGCTCTCTGCCTGTCTACTTCTTGCATGAGTTGGATTCGTTGTCTTTCCTGCTGTTCTCGTAAACGTTCCTTCCGCTCCCGTTCTTGAAAACTTTCACTAAAGGGATTGTTATCATCAAATTCTACTCGTGGTGGTGGCCCACTCTGTGGACTTGCAGCTGACACGGTACTTGGGGCTGGCGTGCAAGTTTTTATTGGTAATTGGGTAACTTGAGGCTGAATTCTGGAAGGATTGAGGGGGAGGTGTGCAGGGGAATTGGTAGGTTGCCATCCAGATAAACTGGGCATTCTAGCAGGGCTAGTGTGGCCAGAGATGACTGCTGTGTGCTGCTGGTGCTGAAGCTGCTGTGGCACCATGGGGAAGCTGGACTGGCTCATGGTGGGTTGGGTGGCACCTGGAACAAGGGGTGGCTGGGGCTGTACACCAGGCATTAGGATGGGCGGGGCCAGGGTACACTGCTGCTGTTGCTGCTGCTGCTTAATCCGATAATCTTCAATCAACTCAGCATGCTCTTTCTGTTGTTTACGAATCTGAAATAATAAAAGTCATCGTTACTCATCATGTCTTAGGTAGGTATCAAACTAAACCAGGACGATGATTTTGGTGGGAGTTATACACAGAGCAGTCAGACAATGTAAAGGCAAAACTATTTTGTTTAGTACTGACAAAAATCACCAAAAAAATGGATTAATTAGTCTTAAAACTATGAATACTTTCAACTACAGAATTCTTAAAAAGTTATCTGTGAAAGTTGTTCACATATGAAATACTAGCAACAAATCCAAAAACATTTTTCTGAAATAAGTATTAAATAGTTACATGCTATTTAAGCTATAGATCCACAGTAAGATAAAAGGAAGTATACATAAGGAAGCAGCTAATTATGGTGCTAGAGGAACTGTATTAACATATAAGGTTAGGATAACTGAGATTTAACTCAAAATTTAACCATTTAAACATGTGAAGATTTCATTTCTTTTTCTCCTTTTATTTTATCATTTTTACATTTACTTACATGAATATACATTGTTTGTGCCACCTCCTCCTTCCCTCCTCCCCCTCAACATCAGTTGTTAACATGCATGCCACACCCCTCTCCTAGGTTAAAAAGACTGGCTTTATAAAACTGACTTTGATGGGTAACATATTCAAATTATAATTTCTGAAACTTATTCAAGCTCTGAAGTAATATACTGAAATAGTACGTAACTAGATTCTTAATATAATAGCTAATATCAATTCATTCATTCCAAAAGCTTTTGCACTACAGGCACCAGGACAAAGTATCCATCGAGAAGTGACCCTGTTTTTGAGGCCTTCACCATCTCATTTAGGAAGCTGTGGAAAGAAAGGATGCAAAAGGACGTGGATATCTTTAAAAATCATTCCATTTTTGATAAACATTATATTAATATACTGAACCTATTATTTTTAATAGTTTTTCAACTTATTTTCTTGGGTTTCCTAGCCAGACTAACGTATTTTCTGCAAGTAAGGGTTTTTGGTGTCTTTTCCAGTAGCTCTGCAACTTCTACTTTCCTTGTCTTGTCTTCCCTAACCAGCTTACCGGGTTACAACTGAGGATTTCTATTGGAGCAGTAAGGCAATGAGATGAACACAAGCACATAAAACAACAACTGAAACAGGTAATGTAGCATCCCTGTCTCTCCTCTGACATTTCTGATTACATTATAAACACTACCACCGACTACTTTTCTTACTGAAATTACACTGGATTGCCAACATTTACTATTATTCTTATTAACAATGTGCCCCATTATTCAAGTATAGTACAGTATGAGCTTCTAATAGTAGCTGCTCATTTATGGATCTACAAAATCAAAATATCTTATATCAATACACTGAAGATATTAAAAAGCACTTAAAATACCTTTGAGAAGGACCTACTTTTAAAAGATGATTTGCCTGTAATAAGCATAGGGCAGAGAGTGAATTTAAGGAGACAACAAGTCTCTTGTTCTGCAGTGGTCCTGGTTTTAAGCGACAGAAGTAACAGAGTCTCCATGGTGTTGACACAGTATTTTAGTGGGTGTGGCTTAAAGGAGACATTCTGAGTCCAAACTCCTGATCTAACAGTGATCCATACACGAGCAAGCATGCCACCTGACCCCAAATGACTCACGTCTCTTCAACTGTCAAGTGGTATCAACTCCCTCAGAAAGTAAGACACGTGAAGGGCTTCCTGGTGCTGACTACACTGGGAGGTCTCCAATTTCTATTGACCACTCCGCTCTGAACCTCATGCCCCTTCTGGTAGTGACATTTTTGTTTCTTTTAAATTTTAACTTAAAAATCAAAATTGACAATTAGGGCTAGAGTCATGGCTCAAGTGGTAGAGTACCTGCCTAGCAAGTGTGAGGCCCTTAGTTCAAAGCCCAGTACCATAAAAAAAAAAAAAAAAAAGGCAAAAGTTGACAATTATAGTTCAATTTTTGGTGTACAATTCTATGAATGCTAACACATAGAAATCAGCATAGCTACCATCACAATCAAGACAGAAAATTATTCCCATTACCCGAGAAACTCCCCCATGCCACCTTTCAGAGTCAAACCCTCCCTCTGCCACCCTTGTCTACTGCTGCTCTCTTTATGACTTCGTCATTTCAAGAGTACTATGCAAACAGAATCAGTACAGAAACCTTTTGGGATTGGCATAATGCTCTTGAGACCAGGTTGTTTGCAGGTGTCAGTAGCTCATTCTTTTTATTGCTATCGTACTCCATTTTATGGGTATGCCACACATTATTTAGCCATTTACCATAAAAATTTTGGGAGGGCAGGTATCTTTTTATTTTGAGATGGGACATTGCTAGGTGACATGCCTACCTCAGCCTTCTCAATAGCTGGACTACAGATGTGTACCATCGTGCACAGTCCGCTGTCGTTTTTTGTTTTTTTGGGGTGGTACTGGGCTTGATCTCAGGGCTTTGCACTTGCAAGGCTGGCACTCTACTACATAAGCCAGGCCCTAGCTTTTGATGACTATGCACATGGTGTTGTAAGTATTTATATACAAGTTTTTCCATGTACCTAAGTTTCTTATTCACTTAGGAAAATACACAGGCATGGACACTGCAATTCATTTTGAACACTGTTTTGTTTTAAACAGAATTTTAAAATGTTCAATAAAATAGTTGTTCAGTTTGAACATTCTGAAAATTATCTTCTGTGTAGTGGAAGAAAATGGCAAAATGGTTTCATTTTTCAGGAATATGTCCTTTATAAAAGATACAGCAATGTATTTTAGATGACAATATTAAGAAATACAAACATACCATGAGCAAGAATCACCTGTGTGATTTAAATGCTATCTATGAACTCTCGCTAGAAACAGGGAACTGAAGGACAAAGTAAAGAAGTCAGCCCCAAGGGAAGCACGTCCTTCCTGGGCTAGACTCTTGTTTTGACCACACCCAGGAGCTCTCTGTGAGCCTCCTCCTCAGGAAAGCAAAGACTCTCAAGGGATGTAGGAACAAGGGCTTTGCACAGTGATTTCTTAGTGCAACGCCAGGACACCAGGCTTGGTGAAGGGCAGGAAAGCAGTTCTTCTAAGTCAGTTATGAGAATCAGTGTCTGGTGGCAGCTGGTGTGTGTGCTCTGACTACCACTCTGGGGTGAAGGCTGAGGCTGCTGCTTCTCCAGGTACCAAGAGGGCTGCTAGCACCACCCAAGTTCTGTGTCATTCCTGAATGACACGCCACAATAGTGCTCACTTGCTGACGGTCTGTGAGCCCTGTGCATTACCTGCTCCAGCTGTTTCTGAACCATGCTCTGCTGCTCGGTGACATGCTTAAGCTGCTCTGCATCCTCTTCTGGGAACTCTCGCCCTGCCTTCTTGGCGGTGCGCTGTTTGGCTGACAGGGCTTTCTTAGATTTCCTGTGTGCACCAATTTGTTCTTCAAGATACTTCTGCTGCATCTGAAGAAGCTGCTGGGTCTCCTGAAGCCACTCTTCATACTGCTTACGTTGAGAGTCATCTGAGGGAAAGATAAAGATTTGATCTGTGTGAGCCTCCCAAAAGGCCCCAGGTTATTAAGTTACACAAATTGATTTTGTAAGCAAATACAGTTTCACTACAGTGTTTAATAGAAAATGTGAAAACAAAATTCTAAATGTCAGATAGACCATTATAATGCAGCAGATTTTTAGAAAAATACTTCATCAAGAAGGCCAGAGAATGCATACTTAGCACACTGGTTAACTTAGTACTTGAAAATACTATAAATACAATCTTCAAAAAGCAGAAGACTTTTGCCTACTACTTTTTCCTTCTACCCACACAACTATTAAATTGTCTAACCTATTTATCCAAACTACTACTACTTATTAAGTGACATGCATATTTTATTAATCCAACTTTATAGGTTTTAGAGAGACAAAGTAAGGCCTATCCTATCCTAGGCAATCATTTCCCATGATAACTTCCCTTAACTTCTAGGGTTTTCCTGTTTCTTAGTGGTAAAAAATGTACAAAACAGGAGGAGGTACATAGAATGTTTTAGAAAGGACCAATTTAAAGTCTGTGTTTTATAAAGGAAATTTGTAAATTGAAAACTCTGGTATTTTTATTAACTTTATAATTTACATTTCTATGAATAAGGGGGAGGGTGTAGCTAAACAAGTAAAATCTTTTCTACTTTTATGACCGCTGATAAATCTCACCCAGTCATATCTCACCTTGAACCAATATTCCCCTCCTTATTTTCTAAGGGTGCTTCACTTAACTGATGCCAAGTCAAAAGAAAAAAAATCATCTCATGTAGTGAAAAAGTCTGAGTATATCTTTCGACTCACTACAAGACAAAGAAATGAATAAATACAATCCTAGAGGGACATAGCTGCAAATAACACCAATGATAACAGAATATTGTCATACATTAAGAATCCAATCAAAGCCAATGGGCACAATAAAGCCAGAAAAAGCCAGTTGGTCACAGAAGTTTGCTGATTTTTAATGCAAATGTGTTCAAATTATAATCATAATTAATGTAGGGGAATTTCAAAAGGTCAGACTTTGGGTTTGTTCCTAAACCCAGAAGTTCCAGTACACGCAAGAACTTGAAATCTAGTCTGATAAATTTGAAGGGCATTTTTCAAGAACAGGCTTTTTCAGAAGGTTTCAGAAGTTCTGCTTCTGGTAGAATGAGACCTACCGCAAGGAAAGCCTTTCTGGTTTCTGGAACCAGGAGAGCAGAGGTGAGCAAAATGAAAGATAATGGTGAAAAAAGTTAGCTAAACAGTCTGAAGAGTTGAGAAAGGTTCAGTCTGGGGAGAACTTTAAATGCTATCCTGAACCACCTCGGGACCCCTGAGGATGACTAGGAAGTCAGTGGCATTCTGCATACTTGACCTTCACACCAGGCTGCAACCCAACTTCTCCTAAGCATTTTCTCTTTGTTTTTCCCATTAGTGTCCTTGTCACTTAGGCAGACTGTCATGAGAGCAAAAAGTGGTTTAATTCTATAGACTGTAAAGTGCCCAATCTATAAACAAAAGCAGAAACCATACTGAAAAGAATGAGGAAGATGAATTTCCTGTATTAAAAAATATGTATCTCTGACTAATTCTCCATGCACAGAGAAAAAAAAGTAATGAAGACACATGCCTGGAAGAAAAGATGCCTAACAGGGCAGCAATGTTTGGTCAGGAGGGCACTCAGGCACTCAGGCTGACAGGAGTTCCTAAACTAACTCCAAGTGTTCAGAGCAACATAAATATAGGCAAACAAGTAATCCCCAGAAAACATATTAGATTTATACTTACTGACAAAGCCTGGACCAAAATTTGGAGGATTAGGCCTAGAAATCTGATGTGTTATACTGCCATCCTAAAATAAGTAAAATTTACAAATATGTTTAATTCCACACTTCAGTGAAAGGAGGGAAAATTTTTACAAAGAAGGAAAAAAAAAGAAAAAACCTTTTAAAGTTTTGATATTTATTAATAAAAACTAAGATGAATTTAGGTGGAATTGCTGTCTAGTTTCTGAGAACTTATTTTTAACTCTGAACTACTATATTGTCCATATTTTAGCTGAAAATCAACTATACTTATTCATCTGAAATATAATATAAGGTTAAATCAAATATTGTGAATACTAAGTTAGAGATCTACACAAACTTTCACTTCTAAGGGAAATCTACCTAGTTTCTTCTATCATTGAATTTATAAACACAGGTTCCAGGTTTACTGAATACCACTTCATAGTACAACACTATTTATAACAAAAACTAATGTTGTAACACACATAAATAATAAAAAAAAAGAAACTAATTAAAATTAGTTTTAATTTCTAAATAAGTATCTTGTTTCTTTGAGTGTGACTGAATAAATAGTTGTTCATCTCACAATTCCCAGACAATGACCTAATGAATAAAATCAATTTTGAAAGCTGCTTACACAGCTGTCACAGGTCTATTAGACACAAGCTGTATCCATGGTAACAATTACAAATGACAGCAGTCAGAACTCACTGTGCAGAGCAGAGGGTGACATTTGATACATCAGAAAACAGCACTTAAAGAATCTGCCCAAAGCTGCACAGTGAGTTCATACGAGAACTGGAATTTAAAACAAACAAACAAGAAAGCACTCAGCTACAAAGCCTAAGCTTTTTCTAGTATATCAAATGGTGCTTTACTCTTCTTTTAATAAGGAAAAATACATAATAACCAGCACAGTAAGTTTAAATTCTAACTGGCAGAGGGCAAAAGGACATATAATAGGTAGCTCTTTTTTTTTTCTAGGCTAATACATTTTTTAAAAAATTACTGAAGAAAATAACATATGAAAATAACAGTTCTATTCTCCAGATACTGCTTGACACTAAGAATATAGTGTAAATACTCACATTCAAAGCTGACTGCAAATGCTAAACATTCACGCAACTACGTCATGCCATGGATAAATGTGTCTAAGCAGAATGACTGTAAGCATTATTTCCTACTGTTTCCAACAGTTTTATATTTTAAATGTAATGGATTAACTCCACAGATATGAAATCTATTTCTGGACTAATAAACAAGTAAATAAACAAAAGAACAAAAGAATGAATGAATGAATGAAAGCAAGAAACCCTAAGTACTTGCTTTTCCTCCATGTGACTCTCTACCCTTAAGTGTACAGGTCCTTTTCAGAAATTATACTGAACATTTTTAAACTTAATTTGTCTTTTGCTTAAAAAAATCAGTAAAAGCTCTTTATTTCTGCTGTGCTGACAGTGTGCTCTGGGAGGGCCCCTCTCTGAGATGGGTTCAGTGAAAAGCACTGCCCTCTGGAAGCCAGTGACTTGAGCAGTATTACCTGAGCAACGGCCTGTGGCACCAGGCTCTGGCCTTCACTGTTCTGTGTTCCAGCCACCGGTGGGCCCATGAAAGGAAATCTGAATGTGAGAAGCACAGAGTATCAAATGATGAGCATTTAGAACTGAAATTACCTTAGGTACCTGGCAATGTTCTGTCCCAGGGAAGAGAGGAGTAGTGCAAGGTCTTCCACATCAAGGACACTCACTACAGCCCATAGTTTCAGTGCCCAGCAAATCTTTCTCCCCCCTCTCCATCAAGTGTGCACTCAGCACTTTCAGATCACTCAGGATTCAAAGAGAGGTTTGGTGGGATTAAGTAACTCTCTACAAAAGGACTAGCGTGTATCTGTAAGAAGCCCACAAACTCTAGAGGTTGGACTTTTTTACAGGATTCACTTGGCTGTTTTTTGTTGTTTTGTTGGGGTTTTTTGGGGGCTAGCGGGGACGGCTAGGGTTTGAACTAGGACCTTACACTTGCTGGCCTCAGTCTGCATCCTCCTAACTTTGCCTCCAGCTCAGTTGGGATTACAGGCACAAACCACCATGCCCAGTTTGTTGGCTGCATAAGATATATCTCAATTAACAAGTTTCATACATTTCACACATCTCTGTGTCTAATGATAAAGTAAAAACCGGGTGACTAATCCATGGTCAAATCTATTTGATGAACTTTTCTTCTCCTAATTAAAGCTATAAACATGTCACAAAAGCATTACAGCATAAATGAAAACATGTCCTCTGGAGCTACCGATGCTCTAACACACCAAGATACACATACAGCACAATTTCAAAATACATGCCGAATGTTGTACAGCAGCACTCAAGTGGTATAGAGATAGGAATATATGCTTTGAACTTCTTGCTCAGGGCTCTGATTCACTTATCACCTGTCCCACTGCTAAAGCTCTGGTCTGGAATAATCCCAATGCAGACACTGCTTACTTTCTGTAGCCCTCACTCAACACCTCATACCCCTTTCAGAAGAGACTATTATCCCACTGCCTCAAGGCGCTGGGGAGAGCAGAACCCAGTATATTCCACTGTCTGTCTGTGTGGCATCAGCTGCCAAGAGTTCTAATGCTGAGGCCTATGTTTTTATACTTAACATCCCTCCATTCATCAGTATCATGACTGTCTCCAATAGGAGAGGTCATTTTTCTATGGAGTGTTGCAGATTCGCAACAAGTAACTAACACTCATTAGCTGAAATTATGGTGGTTATTAGGCTTTACTGCTAAATTTGTTAATACAGCAAGAAGCACATATAACATAAATTTAACTAGGTAAGAATAACTACATTTAAAATAAAATTGATTTCTTTTGCAATGCTGTATTTTTTAAATTCTGTGTACAAAATGTTCTAAGAAGGATTTCAAAGACATCAGTGGAATGCTAAAAAAGCTTATGACATAAGGAGAACCCCTGCAATAGAGGGCCAGTGCTAATAAATGCTGCTCAATAATGAAAATCATTAGCACTTTAGATAGACATGATTATATTTCTCTGATATAACAACCAATTTAAATAATTTATCATTCATTTCTAGAACATAGGTTTTTGAGTTTTATATGCTCTTTCTAGAATCAGCAATGATTTCATACATTTCATACATGTCCAGAAGCCCAGTAAGAATGAGAACACTTCTACCTACCTGCTCATCACCATTGGTGGCATGCCCAGGTTGTTCTGTGCCATCACTTTATTTATACCTTTCAGGGCCACCATTTTGGCTTTCATTATAGGATCTGTAATTGCATCAAAATCTAAAGAAGAAGTATAGTTTAAGGTTACTTATCTCATAGTACTTGGTTCAAGGTATATTAAGTGGTAACGTTAAGTATCACAACTATTAAGTAACTTATAGACTCTTACACCCTATCATTTAACAATCATTATAGGTTTCTGTAATAAATTAGGGAATTATGAGATGGTAACAACCTAATTCCGCATTTAATCACATCTCAGGAATCCATAATTAAAGTATGCTTTTAATACCTTAGTCCTGTAGTAATTAAAACAAGAAGTCTGTCAAGTCTAAAGGTGATGTACAGCAATGTGACATAAGTTTTAACCAAACTTATGAAATGCTAATCAGCATGGTTTCTTTAGCAATGTAACACCAGGAAAGAGCAGTTAAGTTATTTCCAATACTTAGGAGTTCCACTAAATTAATCATGAGTCTTTAAAGGGAAAAATACATCAATTTCTTGAGTCTATACCCTCATAATAAGGGTACTGAAAGGCTATTGAGAAAATCTTTTTGCATATAATTGGGGGAAAAAAAAGAACACTATAATAAAATTGGTGATAAATACCACTGGAATGCTTATTTTTCATTCCAAAGGCATTTCTCAAGCATGTACCAGTGCATTGTCAGTTCTTACACTGAGTTATTGAAGCATCCTGACCTTATGGCATATTGTTTTTACAATTAGTAAACCAATGGAAATAAGTTAAAGAGGCCATGTGGAAAAAAACTATCAAGAATTCATTGTACACAAAAGGACAAGAAGCTTTATTTCCATCATAATTTCCTTAAATTCATCTTTCTGTAATTCTGGAAAGATATAATAATAGTGGTTGGCGGGAAGAACTAAAACTATATCTAGTTTCTACTGAATACTTTTTTGAACAGAATGAGGTCTATCTGCAACTAAAGATCTAAAATCTTTGATTTACTTAGAAGGAATCTCAAACTCCTAATTTCTCTCAGTTTAAAGCTCCAGGAGGAACAGAAAAATTCTCAGTTACTGCTCTATTCCAAATGGAATGTCCATACTGAACTCTTACAAGCATACTGCATGACACTCTGACGCCCATGGTAATATATATTAAGACACAAGGAAGTTCTTACCAATGTTAGGGAAGAATGGCTCTGACCGCTGGCAAATCATGGCTTGCATCTGTCTTTGCTGCTGTTGTTCTTGCCTTTCTTGATCCAAAAGATCCTGTAGAAGCAGAGGCTGTTCCTCTAGGAGGAGAGGCCTCTCTCTATTCTGTTGAGGAATCATTAGCTGTTGGGGTCCAGGCATGCCACTGGTATTGGACTGATTTGTGAGAGGCACAGTTTGATTTGTAGGTTTTCCTGTCCCCAAATTGTGGTTAACTGTTGACTGACCCTGAATGAATCCTGGATTTACCTGGACACCCTGAGAGAAAGCATGGTTTACCCTAGAGACTACTGTTACATTAGAATTCATGGCACTGTCCAAAAGAGGGCCAGATGGTGCCATTAAAGGAGGAGGCAAACTTGCCACAGGACTGGATGGTGACACTGGCAGAGTTGGTGGGGGAGACCTCAAAGGCCTAGTGTCTGCATTATCAGATTTTTCATTAGCAAGTAAACTTGAGAGAACTGGAGTTGATCCGGTTATATCACAAGAGTTCATTACATCCTGAGCAGGCAGTGGAGTGGATCCTTGAATGGCACTTGCATTGGAGGCAGCACTTTCCTGGCTAGTTCTTTTCTCTGGATCAGAAGGCAGCAAAGTAGCTTTTTCCCCCTCATTCAGGTCTGTGTTAACAGAAGACTGTGAGCATGGAGTGTCAATATTGTCTTTATTCTCATCACTTTTCTCAATTTCGCATCTGCTTTCCTCTTTAGAATTTGGAGACAGGACTTCTGTTTTTATCTCACTGGTAACAGATTTTTTCTGTGGTAAATCATTATCCAGGGGAACTACAGTTTTGTCTTCTTGCTCCTTCTGGGAGGGTTCAACAGTTACACACTGATTATCTAGCTTATCATCAATTGGAACATTAAGATCTAGTTCCTCATTGAACATGCTTTTCTTATCTCCCAAGTCAAGTTCTGGGTCTGTATATGCAATGATATCAAACTCCCCTGACCTCAAGAGATCATCCAGGTTGGGATCATTAGTTTCCAAGTTATCTAAAGTATCCAGTTCAACACCCTTGCCATCTTCTGTGTCCAAATTTAAATTTTCAAGATCTTCATCATCTAAGTCTTTGACTTCAACACCCTCAAGGTCTTTAACATCTAGTTCTTTCACAGATGGGTCATCAGAATCTAGCTTTTCTTCCAGACCATCAGAAGATTGGCTGGTTATCTGCAAATTGTCAGATGTTGTTTCAGCTGGGGCAGATGTTGATAAAGGAACCTCAGAAAATTCACCACCTAAGGGATGATTCAGAGGCCTCATGGCCATAGAATTTGGATGGGCAGGATGACCTTGGTCTTGTTGAGATGGTGGTACCTGTTCCAAATTTGGATGAATAGGTAGCTGAGTAGGTAGACCCTGAAGAGGTCGTCTCATGGGATCTGTGTGTCTAGGGCCTGGAAATTCTGGGCGGGGAATGAAGTTTCCATGTCTTGGAAGAGAAGATGCCTCTATAACACTGCCAGCAGAAGCAGTAAAGGGCAGCCGAGGCCTTCCATCAGGGGTCCTATGCCTCAGCTCAATAAATGCTTGGCCCAGTATGTTATGCTGTTGAACTGGCAGGCCCTGTGGTGGAAAGTGCTGAGGAAGCCCAACTGGGTTATTCATTGGCGAGTTATTTAAAGGTCTGGGCATTTCCATAGATACGGATCTTCTTAGGTGTGGAAGAATTCCAGGTCCTTGTATTTGTTGAGGAGGCATAAAGAAGCGATCCTGACTGGACATGGTTCCATGATTATTCCCTGGGAATCCAAACCTAAAAGTAAAAAGAGCAAATAGTTGAGTATTAGGCTGAATTGAAAAGTGGGTTGAGAAAAAAAAAAAGTGTGAAACTATAAATAAAAAATTACTACTGCCAAACATATTGACTTAGCAAAACACATCTATCACCACCAGAAAGCATTACCAACACCTTATCTAGGCACTATAGCTGTGTTACCTAATACATAACATGAGCCAAAAAATAAAATAAACCTATCAAGCATACGGAAACAACAACAAAACTGTTTGAGTTTTTGAGTAAGAACACATTTCCTTCCTGCACATTTTGGGGGACTATGGGGGACACTTGAATGAAACTGTCCTAGAGAGACTTACAGGCCTCAGTGCATGGAAAACAAAGGTACCCTCGTGGCTATGTGATGCACTAACTATACCTACTTTCTAGACAGTGGAGGATAGGAGGTCCTAAGAGATAAAGAAGGATAGGCATCATCTGTAAAAAGTAAGTATGTGAATATATTACAGGACTATTTTTATGTATCTCATATCCAATTATAGGAAAATTATAGGCAACTAAGAAAAAATACAAGACACAGCAATGGGCATGAATGATAACTAAGGCAGGGAGAAAAGGGAAAATAAAGATAAAAATATAACATAGATTCAGGTTAAATTAAATTACATACCTTCTAAAAAGCTAGTCTTTGTCTCACAACTAAGAGTAAGTTTGGCTTTGACCTTTCTACTAGCCATTCCATGCTTCTGTTATGATTCAGTACTGCTAACGTTACAACTTGATCTTATTATAAAATGTTCTGCTTAATTTGCAACACACTACACACATTTTATGATTTATATTAAAGAATAGAAATTTGGCAAGGACAAGCCTCACACTACAGAGGCTTACCGGGATGTGGCAGCTATGTTTTGGAGGATGTGATTTGTCCAGTATGGTAAACTACATTGTTATGGCTGCAAGTAATATAACCAATACTTAATAACAAAGAAAATGTCTTTAGATCTTTAGAGTTCTCAGAGGGTGTCGGGGCAGAAGCTCATGATCTCTCCGTAGCGGAAAATGATGCTGACTATATCTCACAGGTGAGAAAGAAGAAGAAATAACACTGATTATGTCTCAGGTGAGAAAGTATAAACGACACTGATTGTATCTCAGAGGTTAGAAAGAGGTAGAAAGCATTAAAAACTTCTCAATTAATAGTAACTTCACTTTATCTAGCTCCTTCTTCTAAAAGCAATTTAAATCTGACAGGAAATTAAAAGCATTATCTACAGAAGAGTCTGGTGGCTCACATTTATACTCCTAGATACTTGGGAGGCAGAGATAGGGAGGACTGTAGCTTGAGGCCAGCCTGGCCCCAAACAGTTACCAAGACCCCACCTCAACTAATAAAAAGTTGAGCATAGTGGTGCATACCTGTTATCCCATCTACTCCAGGGAAGAGTAAATAGGAGGATCATGGTCCCAGACAGCCCAGGCATAAAAACAAAACCCTATTTGAAAAATAACCACAGGCAAAAAGGGCTGGCAGTGTGGTTAAAGTGGTAGAGCATCTGCCCTGTAGCAAGCACAAGGCCCTGAGTTCCAACTTCAGTAGTAGGAAAAAAAACAGAAGATTTACCTGAATCCATGAGGTCTCATGCCCACACCAGCAACATCAGGAGGATAGGGTCCACGCTGATCTTTGGAGAAGACACCATATCTGGGTCCTAGAGGAGGAACAACTGGTGATCGAATGTTCCCAGGATAGGGAGGTGGAGGTCGAGCAAATGTCGGGCTGATACTCTCTGGCTGCCAATGTGGCAGGGGCCCTGGGTGGGGCGCTACTGGAGCTTCTGGAGGCCCCTTCTCTTGGCGACTGGCAATCTTCTTCTGCTGCTGCTGCTGCAGTATGATTTCACGAAGCTTCTGCCGCTAAACAAAAAGACAAAAATCACTAGGATTTCTGATAATTGGCAGCTTTTAAAACCCCAATGTTTTCATTATGTGGCTAAGGTAATATTCAAAATGTCTAAATATTTCAAAGGTTGATGAAACACCAGACATGTTTAACTACTCAATAATTTTTTTTTAAACCAAAAACTGGTGATTTGAGTGTTTTGGTTTGCTATACAACCACCATGAAATTGAAAGCTTTCATATTTAAGTATTCCCTAACACATTCATCAAGACTGAAACTTGATATAGATTAAATCCAATCAACTGGTGTTAATTTAACCTATTTAACTTTTGTCTTTGTATTTGACAAAGTCTCTAGAATAGAAACTTTAATACTTGTGTATAAATGACCGTTCGATTACATGAACAGCTTTCACAAATACGACACTTAAAACATCTGGAAACATGGGCTTTGTCTACCTGTCTCAGTTTCTCCGAGTCTGCTTGAGACATATTCACAGTGTTCTGTGCGTCATTTCCTCCTGAAGTCGGCACAGGTCCAGGAAGCTGGGTGACACTAGAGAACTGCTGGCCTTGGGAACCCACAGCAGGGTTTGCAGGCATGCTGAAGCTCCCCTCTGACCCGGGCCCTGGCTGCTCAACATCATGACCAGCTTGGCTGGCTGCAAAAGAGTCAGCCTGAGGCCTTGGCGTCACTGGAGGCTGCTCACAGGGGTCATGAGCAGTGGATGGGGAGAGCCGGCTAAACGTGTCAGAAAGGCCTGGTCCAGGCGGCCGAGGTGTCTGGGAGCATGAATCAGGTGGCCTTACCAAAGGGCCAGTTAAAACTGGTGCTCGGTTTTGTGCTGCTTGTAGGAAAGGATCCTGATTTGACATGAGGGTTGGTCTTGCACCTGAAGACCTAGTAAAGCCCTCTGAAGTCCTTGGCCTTGGTGTTGCTGGTGGCTGAGAGTAGGGAACAGAAATTCCAGGTCTTGGTGTCCCAGGAGGGTGAGCATATGGATCAGAGAGCCTCTGATTTGCTGCAGGTGTAACAAACATGTCTGTCTGTGGAGATGGCCTGGGGGCTGGTGGCTGCTGACTGTATGGATCAACAGTTGTGGGCCGGGGAGTTCCTGGAGGCTGCGAGTAAGGGTCTGGATTGGACCGAGCTGTTCCTGAGGGTTGGGAATAAGAATCTACAACAGGTCTAGGAGCTCCTGGGGTGTGGGAATATGGGTCCTGAGGTGTTGACCGTGATACGGTTCCAGGCTGAGAAAAAGCCCTTGAAGAATGGGTAAAAGAGTCATTCACTGCTGGATATGGAGTTAGCGGGGCTGATTATATGGATCACTTGATTGACTATGAGAAAAATTATCTACAGGTCTAGGTGTCAAGGCAGGCCTTTCATAAGGGTCAACAGATAATCGTCTTGATGCCTGTAACACTGATCCATAAGGATCCTGAGAAGATGGAGGAGAGGGTGCAGTGGAGTCTTAAAAGGCCCAGTGCCACTATCAAGTGGTACAGGAGTCAACAAGGGTCGTGCATATGGGTCAGGAATCCGTTGTCTCTGAAACACATCTACTCTGGGAGGTGGTTTAGTAAAGTGATCATTGGTTCCAGCTTCAAGAGGACCTTTTGCAGTTTGTTCTGCAACCACAGTCCTAGGTAGGCCCAAAGGTTTAGGAAACTGATCTGTCATCATGGGTCTAGGTGTGTCTGGAGGCTTTGCATAGGGGTCATTATTTGTTGTGGAGGAAGAACGTAAGTCTCTGGCTGGGGATGGCCTGCTGGCTGTTGTCTCACTCACTGGAATGGACCTAGATACTGATGATAAAGGCACACAGTTCTCCACTGGTGCAACAGAATTTCTTCTGGGGAAACTATGGGGAGGTGGTCTAGGGGTACCAACCATTTTTGCATAAGGATCCATTGGAGATGGTGGTCGGGGGTTAGAAGATCCAGGTGAAAACATCTGTGGAGAAGGTGGCTGGGAATTCTGAGACTGAGAAAGACCCTCCTGAACAGGTACCCGGGAGGGGGTTGCAGGAGGGGGTGGAGCTTGTGGCTTGACAAACACATCATCTGAAGGTGTGGAAGCAGGGGTGCTGGGTAGCTGTTTGGAGAACAGATCCTTATGGAATGTCTGTGCAGGAGACACATTTCCATTGCCGGGCTGAGGTGTCAAGGGACTCTGTGCCCCACTACTTGGAGTATCTGAACCAGAGGGAACCAGAAGGTGCTGCTGCTGCTGTTGCTGCTGCTGCTGCTGCTGCTGCTGCTGCTGTTCATTCTTCACCTGTTCCAGTTTCTGTGTGGCTTCAATCTTGGCTTGCTGCTTACTTTTCTGACGCATTTGCTTTTAAGACAGGAAATAAAAAGCAATCACATGGTTGAGGAAGAAAATAACTATTATGGGAGGAAAAGGCAACAGAAAATGAACTTATGTGGTATCAGTAGCTACGAGTTTGCTTCATAATTAGACTAGAAATGCCTAAAGAGGAGTAATCATTACTCATCAAGTACGTCATTATGTCATGACATTTCAATAAACTTCTTAAATCAATTTAAATGTCTTTTACATTTTCACATTGTATTAAGAACTATATTCTGAAATAATGACATAAATACTTCACTTCTCACAAATCAAAAACGCAATTTAAAAAGCAAATCATCCAAAAAACTCATACCTGTCTAAATTTCCACTCCTGTTCATGTTCTGATTCTCTCTGCTTTAAGGGATCTTTAAAAAGATCTGAGTCAATGCGAGAGCTGGGATCGATGCTGTCTTGCTGTTGCTGCCTTTTCATGGAATCATTTGACATCTGGACTTTATTAATGCGTAAAGCAGCTCTGTTATCTCTTGCTTTTTGCTTTGACAAAAAGAGAAAACGATTACTTCCCAGTATATGTGTTTCAAAAAAATAAAAATACAATTTGGGTTAAACAGCTGAAATTAGTTGAAATACTATCCTTTAGAGTTGACAGCCTCTGTTAAGAAAAGACCTGGCATTAACCCACCTTCTCTCTTCACAATATACACTGCCTTCTAGGTAAGAATGTTTCTATTTATGTATTTGAATCAGCCCAGGAGATCCCAATGTAATCTTATATTTTTGATTCTATCTCAACACATCTTAGACAATGGAAGAATTAATATGTCCCTCAATTTAGAGAAAAAGAAAACATCAACTCAATCCTCAAAATAAAAAATCTAGATACCTGAAACTTACCATTAAAGAAAACCATTGTGAAATTTACCTTACTAAATTCACATAGCATACCGGTACACACAGCAGGGGGGTGAGGATACCCTATCTGAAGTAATTATTATGACTGAAAATATGTGCATTGGAGATCAAGTGGAAAATAACAAGATATTTTTTAGAAAAAGTATGGATTTCAGTATATTGAAAATGAAGCAAAGATTTGATTCCAGTTGATGATCATAATTTGGCTTTCTGGGAAAAAATAATTCACTATCTGAACAGCAAATCTGACAAAATTCTTTGTAATTCCTGGCTAAGGTCATATTTCAAACCTTCTTAATGAAGTCTAGATATGTTTCTTTCAAGATGCATAAAGATTCTTCAGTAAACTTGAGACAGAGAACACATATTACGGAATTAACTGATGAAAACTAACCCACTCTCCAAATTTAGTATTATTTACTAAATAATACTAAAGATAAACAATTTTAAAGTGAAATGAATTAATATGCCTTAAAGTAGCTGATTTTCAGTCTTCAACATCCTGGTCTGTTAAGTAACTAATCAAAATGTCGCACTCAAGCTGGTATGATGGTCACACCTACAGTCACAGCTACTCTGAAAGCAGAGGGGGAGGACTGAGGTTCCAGGCCATCCCAGCCCAGGTCAAAAGTTAGTGAGACCCACAACAAGCAAGCTGAGCATGGCAGTCCATGCCTGCAGTTCAAGCAGTGTGGGAAGCACAGGTGGGAGTATCAGGGCCCAATGCCAGACCCAGGTAAAAGCACGTGACTCTACCTAAAGCAAAAAAGGGCTGGAGGAGGGGGCTCAAGTGGTAGAGCAACTGCCTAGCAAGTGTGAGGCTCCAGTTCAAACTCAAGTACTGCCAAATCAATTAATTAATTAAACTTAATTGAATTCACACCCTAGTTTGTTAGTTGTAGAAGTATTTTCTGCAATGAAAAATCTTTTTATAAACTAATACAATAAAATAAGGTTCAAATATTATTTTAAAGATTTAGAGGAAATGTCTAGATACCACATATGGTGCTCTTTCCTGAGAGCTTGCTTTTCTCCACAATTTAGCAATCTGCTTTACTCGAGTAGTCCAGTCTGCAAAAGAACAGAGCACAAGTTTTCAGAGGCATGGTAATAACGTAGCAAAAACACTGAAGAGCTGCAGCAACTTCATCTGACAGACTGCACACCCAGGTGGTGTATGCTGTGCACCCGATGCGAGGTCAGGAGCTCCAACATGACAAGACAAGTGGAAAACTCCACACCTGACCTCATGTGATGGGGTTGCAGCCAAAAGGCAAACACTCCTAAAATACTGCATAAAATGATGTTTCAGGCCACACATACAAAATGTAGGTGAAATCTAGATGAACTTCATGTTTAGATTTGACTCCCATACTATAGCCAAGGTATTCTCAACATGTATGTGCAAAGATCCCAAAGTATTTTGGACAAAGGATCATGAACCATACTGCTATATTAAGTTCTACAAACAGTATACAGTCCATGACATACAGCAGGCCAAACAGCTATTATTTGAATAAAGTGCTGCTTATTAACAGCTGGTTTGTGGAGTTGGGAAGTTTTTAAATTTAAGAGACTAAGTAGCCAAAAGAAATTTGGGTCAAGTGAAATAAATTTCCTTAACTACATAAGATTTTACCAGAATCAAAGTGAATTGCACTGAACAGAAGTCTATCAATTTTACCCAAGGGAAATAATCATAAATAAACTTCTCACCACCATTCTATGCAATATGAAAAAGTAATGATTTTAAATCATTCTACAAAATTTAATGTCATAATAGTATTTGAAATGAAGACTGAGTAAGATCAATAGTTAATAATATAGGAATAATTTACTCCATGATAAAAACAAAAGTTTTCAAAAAGCCAATGAATGTGGAAATTGGTTGACAGACCAACAGTCTTAACAGTATTCTAAAAAATTATGAAAAAAATAACCATAATTGCCGTATGTGTCCTTACGACACTCATATTGACACAAAATGACTTACGATAACTACATTTGCTCATCTATAAATAATAAATGAGCATGGTTTAAAAACCTAAGAATGGAGCTACTGCTTTAACAGGCAAGCCTGCATTAGACAGCAAATTTCTATTGTGAACTAAGGTAGCATTTGATTTATTTCTGTGCATGATGAAAAAAATTACCACAGGGAGACCAAACCAAACAGGTGCTCAAAAAACAGGAGTGATCCATATGAAAAATTACTTCTAGGCATACATCTAGGAATTTAAGAGTTTATGTTTTGACAGATGGCTAAGAAGCTACTAGAAGACAGAATTTTAACAAAATTTTTAATTCTGGTTTGTCTGACAACATGAACTCAAAATAACAGCATTGCTTACAGATATTCAATAACTGACACTTGGTTAATCTGAAAGTTTCATCCTCTAGTCAATCAGAATATGAAAAACAGTACTATTGTATCCTTTGCTTTTTCCAACAGGTGGTAGGGACTGCTGGGTGTCAGGGGAGGTGAAGAAGGGAAGACAATACTGAGCAAATTTCAGTATCAACTACTGAGAACTGATTCTGACACCACCAGACAACACTTCTGATTAAAATACAGCGTGGAATACGCACATGAGCATGGGACCTAGCACTAAAAATTCAGTGTTTTTCTAGATATCTAGGGAACCTTCACATTGTAGATAATCATAGCAGATGAAAATTAGTGAAGATATAGGATTTTCTTCCATAGACTTAAAAAAGACATTACACATGAGAGAATGTTGGTAAAATAGACAGACAGCAATAATGCTTCATAACTTACCAGGGAATTCTTCCTTTAAGTTGGGGAAATTAATATTTGTGTAGAGAACTGGAGCAACTGTTGCCATTTCACCAAGAGCCTCCTCCTTCTCCCACTTAAGGGTACTCCTCTGGGCATTTGACATGGTATCGTTTTCTCCTTCCATAGTGGGGGCTGATGGTGCCCAAGAGCTGTTAGGGTCACTTGCTATTGCATTGAATGCTGGATTTTTATCCCTGGCAAAAAATAAACACCTTCATTTCATAAACAAAATTAAACTTCCTAATGCTATGCTCAAGTACCACTTACATGAAGATTTTTAACAAAATAGAAAAAAGCAACATGTTTGATGATTCTTAGCAATACAATAATAAATACAATATACACTAAATATCATGCATAACAGACTAATTAAGACATAGTAAAAATTTGTATAATTTAAGTTTCCATAAAAAGTAAGGCTTTTAAATACCTGGCATCAGTGTAAGGGGATTGTGCTATAGCAGAGAAAGTTCTCAATCCACTTCCAGGAGGCAAAGAATTATGTGGGAGATGAGTGCTGGGTCCAATAAGGCCATTCATGAGTGGCATCCGTGAAAAAACATCTTAAGAAAAAAATCATCTGGTTATTTGGTTTGCATACCACTCACAAATAACAAGTAGCTGACATATTTCTAAATAAAAACTTTTCATGGTATTAAAAGGATTTTAGGGCTGATGGAGTGGCTCAAGTGGTAGAGCACCTGCCTAGCAAGCAGAAGGCCCTGAGTTCAAACCCCCGCATGACAACCCACGCCCCCCCCAAAAAAGGAGGATTTTTCCAATATTAATATTATACCATAGAATACTGTCTTTACCTAGCTATAAAAGCTTGAAATATGGTCTCCATAATTGTGTTTGCCTTACTGTGGTGGATTATGGATGGCTTTGAAGTACAATAGCTCTAAATTTGAATCTGAATTCTGCTACTTGTTAGAAGCAGAATTGATTTCTACTTGAATTTGTAAAATGGAGGTATTAACATGGATTGAGTCAATGCATTTCTAATCTTTATTATGGTACCTGGTATGCAGCAACTATTTGAAATGTATTAACTTCATAAAGAGAATGAATCATGGTTTTCACTACTGCAACTCAGCCCCTTACAGTGCTTTAACTCTCCTTCCAGCTTATTTACCAGCTTAAATATCTGAGCATTTTCAGTCTAAGTACATATTACGCAAACTATGAGACTGCCTTTTCTTTCTCCATTACTCACATGTGTAGGTCCAATGTTTATATGATTGTGCACATGCCTAAACTATAAGCTAACTGTTCTCACAGGAGCACTCTTCAGACAGAACAATGTACTTTGCTTTCACACACTTTCAAAGAGCCTCCCCAATTAAACATGGTGATACTCAAGCCACAGCCTCTGCGACTAGTACTACAACAGGAAACTCACATCACTAAGTATACAAATGGTAATTAGTTGAAGAGTTCACTTTGCCATACCATTAGATAAAAAGAAATACCAAAAACAACATCACATCCAGGCAATGTTTTACATATTGTGTGTTCTCATAAACCAGATCCTCCAACACTGATCACAGGTTAAATTCTCAAGCACCTAGAATGGTACTGATCCTAACTAATGCCAGAGCTGGACCAGCTAGGTCAGGATCTCACAATGACAAATGTGTCATGACACATAAACTTCCTGGAAGGATTAAAGACCAAGATTTCTGCTTTTATTCAAAATGGAAAGGTTCTTTCACCTTTAGCAAGAACAGGTTCCATTTGGGAATCTCAGGTTTTATTGAAAAATACCAAATGTCTTTTGTATAATTAGGATAAACAGACACAAAAGGGAGAAATTGCTGGGTTCTGCAGCTGTCCATCAGCACTCTCTACTGCAGCCCATTGTCACAGACTTTTCCTAACAGACAAGGCTGTCTATTAACCATTCTACTACATGCTGAGCATGTTCTAGAAGCTCCACCTGTGTGAGTTCTATCCTTACAACGAACCAGCCACACAGCTCATAGTGTGTAGCCACCGAGCAGCTTACACAATGTGTAGTCCCATTTAAAAAAAAAAAAAAGGATCCATAATCTAAATAACTTGTTCAAGGACAAGATAGAGTTTCCCCACGTAGCTCAGGCTGGCTCTCCTGCTTCATCCTCTCAAGTGGGGGGTGGCTCTTTTTTCCTCCAAGTCTACCAAACCTATCCAACCTAGTCATATTAGTTTATGAAAACAACCATTCAGAGTCATGACTGATAAGAAGCATTGAAAATTCACTTAATTTTTACCTAATGTCCCTTTAGGTTACTGTGCTATAATCTTCTTGAAATTTCCCTTTTCAGCTTTCTGACTCTTCTTATTATTGTCAACACATTTCACTCTGTCTCACTCTCGTATTACTCCTACTGGAGTTATTACTCCACAGAGAATCACCAAGAAACTTCCACAGTTCACCAAGACTACACCTTTCAGGTATGGTACTCACTTGTCCACTTAACTTTACAACCCATCTCCAGTGACCAACACAAAGCAATACAGGATCCCCACATGAATGACTCCATCTCTATTCTGTTCACATTCACCTAACCCTTAAAAAGGGGGGAAGAAGCATGACCATGTGACTATACACTTTTATAAATCAAATGAGTGGAACATGCACTTCACTACATCTAATTAAGAAGTGTTCCTCTAGATTTTATACCCTACTGGTAGTATATTCCCTGAAAAATATCTCATCCTTCCCACAACTGCAGTTAGCACCATTACGCCAATAATTCTTACACTTTTACCTATACACTTGACCAACTGCAACTACCTGTGAGAACACTATACCAAACTAAAAGCAGTCTGAAACTACATTCATTACACTTCCACTACCTTCTACAACACACACACACACACACACACACACACACACACACACACACACACACACACAAAGCTTCCTTTGTTCCATGGTTCTAGTTTATGGGACAATTATTCTCTAGCCAGCTTGGTGTACATATACTTTCATTCACTTTATTTCCCACTTCTCTTACCTTATATCTGTTCAATAACATAATCCTACTTATTATAATTTCATTGGCATGAGGTCTTCATTGGCTCATGGAAGCCTGAAGAAAAAAGTTAAATACCTCTGCCTGGTGTTCATGCTGTTGATAATCTAACACACTGCTAGTTTTGCTTCTGTAGATACTGACTACCTACCCTACCTCCATGCTCTGGAAAATATTAAAGTTGCAATTGTTGAATACATAAGTGTCATCCTATATATAACTTAACATGTTTTACCCTTAAATTAGAATTATTATTTTTCAAACAACACTGATTTTTAAGGCTCTATTTGAGTAATAACGCTACGATAAGGCAACTGTACACATGAAAGACTACAGCAGTACAATCAACTTAGGAGGGTAGGAAGCCTTATTACTCATCTTGTATTGCATATTAGACCTAATAAAAAACAGTCACCCCATCAAAACTTTTCTATATAAATAAGTAAGCACAATGATGTAATTTCTATAATAACTAAGAACTTTCATAAAAGGACACATCTTTAAATGATTTGATCTCTAAAAGACAGTTTCAGTTATAGAAAATATGAAGCTAAATCATTCTTATATGCAAAGAAGACAAATGCTACAGAGTTCTTAAATCATTAAAAAAACCATATGGGAACAACCAAATCAAGAAACAGTTATGGTGAGTGCGTTACCCAAATATAAATCAAATGTTTAGTCTAGCAAATACCATGGTGGATCTCTATTTAGTAAATAAACTTTTCGTGTATACACAAAACTGATAGCAAAGGTAAATTATTCATTTTATATGAAAGGGTAAGAATTTATACAGGTATGGTCACATTACTCAATTCAGAATATAGTCATGAAGCTATAACAATATTCCAAACTCACTTCCAGAGGAGGCCTCATACCTGCAGGACTCAGTTTCCACATCTATTCCTACAGATCTTAATTCCTGGTTATCATATTTCAGCTTTCCAGAAGGAAGACAAAATGGAAGTCAACTTATTTTATGTTGCAAATAGTTACAAGTATGTAGAAGAAAACTGGCCAAGCAAAATAGATAAATTTCCACAAAAAGTCACAGGAATCTCACAGTGTCCACGAATTTACAACATTTAAGTGCTGAAGACACACTCAAGGTGTACAGTGATAAGTAAGACATGGGACCTGAGTCTTGAAGAGCTCACAATCTAAAGAGACGATCTTAACTACCTGAACAGGTACTTATGTTTGTGCCATACACTACAAAAGAAAAGATCCGAGGGTAGGTAGGGTGGAGGTATGACTGCTTATCCTCTGAGGAACTGAGGCCAGGTCACTGAGCAAGGCCAGGTGACAACAGGGCCTGGTCTCCCAAAGATAGTAGTCATTATGTGGGTAACAACCAGCATAAAAGTGAGCTAGGATTGGGGCTGAGGGAAGGAGAGAGGACAGGCATCGTTGCAACCTCCCCAATGCCAATAAATGAGCAAATTAATTCTGGCCATAAGGTGAATCACAGAATGGCAGAGAATTTCAGAGAGATGGGTGTGTAACTGAAGTTAGTATTTTTCCATCATCACAACAAAAGTGAGTTTTCTGGTATCAGTTTGTATATATGGCTACAAAGAAAGGGGCAAAAGTCTCTTGCATATCTCTGTGTTTGTAATGCAGAACCACGTGGATAAAGTTATTAGCATACCCTGACTGTGTATTGACAGCAGCTGGGGCGGAGGGGGAGGCTGTGGTAATGGAGCTGGCTGTGTGGCAACAGGACTCAGTACAGCAGTAAACAAGTCTTCTACATCCTTTCCTCCAAGTTCTATGATATGAAATAAAAATAGTAAAAGGATTAATAGACTATTAGGGTCATAGCATGGGGAATGTCATTCTTAAGAAGTAAATTCAGAATGTGAATACCTGGAATTTTATATAACTTTCCAAGAATTGCTCCTAGTATGAAAGAGAGACATTAACAATTACCAATCCAACATGCTGACACAAAACAGCATTTAATTGCTATAGAAATCATAAAAACAAAAGACAAATCACAAATAAGCATGCAAAAATCTTTGAAAGTCATATTTACTCATGTCTTTTAGAAAGCCTAGATGTAGGGCAAATATTTTACCATCTGTGACCATTTTGTCTAGCTCAGGACTCAGGATCCCATCCAGTTGTTCCTCACTCAATGGTCGTGAACTCTGACTGACACTTGGCTGAGGCAAAGAGGAAGACTCATCAGCAACCGGAGCAATATCTGAAAGAGCAAGGTAAGCAAATGAAAAGGCGAACACAGAACACGCACACAACACACACAACACTAGTCACAGGCATACAGTGTATAACTAAAATAGTTAAGTAAAGCCTACAGTTCTGAGTTAGTCAGAATTCTTGTAGTAATTTGGATAGTTCATCAGTAAAAATGAGGAACAACGTATTGGCTAACTGAAATTATCTTTAAATCAAAGTAAATACATTTCCTGAAGAACAAAACATGTCTGATCTTGGCAATTTCTGTAATATCTAAATCCCATATTAATATAACTCATTATATAAATAACTGCTTGAATTTAGAAAATGGTGGCATCGCTGTTAAGTGGTCACGTATAATAATACGTGAAACGGGAAAGAGAAGTTTCATATAAACTAATGAAAAACTCCGGCTTTTCTATCAATATTTAAACATTACCATTGTAACGGTTTCAATTATAAATTATTCGTTAAGTCACATTCTAAAAAGATAAATTATGTTCGTAACATTTACAACAGATGGCATTTCTGCAACAGTCATGTGTAAAGTGGTGAATTAACTATGTTTGTCATGCTTTCTCCATACTGTTATTCTTAAAGAGTCAAAATTTAGTTGCTTTTATTTAGCCTTATATTAGAAACTAATATTTGGGTAACATTATAAGACATGTATTAATAAGAATGAAACCATGAAAAATTACTAAGAAAGTCATTAAAGCACAGTAAGAGTGTACTATGCTTTAGCTGTACACACGGAGGAAAAGCAAATTATGGATTAGTGACAAATTAGCACTACTACCAAATATGCATGCACCCACAGGCTGTTTCAGCTGGAACACTATTAAGAAAGAAGACTACTACTTTTAGTCAGCAGTCACCATTTCTCAGTTCTTACCAAATGGGAAAGGAGAGCTCCCAACCTGGAAAGTGCATAAATCAAGACCTACAAGACCCAAACCAAATAAAACCGATGATTACCACAGAAGCGGGCAGGGAGGGAGCATGCACACCAAGAAGAAACATGGTGCTGCAAGATCTTAAGACAATAGGCCCTAAATATGATGTAATCAGAAGGGCAACAGAAAGGAACTAACTTGATCCTTTCCCTTCTCCAGCAGGAAAACTAAGGCAGAGCAAACAAAAATGGTGAGTTCTTCAACAAAGCCAAAAAACCAAATCAAATCAAACACACTAAAGACTAAACTTATTCCACAACCATATACCACTCCCACAACAATAGCAATCAGCCAAACGGTATCATACACACACCTGAGTGATGAGCTGATTTTGCAAGGTCATCGGAGATTATTCCAAGAATGTCATCATCTGTGTTTAAGACTTCAGAAATATCCGCCAGTGGGTCATCAGCAGTACCTAAATATAGTTGGGATATAAAATTTCAGGGTTTTTCCTAAACATTAAATTCTGAACACCTAGGTCATAGTAGCTGCTTGGGCAAGTGCTAGAATGGTAAATTTAAGATCATAACTTCTAAAGGGATTTTCACAGCACTGTTGTTTTGTTTTGGTGACAGATGTATAGAAATATGATGAAATTGAAAATAAAACCTGCAGACAACAAAATTGAAATAGATCATATAAGAAACAAAGCCAAAAAATTCATTACATGAGTGCCATCTCTAAAAATGACACCTGGAAAAAAAAACACAGAAGTTACTAAAATAGGAAAGGCTTGCTATTTTGAAATTCCTTACAAGCATAAACCAGGTACCATATTACATCTGGTTTTGCTCTTATTCTGACTACTGTTCATTTACTCTTTTATTAAAAACTTTCAGTGATAGAGAACTATGTCTATAGATTATGTATCAGGCATTGTTCTACACACTGGATCAAGATGTCAGTGTCTAATGCAAAGGACCCAGGGCTTACTTTCTCATAGGCAGTAGACAGCAGCAAATGACATCACTGTGATAAAAAAATAAAATAAGCTATGGGGGAATGCTGCATTTCATAAAGGAGGCAGGGGACCTTTTCATAGACGACTTGGCAGAGATCTAAATTAAACAAAGGAGTACTACACACAAAGATGGCAAGGATACTCCAGGCACAGGGAAAGCAGCTGTACAGGCCCTGAGCAAAAGGGTGTTTGCCGACACAGGAGGCCAGCATGGTCAAAGTAAGCAAGGGAAAGAGTAGGAAGAAAGAGAAGCAGCAGCTAGTGCAAGATTGCATGCTTTTGTCAATTGTGATGAAGATGTTGTTAGAGACATGTACAGAACAAACAGGGTTGGGGGAGGGAGTGTGAGCAAGAATAGAAGCCTGGAGACCTGCTGCAGAAGTGATGAGAGCTTGTGTGGGGCAGAGGGGGAGTTGGAGTAAGAAGTGGTTGGCTTTGGGATATATTTTGAGGGCAGAGATGAACCTGTGGATGAGTGAAATGTGAAAAATGAAAAGTCAAGGGTTCTAAGAGGTTTTGAACTAATCAAGTAGGAAAATGTTGGAATTCTTATCTAGGTTAGTTTTAGTAATTATATTAGCTGCTTAGTTAAAGAACATCTGAAGAGCCAGATGTGGTGGTGCACATCTGCAATCCCAGCACTTGGAAGGGACAGGAAGGAGGATTATGAGTCCAAGCCCAGCCTGGGCTACAGCACAAGACCCTGCCTCACAAAAACTAGGAAGAACATATGAAATTTTTAAACCATCTCAAGTATATTTTTACTTTAAAATGGAGAGAAGGGCATAAATTAATATTTCAGATCAAAGACTTCTGTGAAGCACAAACAGTCCTGGTGCAATTAAACATATACATCTCAGAACACAGAACAATGTAAGTTTTTTTTTTAATTTTATTTTATTCATATTTGCATACAGTGTTTGGGTCATTTCTTCCCCCCCCTTCACCCCACCCCCTGCAAGTTTTAAATTAAAATGTAAGTAAGAGTTTTTCTATGCTCAAATGTTCAGAAAGCTTATAGAGAACTGTTCTCTGGAGAACAGTCCATGTAAAGGAAAGAAAACTGTGGGCAATCCTTTAAGGGGTCATCTAGAGGTTTTAGTTTGCTTTAAAACAACGGAATTCTATTGTATAAATTATAACAGACACTGACGCATGCATTGAAGTTACTGCGGTCAAACTCAGGGCCTAAGCAAGCACCCTACCACCTGAGCCATGCCCCAGTCCTACAACTAACAGTTTTTAAAAGATTACATTTAGGGGTTGGGGTGGGGCTCAAGTTGCAGAACTCGGTGCAGGCTCTGAGGTCAAACCCCAGTACAGACAGGGGGTAAAAAGACTGTTTAAAAAGCATGTTGCTACCTAAAATAAAAAAATTTCTCTTAAAAACAAATCATTAAAATTTATCTAATGGGCTATAATGGATGAAATATAAAAGAAAAAGCACATCACTTGTTAATTTGAAAGAACATTTACGTTTTTAAATGGTGATATTCCAGTCCTCAAAGTTTTGGTCTTCTTATAAAAAATCTTTACTTCTCCAGCAGTTTTGTGAAATAAACAGTCAAATAAAAGACAAAGGAATAAAAATAAAGTATATCAAATGTCTTCCCTATCACAATATTACACTTTGTCCTCTATCCAATCCTGTCCTTTTCCTTACAAAACTGCTACAAGTCTTCAAATGCTGTGTCATGATAGCATGTTAATATTGATAAACATGGGCAAGTACTTAAAACAACATATATAATGTAAAGGTTTAGTTTTAAAAAATCATCTGCAATGCTATAGCAAGCATGAGGCCCCGAGTTCAAAACCCTAGTACCCCAAAAGCAATCTGCTAAAACTGAACCAAAACAGCATGGACTTTAGTCTGGTGTTTTTATCCCTCACTGCCATTGGTAAGGTGGACTGGGTGTACACATGGGCACAAGAGAAGATAATATTGTCTCTACTTATTTTAACAAGTTAAATCGAAAGTTAGCAGAATGACACAAGTGGTTAAGAGCATCTGCCTACAAAGCATGAGGCCCTGAGTTCAAACCCTAGTACTGTCCCCCCAAAAAGAAGTCAAATTGAAAATGTAAGTCTGAACAGGTGGCCCCTCAGGATCTGTGAGGTATTGATTGCAGTCATCCCCCCAACCACCACCCCCGCAGATACAAGACTGTGAACCTTCAAGTCCCATAAGTCAGATTTCATATTTGCATATAGAGAGCATACAGATATAGTCAACTGTACTTTAATCCAACGCAATGCTAAGTTAACAAAACTATAATTACTTAACATCAAGTCATTTTTTTTCAGTGAAGGGTTACCTTAAAATCGCTTCTTTCAAAATGAATTTATAAAATTAACCGAGTAACAAATGTAATTAGTGATGAAATGAATAACTGTCATAAAAACATTAATTTATAATTTATAATTGATAGTACTATAAAACCCTAGAAGAGGGGAAACACTATTGTGATCATAAGTCTTGTATCTCCTACTAAACTTTTGGATATCAATATTACTTGATAAACAAATCAAGCTCTCTCACTGTTCTCTGATTCTTAAGTTGTTCCCACATTCCCTGAATTTAGGACTCAACCAGGGGCGTTTTTGTCCACAAAGGAACATTTGGTGATCTCTCTTGACATTTTTGATCATCATGATATGATGAGGTCACAGATGCCATTAAACATCCTACCAGGTACTGGACAATCCCTACAACAAAGAACTGCCTGGTCTAAACTCAGTAATCATATCTAGGGTAACATATTTTATATGTATTACTATATAATAATAGTAAACCAGCAAGTTTCCAACTATGCCAATCTGTTTGGTTTTCCTTTGTTTTTAATTTCTTTTCTTTCTCTCTCTCTTTTTTTTTTTTTTTTTGTGCAGAACTGGGGTTTGAACTCAGGGTCTATACCTTGAGCCACTCCACCAGCACCAGCCCTTTTTTGTGAAGGAGTTTTTCGAGATAGGGGCTCACGGGCTATTTGCCTGGGCTGGCTTCGAACTGCAATTCTCCTGTTCTCTGCCTCCTGAGTAGCTAGGATTACAGGTGAGAGCTACCAGCTCCCAGCTTAACTTCTTTGAGCTATGTAATTAACAAAAAATATATCTTACCTAAGTTGAAGATTATATTTATAACTCACCAACTGTGGCTAAATTATGCCTCCTCACATTGTTCTTTGCAAAGTGTAAACTGACAGTTTTCCTTTGTGCCTCCTGATTTTGGTGGTAGATGCAGTGGTAAATTAATTTGCCAAAGCTTACAGAACTGTCCACTTAACATAATTGCATTTATAGAGTATAAATTATACTTGAGTGAAGTTGGTTTTCCAGATACATATGAAGTCAAACAAAAACATTTCTCAGGTTTAATTAAAAGGAAGGTAAATGTCATGTGTAGAAAGAAGACACCTGTGAGTCATTCTACATACCCTGAGTCCCAGGTTTTGCGGGAGCTGAGGATGAACTCAATAGTGGATCTAAGGAAGGGTCCAAAAAGCCTGGGTTCATGTTTGTTCTATATGAAAACTGGGATGCATCTTCTGAGAGATGGTCTAAACTTCGCTTGTTTTGTCTGCTTGTATCTAGAAGGTCTTTTCCAAAGAAAGCTTCCTAGATAAAGATAAGCACATAAGAAAATGATCAGTTCTAAAATGGTAACTAAGTCTATCAACTTTTTTCTTTTTTGGTGGGGGAGGTGGTAGCTGGGGTTTGAACTCAGGGCTTCACTTGAGCTACCTTCCAGCCTTCTATCCCAATTTTTGACAAGAAAAGAGAAATAACAGAAAAGTTTTGTATTTAACAAGATAGAATTTGAGTACAGAAATACAGAAACAACACAGATCCTGTCAATTATTTTAAATAGATTCCCCTTATTTTAAAAGGATTTTTTTGTAGCTTTACCAAAGAGAAATAAAATTACAAAAATATAAACACACAATGTTAAATGTGTTTCTAGCAACTGCAAGACAGTAATTTGATCTGAAGAGATTAAGCTGTAATTAAATTTAAAAGCTGACAGATTTACAATACTACTGGCACCTTAATTCATACTATAAGCAAAACTAATGCTTCATGAATATTATTAATATTTATAGATTACCTACAGAGGCTAACACAAGACTGATCTATAGCTTTAATATTCAGGTACCTCAGGTGGATTTACTACCCATAGTGATGCATGTAGCCACACAGGAGACTTACAGTATAAATCTGAAAGACGGTTATAGTCATTTGCTCCACACCACATGTACCACACCTGCAGCTACTATCTACTCAGATGAACACCTCTCCCCCTCCAAACACTTCTGGGGTGAGTGCTTCCATTTGGGTTCCTGGCAACTCCTTATCTCTCCAGAACTTCTTAAGGATCAATACAGAAGACAAAGAGAAAGCAGCCAAGACCCTTTTTCACTTGCTTCACTGCAGCACCTTTTTATAATATCAAATGTGGAAATGGCCTTCATGTCCACCGGTAAGCATATGACTAAAAGGTAATCACACTAAGTATGCAGAAACATTCTATTAAAGAAAAGCCCTAAAATACATTACTAAAAGAAAAAAGTTAAATATCATACATCTTAAATGAACTGTATGACTATGAAAAAAGAAATATAGAGCTGGTGGAGTGGTTTAGGTGCTAAGAGAATCTGCCTAGCAAATGTGAGGCCCTGAGTTTAAACTCCAGTGCCACCAAAAAAAAAATTCTCAAAGCTAGAATGCTTGCCCCTTTTTTGCCTGGGGGTTTAAATACAGGACTTCACACTTGCTAAGCAGGTGCTCAGAAGCTTAAGCCACACCTATTGCTGATTTTGTGCTGGTTATTTTGGAGACGGATTCCAGAACAGGATCCTCCTATTTTAAACTTCCCACAATTGCTGAGATGACAGATGTGAGCTACCACACCCAGGATTTTTTTCCACATTGAGATGGGGTCTTGCAGCCTTTTTAACCCAAGCTGGCCTGGAACCTCGATCCTCCTAATCACAGCCTCCCAGGTAGCTAGGATTCCAGGCGTGAGCTGCTGGCACCATACTTCAGTAATGCTTTTATAATCAGGTAAAACGCCAAGAAAACAAACCATCTTCAAAGCTTAGAAATCAGTCACTTGTTTAATTCCTCAAGTATAAAACAATCTAAGACCACTATTCAGCATCACTAGTTGTTTAGTAGCTTGCACCACTATTTCTAGTGGATAGGTTATACAATTTATCTTTACACTTTTGTGATTAATAAAGAAATTTGCAGGGCTGGTGGAGTGGCTCAAACAATACAGCACCTGCCTAGCAAGCTCAAGTTCCTAAGTACCACACAAAAATTTAAAAAATTTAAAAAAGAAAGAAAATTTGCAAAGAATGTTACTAAATCCCTAATAGGTTTCTGACACTATCCAATCAACTGAGAAAATAAATAAATAAATAAACCCAAGCATCACAAAATGACCATTCAGGAGACTGAGGCAGGACAACTCCAAATTCCAGACCTCATTCCAACTCCAGCCATACAGGGAGATTCTGTCTCCAAAAAAAGAGGAGAGGGAAAGAGGGAGGGAGTTGAAATGTAGTTTTTGGCTTAAATCTTTGATTATTATGTCTCCAAATACAGTGGACAATAATTAAAGCTGTGACTCAGGCTGCTAAACATTTTTTGGTTTTTTTCTTCAATAAAAATAATTACTATAATCTGTACTGGCAAAGAGGAACTTCAGTAGCACCTGGGTTTTCTATATACCTCAAATGGTTTAAAAGTCAGCTTTACCCAACCTAAAGTGTCTTGCTTTGGCTTACACAATGCTTAGTAATGAACAAGTAGCATAACAAAAGAACTTTATAAGGCTGGAGCATAGCTCAGTGGCATAGCACTTGCCAAGCAAGCACATAAAAGGCCACTGTTAATTTCTATGAGATACGGGAAGATAAAATGGCATTTATGAAGAAAAATAAAAGCAAGTAGAACAAGAACCGCCCCCCCCAAAAAAAACCTACTTTTAAAAACTCAATACAGGTGACTCCATGATTGAGAAGTGTCGGTGAAACTAAGGACATACTAGATTCTGAAATGAAGAAGAATCTTCATTCTGGGAATCAAAGAAGAGGCAACAGAACAGCAGAAAAACACAAGAACAGAAAGGCTACAAAGAGAAAAGTAGGAAACAACCCAAAGCACTGACTGCAGACCAAGCTAAAGCCACAGCACAAGGTAAGCAGAGCAGCCCTAGTGACAACAGACTGGCAGTCCTAGCTGCAAACAGCTCACAGTTCTCAGAAGCCTTACTGCAGTGGGGTTATTTGGTGTGCCAATGACCACTCCTGCATGGCAGGCCAATACTGAAGAACAAATTCACTGCATTGCTTCTCATACCTCAGAGTGCTACAGCCAGCTACTGTCTTGAAACGGGGGTCTAATGTTTGAGACTGAGCTACTTTAGGGACCTGAAAACAAGGAACAATCAAAGACCAGAGAGCCTAAAGACATCCTGCCAATGGTGTCTGGGTGGGAGACAGCCACAAGAGCCAGTTGTGAAGAGGAGGAGGGTCAGACGCACACACACTGAGAAGTGTAAGTAGTAGAGTTTAGGCTGTGGGGGTGGAGTGGCTTATGGCCCTGCCCTCTGTGGCACACAGCAAGCCACATCCCCTGAGGATCACCATCAAGGCTGAGAGCAACAATCCCAGAGCAGCAGATTGCTTGGCCTAGGAAGCTGCCGCCCTGCTGCATGTAGTTTGCTCCTCGGCAGGACTTGAGATCGCCGAGGCCAGGCTGGTTTAATGCAGGCAGGATCTGAAAGCACTGGGACCAGTAAGCAGAGTGCCAGGTCCCCACTATTCTCCCCTCCAGTGCATGTTCCCCACCCTCCAGTATATCCAAAGGACACCTGTATGTAGGTCTGGATGCTTGCCATCCCGAAGTGAACGTTTGGGGATCCTCTGGAATGAAGAGGGGGCCCAAAGTTCACACAAAGAAGGAAGCTTCTAAAGTGAGTGAAGCCTTGAAGCTGACAACTGACCAGCCAACCCCCTGCCTGCATTCAGCATCAGCCTGAATAGTAGGAACTACACCACCAGTGGCGACTCACTACTCACCCTTACCTAATAGATTCCAATGTTTTAAACTTTTTCTCTTTTTAGCATTTTTCATTTTTAGTAGAGTTTTTCAAAACCTTTTTATTTTTTATTCCTTTTCTTACCTTTATCTAATTTTATTTATATATTTTGCTTTACAATCAGAATGATCTCTTGCTCTTTTCCTCAAATTCTTCTTTTTCATTTCTTCTATGTAACCTTGCTGCTGCTTCTCCTTCCTTGCCCTCTCCTTTATTTTGCTCATTTATTCTAATTACTTTCACTTCAACTAATATTTAATTTAATAGTTTACATTATTTTTACCATTTTATTTTCTATGATTATTGATAATTCTTTTCTATTGGTAGTGTAGTAATTGGCTTTAAATATGTTAATTATATTTAATTACATTTCTATATGTGGTTTGTTTTGGGAGTGTTATTATGGTAATTTGCTTTTTCCTCTGTCAGTGGTACTGAATATTGAACTCCATCTCAAGAAGGCTGCTCAGTAAGACTACCAAATGAAACCAGAAGAAACATCAAACTGCACAACTGATACAAAAACTGCAACCTTGAAACACAAGAAATATAGAAAAGCAAGGCAACATTACTTCTCCAAATGTTCAAAACTTCTCAATAACTAAATCTAAACATACTGAAATGGTTTAAATGCTAAAGAATTTAAAACTTTAGTTTTAAAAATGATTGATGATTGCTAGGGATGGTGGCTCACACTTGTAATTCCAGCTACTCAGGAGGTGGAGATCCAGAGGAGCACGATTTAGGCAAACCCCAGCAAAAAGTCTATGAGACCCCCATCTCAACCAATAAAAGCTGGGTATGTTGGCACATGCCTGTCATCACAGCTATGCAAGAAGCATAAACAGGAGGATGACTGTGGTCCAGGTCAGCCTAAACATAAACATGATAATCCATCCCAAAAATGAGAAAAGCAAAAATGTCTGGGGGCTCAAGTGGAAGCACAAATCCCCTGAGTTCAAACCCCAGTACTGTGTAAAAAATTAAAAAAAAAGGGCAATTAATTCAAATAAATAGATGAGTGAAATAAAGAAGTGAACTCAAGACTTGAATAAGAAATTCAACAACCTGGATAATAAATTCAGGAGAGAGATATTCTGATGGGGGAAAAAATACCAGCAATCTCACAAATGCAAAGCTCAATAAATCAAAACCAAAACTAAGAGGAAATATCAACAATAGTCTAGTCTTCCAACAGGTAGGCCAGGTGAGAGAAAGAATATCAAGACAATGCTGAGGCATTATTAAATTTAGAAAGCAATAAAGAAAAAAGAAACTGTGCCCACAACATCTAAAACTTCTGAGACACAATTAAAAAACCAAACCCTCAGAACTGTGGTAGAGGATAAGAAACCATACAAAGACACAGGCTTAGTACATGGCTCAAATGGAAGAGTGCCTGCAGGGCAAACAAGCCCTGAGTCCAAACCCCAATCCCACCCCTGCCCCCCGACAGACACACACAAAATGTTCAAACTAAAAAAATTTATTCAATCAAACAATATAGCAGAAATTTCCCCTAATCTAGGGAAAGAAATGAACATCCAGGTACATAAGGCATTTAGAACTCCACGTGGATATAACCAAAAAAGAACCTCTCCACATCATATTAGAGTTAAAAGGCAAGAGTACGGAACAAGGAAAGAATATTGGAAGCAGCAAGATAGAGGTGTTGGCACACAGATCATTGGACTAGAACAGAAAACTCAGAAATAAGGCCATACACTATAGCCACTTCATTTTTCAACAATGATGCCAAAAACATGTATTGGAGAAAAGACAGCCTCTCTAATAAATAGTACTGCAAAAACTGGGTACCTACAACATGTACAATATTGAAACTACAAAGGTTAAACACTTCAAGATCCAGACATAGGCAATGACAAATAGCTCAGGAAATAAGAGCAAGAACTAACACACAGGATTTCATCAAATTAAGAAGTTTCTGCACAGAAAAGGAAACAATTACCAGAATGAAGAGACAGCCTACAAAAATGGGAGAAAATCTTTGCTAGCTAGTCTTTTGACTGGAGATTAATATCCAAACATACAAAGAACTCAAAAACTTAAACACAAAAAGAACAAAATAATCCAATCAATAAATGGACAAATGAATGGCACAGATGTTCTCAAAAAAAGACAAATGGTCAATACATGAAAAATTTTCAGCCTCCTTAGCCATCAGGAAAATGCAAACCAAAAAGAACAACAACAAATGCTGGTGATGATGGGGGATTGGGAGGACAAACCCTCATTCACTGTTGGTGGGATGTAAATTAGTCTAGTCACTGTGGAAAACAGAACAGTGGTTTCTCAAAAACTGAAAAAAAGAATTACCATATGATCCTGCTATACCACTCCTGGGTATACAATACAGACACTTTCACACCCTATTTATTGCAGCACTATTCACAATAGACAAGTTACAGTATTAGCCTAAGTGCCCATTAACGGATGAATGGGTAAAGCAAATGTAATATAGATACACACACACACACAATTGAAGTTATGGCATTTGCAGGAAAATGGATAGAACTGGAGAGCCAGACTTAGACAAGTATTGCATATTTTCTCTCATTTTGAGGAATCTAGATTAAAAAAAAAAAAAAAAGACATGAAGTATAAAGTGAACTATTTGGGAAGGAGACTGGTGTTGGGGGAGGGGAGAGAAGAGAAGTAATAGGCAGGGGTGTGTGTGGCTATGAGCAAAGTACATACATTATATACATGTATGAAAATGTCATGAAACCCAGTATTTGTACAATAAACATATGCTAGTAAAAACTCAATGCATAAACATTTACAAAACTAACTATACAATGTAAAGCAAAATATTACCTGTAAATATGCAGGGAACGTTTCTTCAAGCTTATTTTTCCTTTTTCGGTATCTTTTCTTTATTTTTTCAGTGCTTTCAGCAACAGAAACAGACTCATCAACTACAGTATCTGGTAACTGCTCAATCCAGCCTGAAATAACAGTCACACTTATAAATGCATGGCATTTAAATTTCAGACAAATCCACACCAGATAACTTTATGACTCACCAACAAATGCAGTTCCCTATTAACAAATAAGCTTTAGTGTCACGCAAAGATCTTAAAGCAAGATTATCAATAAGTTAACTGTAACAAAAACTTCAGTTCATGTCTATTTAGTACTAGTTTGCTTCCTATTCTTTCTTAATAAACAGCATTTCCTTGCGAAACAGAAACTTTTTTAAAACACAGCATTGATGTATAGATTTAATAAAATGAAAGTATTGAGTGCTTGTGAGTGTGAGGAAAAGGCTACTCATCGACAGCTAAACAACAGAAACATACTAGCAAATGAGTTATTTCTAGTATATATGCATAGTGAATACATGACTGTGAACACACTCACAGATATACAATGAATACTCATTCAGAAAATGGAAATAAAATGAAATGTTGCTGGGCAAAGTGCTTCATGCCTATAATTCCAGCACTTGGGAGGCTAGGCAGGAGGATGGTCAGGTTGGGCCACATAGTGAGTTTTAGGCTAAACCCTGTCTCAAAAAACACAACACAGCAAAACAAAATATATGACTATGAAATTAGCAAAGAAATAAGTATACCACTTAAAGCAGACAAGTAAGCAATCAAATGATACTCCTAAACTTGTTAATGGTACATCTCTTTCATTGCCAGACTACCTAGGTGCCCTTACTCTTTCAAAGACAACTAAAAATAACAAGCATTTAAAAAAATTTTTTTAACATGTACTAGTAATCTAGTCAAAGATTACTAATCAACGAATCCCTAAAAGCTAAAAATTCAGGCAAAGAAGGAATAAACAAAGAAATAAAACTCTTATGAATTTTGCTGAAATCTAATTACCTTGAATTACAGTTTTCAGAGCACACTGACAACTGGAAGACAAATGGCAACTCTCCAAGGTGGAGAGATTAACTGAATGTGTCTTGCAAAAAACTGGAACCCTAGGGACTCCACCCTCAGAGTCTACTACCATTTAGATCTTGAATTTCCCCAAAGGCCTATGTGCTAAAAGCTTGGTCCCCAACCCATGGAGCTATTGGGAGGTGGTAAATCCTTTAAGCAGTAGGGCCTAGTGGAAGGAAGGTAAGAAACTGGGGGTGTGCCCCTGAAGGGGATACTGTTCCCGTAGACCCTCCTCTCTTTCCCTCTGGTTCTCCCTGCCCCTGCCATGAGGTCAACAGCTTCCTGGGCTATGCATTCCCATCATGCTGTGTGACAACCAAAACTATAGACTGAAACCTCCAGAGTTGTGAGCCAAGATTAATCTTTCTTCCTTATAAGTTGATTGCTTGGTACATTTTATTCATAATGGAAAGCTGAGAAGAAACAAAGCCTATCACTCTCCTCCCTCTCCCTATTACCAGTAACAAAGAAAACTGCTTATCATCAGGTCATGGAATTTGATACTCAGTAGAAAGGTAAAAAAATGAAACCTCTATTAAGAATTTACAAGCTCAATATAGTCCTCAGGTCTGAGAAATCTCAATTCATATAGCAAGGGTGACAATTCTTATAACTTCAAGTTGAGAAGCTTAAGTAGTCCAAGAGTAGAAGTATCCCATCCAAATCTGTGGAAGAACACACTTTCAATTCAGTTCTTAAAAAATTCAAACAGAATATCGCAAAGAATATGAGTTTGCAGTAACTATAAATGAGTAAGTGTGTCTCTCACACCATACATACGTGAAACAAGGCACTAGCAGACGGAGACAGCAGATACAAAGACTAGAATCGTGTGAGAAGATTTCAGAAACTTTATGTTGTAAGTCAATTACTTACATGAGAAATAAAAGACAAAAGGAGTAAGCTCTACAATGAAACTATGAAGTACTAAAACATCAAAACAGTATTGGCTCTGGGAACCTAAAGGGCAGATGAGTGAGTCAGCCCATCCCCCCTGGCGAGCACTATGAGCCCTGCACCCTGAGAAGGAGTTATAAATCTGCATTCCTGCACCCTGAGGAGGAGATACAGGGTCTCATAAATCTGCCATAGGGCTGATAAACAGAATGTTCTCAAGGTTGTTTTCCCCCCAGCACCAAGTAAGGGGCAAACAGACCAGCTCACTGAAGAGGGCCATGCATGCAAATCCACAGCCAATAATAAGAACCCACCTAACCAATACCCTAGCCCAGAATTAAAGCGTCCATAAAAGCCCCAGCCTTCATCTGGGCAGGGGGTCAACTGGTTTCCGGGCTCCGCTGCACTGCTCTCACTGTAGCCTTTCCCTTCTCTCTAATAAATCCTACTTTGTGTACTGGCCTTGCCTCACAAGTCAATCAGCTGCCTCATGAGCCAGTTCTTTGGCCTGTGAAGACAAGGACCCTCGACACTGGCCACAACATGCACTTAACAACAGAAATTTAGAAAAGGGAGAAACTGCATTTGAAATTAAAAACTCAGTGGATGAATTATGATTAGACACTGATGAAAAGAAATGATCTGGAGGACAGAAAGAAGAGACATAAAATTAGGAGTTTATTATAGCCTTAGTAGGTCATATTAGAAGCTTTTTGCAAACCATTATAGAGCTTCCGAAAACTAGGCAGCAGTTTCTGATTTTTACCAATTCACTAGCAAAGGAAGTACTCTCAGAGGGCATGCTGAAAACATCTCAATTCTTTCTATATTCTATATTAACTGTTTCAAAATATATAATCATACAATCATCATACTGATTATAAAGTATGTAAAAATCAGCAGGACATTCTTGACTGATAGAAAGGTGTGACTTAAGCAGTTATGGAGCTTTCTTTAAAGCACTCAGTGAGGATGACAACAGAATGTTCATTGAAAGACATAATTATAAAATACTACAATTTTGTTAAAATTTGTTAAAAAATACCAGGATTACCCTGGTATTTTCAATAATAGTCTATACGTTTCAAATTATGTTAAGTAATGAAGACAGGAAAAGAAAGGTCTTTGTTACAGGACCAACAAGTAACTTATGTAAAAGTGATTCAGTCCCTACTTTGTTTATATTTAATGTAGGAAATACATTCAATAATTTAAAAAAAGAAAATGTCAAAGGACAGCCTGAAAACGCAACTCAGTGTAGAGCACAAGCTTAGCATTGCGAGGCCCTGGCCTTTAGACACTGCATCAAAGGGGGTTAAAAAAAGGAAAAGGAAAAACAAAAAGTACATACCTATAATCCCAGCACTCTGAAAGCTGAGATAGAAGGACTGTGAATTCCAAACTACTCTGTGTTATAGGGCGATTTAAATAATTTCCTTATCAAACATGACTGTTGGTTAATTATGAACTCTACAGGCACTCAAATCCTTGGATCACTAAGAGGCAATAAGGTTGTGACAGTAGCAGTATTTATGACAGTCCTTTGCAACAGAGATATCCAGACCAAACAAAATCAGTACTATACCATCATCTTTGCTAGGCAACTGCTCAGAAACAGAGCCTGAAGAATCTTTTCTGATCACAGATCTTTTGGTTTTTCCTTGCCCCGTTCGACTTCTTTGCCGTACCATAAATCCACCAATACCTATTCAAAAAAGAAATAGGGTAAACTAATAAATAACTCATTTCTACAAACAGTGGGATGAAATTGCTTTGGCTTTAATAGTGAGGAATTTCCAAAATTCAGTCTAGGTTAATCTAAATCAATAATATCATTTTTATGTAAAATAAGAGAGATTGGAAATAAGCAAAAAATAAATGTCAAAGCCGTTGCTACCACTAATCAAACATGAATTAATAATGAGAAGTAAAGAGGATCGAAGTATGCTACACATGTACATATGCAGACAGCATAATGAAACCCAACAAAAGCAGTTTGAAAAAGGGGGCAGGAGGAATAGATATGATGGAGACGATGAGCTTGTTCCAGGTATACTGTACACATTTATGGAACTGTCACAATGAAATCCCTTTGTATTATTAATCTATGCTAATTCAAAAAGAAGATGAAAATTTTCAAAAATGAATTAAAATTTGCTTGAGCACAGAAAAAAATTGCTTACATTTCCACTTCTACACAAGGTCAGAGTAAATACTAAACAGTATATTGTGTTTGTCTGTCTCTTGGACAACTCATACATCAGATTATTTGTACATTAACAGAATAGTCTGTATATTAGTTGGAGAACAGACGATACAAACTAAACTCGGTGACACAATCACCCACTGATTAGTATTGACTACATAGTTTTCCCATGTCATGAAAGCCTTTAGATATGAAACACATAGAACTCTATAATTACAAGCACGAAATCTGTAGCCAGAGTACAGAATTCTGTTTACTAACTAAATTTGGGCAAGTTATTTAACTTTTTATTGCAATAGTTCCCTCACTACTAAAATAGGGTAATGTATCTCTCCATATACATGTCCTATGTATAAATCAATGAATACCTGTAACCTGGCAGCAGCTCTTTCCAAATGACAGTTGTCAAAAGAAGAGGGTGATACAGGGGAAGGAGAGCTGAATATGATTAAAGTACTTCATATGGATGTATGAAAAGTGAATAATGAACTAGGGACTAGAATAACGAATAAGGGTCTAGAAAGATCAATAGAGGGAAATTCAATCAAAGCACATTATATGTGTATATGAAAATATTATACAATTAATATGCATTTTAAAAAGACACAGCTGTCTAGCAATATACTTTGTGACACTCCTGGATTAAAGGCATAACTCCCAGATAAGGGAGAGAAAAACGGAAAAATGTACAAAATATTATAGTTCTTAGAAGGAACTTGCAATGTCTAAAAAAAAGTGTATATTTTTGTAAGCTTCATAATTAGGGAGAAATGAAATCATTTTTTAAAAACAATTTGAATGAAGCTAATCTTCAGGTCTTAGAATAGATATGGCCCATCTATAAAGAAGATTACATTAGAATGTCTTGCAGAATATAAATGAGAAAAAAAGAGATTTAGATCACTCATAAATAAAAGTAGTCAAAAGACTAAGACTGTACTGATCCAACTTAAAACCTCATCTATTGCTACAGATGTTAATAAATGGCCTAATGAAAGTCTGCAACTTCTGTATTGTGGCGTTTCAATCTTTTTTTTTCCACTAAGATAAAAAGACAAGGCAGCTTTTCTCCCTTCCCATGAGGCAGACCAGAAATAAGAAAAGTATTTAAACGGCCATGTTGTTAACTAGACTACAAGTCCTAGAAGGCCATAAGAAACTCGTCCTGTTCAGATTCACATTATACACTTTTCTACAATCCTACATAAACACTGAAGTAAAAGTGTTACAAAGGGAATGCCAAAAGAGAACTTCAGAAGTACTTATCAACACAAAAAACATGAATGGCTTTAAAAGTCAAATATGAGTAAAAGACCAATCTAGTAATGCATTTAATAAAATGGCTAACGTTTGCCACAAGGTAGTAAGTATAATTTATCATCAAGTACTCAAACATTCAAAGTAAGGAAGGGCTGGAGGAATGGCTCAAGTGGTACAGCACATGCCTACAAAGTGTGCGGCCCTGAGTTCAAACCCCAGTATCACCAAACTAAGGAATTCATCAGCCAAAAAGGCATATTCAAAGAGTTCAGTTCCTTATACAAGTAAGTTTTAGGCACTTGTTAGCATATTGTACTTAGTCCTGATTATGCAATTATAAGTGAAGTCTTTGATATGTTGATCTCAAACTACCTAGGTTTTGCTTATGTTAAAACATTTATTTCTGATACCCTACCTGGTCTGTACGGTTTCCTTTTTCTCTTTTTCACACCATCTGTTCCTTCTAATCCCTTAGTTTCGTCATCCACAGCTTCCCGCTCCGGACTAGATTCTGATTTTCCATCACAATCCATAAGTTCTCCTTCTGGAAAAAAAGAAATGTACGGGTGAAACTGGAAAAACTTGTCAAATACAGAATCCCTAGGTAAAGGGAAACACAAAGCAAAGGGGTCCCCAAGCCATTCGAATAGGAAGGGAGAGAGAGGTGGACGAGGCCCCAAATGATCATGAGAACCATGCTGCTTAGTGCAATCATCTCTTCAGGAAATGAAGCCTACCTAATCAGGGAAGGGGAAACACACAGAGAAAGAGCTCGAAAAAGATAATTATCAATTTGCACTTTACAAATCATTCACTTACTTCTAGAACACTCTGAGCCCAACCACAAATGTAAGCAGCTACTACCTAATCACTGAAAACTTCATATCCAAAATCCACTACTGACTTAAGATGAGCTTTCTCCATTTCCCATTACCTATCATCATTAAAAGACATGGAAATGTACCCTGGGGAAGATAGCCTAGAAAAAAAAAAAAAACAGCCTCGACAATTCCTAATCTCTTTTCTCCCTCAATCAAGACTCCTCACTCTCTCTCAGAGGCAATTTATTTCTCTCCACTACCATCTTACTCTTAACTTACAGACAATTCTATGTTAATACCTTCCTATCTAGTTCCCAGCCGAATGCTTACCCCTCTCCCATCAGTTCCTAAAATTGCAGCACAAGTGATCTTTCAACATATATATCAATTTTCTTCTTCAAACCCCTCCATGGCTTCCCAGTAGTCTCAAAATGAAGTGCAAATCTAAGGCCCATTGATTGTAATAGGCTTGCATAAACTCTCCAGCTTCATCACACCCCAACCACACTGAAATATATTCAGTTCCTTGAAGGTATCAAGCAGTTTCTTCCACTATCTCCCCAACCTCTGCCTTTTTCATAACTCCTTTTTCAAGATTTATTCTAACCATCTCTGTGTTAAAGATACTTGGATAAGGTTATGTCCCACAGTTATATTATCCTATGCATTAATGGTATGTTTCATTTTAATTGGTTTAAGTCTGTGTTCCTGACAGAGGACATTTGTGAGAACAGGTACTATGACTTTCTAACAGTTGCATTCTTAGCATGGTACATAAGAGAGGTTCAATAACTACTTCACTGAATGAAATAATGTTAACTAACACATATAAAAATTCAGGGCTTAGAGAATACTATTTTAACAGCATGGCAACCAAATGTTTCTAGGTTGTACATACTTTACACTGTGCTATAGGAAAAAGAAGAGTTTACCAAATAAATTTTTAAGATTAAATTAACTCCTTTCTTTAATATTCTAAGTAATAGCATGAATGGAATTTTTGTTTTTTAATATACTGAGTAATTTGAGGCCAAAAACTGCTCTACATAGATATAATTAAGCCATGAAATGATTATTTCCTCAAACATAAAAAACAGCAAAGATTATAAAATGCCAATTAATTGCCTTCAAATAAACCCAAGCAAAAAGGAAATGGTTGAATGAATTCATATATCTAATTTTACTTTCCTGAAACACTACTAAAAACACATTGAGGCAATCTATTTTTAAAAGATAAACTCACAAACAGGATGGAGAAAAGTCATAATTTTAAAAGAGGAAAGTAGAAAGATGAGTGATAAATGACTGAAAAATGCAAATTCTCAACTGAGCAAAAAGAAATGAAAAAAAAAAATCCAGCTTATACCAATTCTCAAAAAGCTGAAGAACTGAAAAAGGTAGGCTCCTTTGGAAACATGTGGGAGAAGCTTAGAGCCCACAGGAGTTACTTTCACACCCTAAGAAGCTACTTGACCTCACAGGACTCAGGAAACATGAGAATGGGGCATTGGACTAGAAACAGGGCAATGGCATTCCAGGTGTGCTGAGGCCAACAACCTCAACTCCACAACTGCACCTGGGGTCACCAAACCCAGAGTGTTAGCTACCACACCTCCACCCTCCAGGCACAAGATCTGGTGCCACTCTTCTTCGGGAAACCTGACCAGTCCAACGGAAGGGATAGCACCCCACAGAAGTTAAAGTCAACAAGAACCACCCATACACCCAAAGCTTTCCAACCAAGAATTTAATTCTTCTTTATTTAAGATAAAAAGCTTATAAACTTCTCTATCCAAACCCCATTTTTAGCTCCTGACTTTTAATCTCACATGTAAATCCAAGGACTAGTTGCTAAAAATCTGTAGCATAAATCACAGAGATCTGACAACATAAAAAGCACTTTGGACTATGCAGGAAGAAAAATAATTTTTTTTCTTTAGTTCTGGGGCTTGAACTTGGGGCCTTCCCCTCAAGCCTCTCCACCTGCCCATTTTTGTGTTAGGTATTTTTGAGATAGGGTATCACGAACTATTTGCTTGGGGTGGCATGGAACTGCAGTCCTCCTGATCTCTGCCTCCTGAGCAGCTAGGACTATAGGCGTGAGCCACCAGCACACAGCTAAGTCTAACATTTAAAAAAAAAAATCATCTGGGAGAGAATATAAGATATCCATGAGGAGAGGACAGGGTGCTACAAAAAGCAACATTCAAAGTAAGTAAAGAAAACCTTTAGAAATCCATATGTGATAACCAAAACAAAACCAAAAACTTAGCAGAGGGGTAGGAAGGTAAAGACATAAATTAGAAAGGAGCAGGGAAAAGACAGAACCTGTTGAAAAGATGTCACATCTGAATAGCAGGAGTCTGGAAACAAGAGGAGAGGAAGGAAGAATCATGATGACATGATTCAAAAGCATACCAACCACCAAAGGGTTTAGGATAAACAGAATGAAAAGGCTGACTCACAGGCACTGACAAAAATGATTTCGGGGAGGAGGGAGGGACATGGGGAAGACACCCAAGCTGAAGAGCACTTGGCACCCTGAGTTCTACCCCAGTACTGAAAAAAGCAAAACAGAACAACCATCCTCCCAAACACATGAAAATCAATGCCATATTCATTAAGTTTAGAGCACTGAGAACAAATAATTTCCAGAAATACTAAGAGCTTCCAGAGAAAACAAACATCACAAGTCAGGCATGGTGGTGCACACCGATAATCCCAACACTCTGGAAGGAGAGGCAGGAGAATCACAATTTCAAGGTCAACTTGGGTTATATAGAAAGACCCGTCACAAAATAAAACACAGGTCACAGCCAAGTTCCCTATATACAAGGTACTACAAATTAAAAACCAATGGGGTCAATAACTTCCAAATGCTAGGAGAAAATTTGCTTTCAACCTGGAAAATAACAATCAGGAAGGACAGTAAAATAAAGATATTTTCAGAAGTGCATAATCCTCACAATTTGCATTTCCTACTTTCATTCTCTCGCAGAAAATTGTGGAAGACAGGTCTGCTCCACCAAAATGAGGGAGAGAAACAAGGAACAGAAATGTCTGAACTCATAGACAACACAAGCAGCAGTGCACAGAATACAGGATGTTCTCTAGGATGCCAGTGACAACCCCCAAATCAATCATGTACAATGATCTTTGGCCTAAGACAGTGCACAAGACCAGTGATTACCAAGAGAGGAGAACACTTTCACTGGTGAGATTCAGTGACACCCTGAGCCCACATGTTGAGCCTAAGGGGCACACAGCAGTGTGTGTGTCCCAGCATGACTGATGTTACTGTAAGTATGGCATGCATGCATGCATGCATTCATTCATTTATAGGTAGGACTGGGTTTTGAATTCAGAGCTTCACACTAACATAACAGGCACCCCACCATTTGAGCCACACCTGAAGTCCATTTTCTCTCATTATTTTGGAGATGGGGGTCTGGCGAACTATCTGCCTGGGCTGGCCTCAAACCATGATCCTCCATCTCAGCCTCCAAAGTACCTATGATTACAGATGTGAGCCACAAGCACCTAGTATCTATGGCCTCTTCTAACCTACTTCACCTGGCCTTCTAAGTCACACAGACTGCAATGAAGGAAAAACAGGCAATATAACCTACGCATGAGAAATTCTCCACAAATACATCCTTGCATCCAGATGAAAAATCTCTGGACAGTTATAAGAAAACAGTGGCTCTCTCCAGTCTTTATTCACTTGAACCCTTTGCATCTTCTCTATCATGCACAGATTTACCTATTCAAAAACAAATCAACAGGGAAAAACAGGAAACTTTTCCTCTAATACCTGATACCAGGCAAGGATGCCCACTGTTACTGTTGGAATATGAAATATCACCCACAGGCTCATGTAGTCAATGGCTTCCAGCTGGTGGCACTATTTGGGGAAGTGAAGAAAACTTTAGGCGGCAGATCTAGCTGGAAGAAGTAGGTCCCAGGGGGGGCATGTCTTTGGGGGCTGTATCTTATCAAGGGCTCCCTTCTGTCCTTCTTTCTGCTTCCTGTCTGCCAGGAGGTGCAGAGCCTCTTCCACATGCTCCCATGTCATGATATTCTGCCTCATCTAGGGCCCAAAATTAACAGAGCCAAGGAATATGGACTGAAACTTCTAAATCCGTGAGCTAAGATAAATCCTCCCCCACTGAAGTTATTAATATCAGATATTTCGGTGTCAAAGCAACAAAGTGTAATACATCCACTCTGTCTACTTCTAGTCAACATAGTACTATAAATACTAAAAGAACAATCTGATAAGAAAAGAAGTAAAAGTTATCCAATTCAGAAAAAAAGTAAAATTGTTCCTGTTTTCAAATGAAATGACTTTATATATGTAAGAAACTCTTAAAGATACACACACAAAAACTATTAGAATAAATGAAAACAGTAAAGTACTGATAAAAAAAATCAGTTGCATTTTTTTCATACAAATAATGATCTAAAAAAGAAATCAAGAAAACAAGTCCATTTACAATTGTATCACAATTAATAAAATAATTCAGAGTAAGCTTAAACAAAGACATGAAAGCTCTGTACACCAAAGTAATAAAAACACTGGACTGGAGGTGTGGCTCAAGCAATAGAGTGCCTGCTTTGCAAGAGCAAAGCCCTAAGAAATTGAAGCTACAAGTAAATAGCTGTCACATGATTGTGCTCTGGAAGATACTATTTAAATACATTGTTAAAATGTAGCAAAAAT